CACAATGGAATACAACGCCAGCAAAAACCTCAACCCACGATTGATGCAAAGAATGAACCAAGGCAAGGGCCAAAAGGGCGAAACAGGCAGGGACTGGGTGTTCTTAAGCGCCTTAGAGGAGAGGAGAGAGAGGCGGGGGCGGCGCGTGAGCCTTTCGCCAGGTGGCAGCTGAGGGACACGGAGCGCGCGCGAGGCCAAAAGGGAGGGGGCGGAGAACAAGCACCGTTGAGTTCCCATGGCAACAAGAAGCGAGCACTCCCTCCCTCCTCCCCGGTTCCCTCGCGCTGTAAACCAACCTTGACACTAAATTCATTCTCCTCGCCTCGCCCTGCTCCTTGTACCGGACACCGGGTGGGCTGCCGAGTCGGAGGAACGCCGGCGACTTTGGACCACCACCGGAAAACACGCGTCTTCCCTTTCAAAAGCCGGACGCCTAAGCTAAACGGCTTCTCGGTCAACAATGCGGCGTCCCTCTTCAGAGCTCAGTCGCGATTGGGCGCTGAGGAGCGTCCCTCCCGCCTCTCCTTGTATCGCAACGCTTCGATAGGCGCAGTCCCTTGTCAATCGGATTTCCCTCTCCGCCTTCCTCGCGAGGTTGCCAGAAGGCATGGGACGTCACAGAGAAGCGAAGGGAGGGGGGAAATGGCACGGCGCGGGTTGATGACGTCGAGACAACGTGAAGTCGCCCAATCTGCTCGGTTGGCGCGAAGAACGAACTTTGGGGCTTTATGAATGGATGTGTTATTAACTTCCTGGTCGACTTATAGAGACCAAGTTAATTTCATTGGGTTTTCTTGGGGAATGAATACTCTTGAATCTTAGGCCTCTTTCACACAGCTGAATAAAATCCCACATTATCTGCTTTGAACTGGAATATATTTATTTATTTTATTTATTTACATTTATATGCCGCCCTTCTCACCCCCAAGGGGACTCAGAGCGGCCTACAAGATATATATATACACACACATATACACACACACACACAATATGATATATTGTGTGTGTGTATGTATATATTGTGTGTGTATATATATATCTTGTATAGTACAATATCAGTATTATATATTACTATATTGTACTATACCATTATATTGTTCCACCTTGTTTCCTGTGCTATTCTAATAATATAATATATTGTATATACATATAATATTTATAATATTATAATGTAATGCAATATAACACTAATAATAATATATTATAATTATATATTTATATTACATGTAATATTACTAATGGTATTAAAATATGATATAGTACAATATAGTAATATTTAATACTGATATTGTACTATGCTAATAATATAATATACTGTATGTCTTGTAAGCCGCTGTGAGTCCCTTTCGGGGTGAGAAGGTTGGCATTTAAATGTCGTGAATAAATAATAAATAAATATACCATTATATTGTAATATTATTAGTAATATTACATATAATATAAATATATAATTATGTCATATTATTAGTAAATCTCCAGCAAAGGATCACCGCCTTGTCGGGGCGCTGGAGCTTGAGCACCTCAATGATGTCATGAGCGAAACCGTGAAGGGCCACCCAAGACGGGACGGTTGTGGCAGAGAGGTCAGACCAAGCGTGATCCCTGGGGAAGGCAATGGCAAAACACTCCAGTATCCTTGCCAAGAAAACTAAATGGACCAGTACAACCAGAGATATGTCGGTATGCCATTGGAAGATGGGACTCCCAGGTCGGAAGATGGCAAAATGCTACTGGGGAGGAGCAGAGGATAAGTTCAACTAGCCCCAGATGTGATGACGCAGCTAGCTCAAAGCCGAAAGGAAGGCTAGCGGCCGACGGTACTGGAGGTGAACGACGAATCCGATGCTCTAAAGATCAACACACCATAGGAACCTGGAATGTAAGATCTATGAGCCAGGGCAAATTGGATGTTGTTATTGGTGAGATGTCAAGACTAAAGATAGACATTCTGGGGGTCAGCGAACTGAAATTGACTGGAATGGGCCACTTCACATCAGATGACCACCAGATCTACTACTGCGGACAAGAGGAACATCGAAGAAATGGAGTAGCCTTCATAGTTAACAAGAAATTAGCTAAAGCGGTGCTTGGATACAACCCAAAAAATGACAGAATGATCTCAATTCGAGTGCAAGGAAAGCCTTTCAACATTACAGTGATCCAAATATATGCCCCAACCACAGCTGCTGAAGAAGCAGAAGTAGATCAGTTCTATGAGGATCTGCAGGACCTACTGGATAATACACCAAAAAGAGACATTATTTTCATCACAGGAGACTGGAATGCCAAGGTGGGAAGTCAAATGACAACTGGGATCACAGGCAAGCATGGTCTGGGAGAACAAAATGAAGCGGGACGCAGGCTGATAGAATTTTGCCAGGAAAACTCGCTGTGTATAACGAATACTCTCTTCCAACAACCTAAAAGACAGCTTTATACATGGACCTCACCAGATGGTCAACACCGAAATCAGATTGACTACATCCTTTGCAGCCAAAGGTGGCGGACATCCATCCAGTCGGTGAAAACAAGACCTGGGGCTGACTGTAGCTCAGATCACGAACTTCTGATTGCCCAATTTAGAATAAAACTAAAGAGATCAGGGAAAATACACAGACCAGTTAGATATGATCTCACTAACATTCCTAGCGAATATACAGTGGAAGTGAAGAACAGATTTGAAGGACTAGATTTAGTAAACAGAGTCCCAGAAGAACTATGGACAGAAGTCCGCGACACTGTTCAGGAGGCGGCAACAAAGTACGTCCCAAAGAAAAAGAAAACCAAGAAGGCAAAATGGTTGTCTGCTGAGACACTGGAAGTAGCCCAAGAAAGGAGGAAAGCAAAAGGAAACAGGGATAAGGGGAGATATGCCCAGTTAAATGCGCAATTCCAGAGGTAAGCCAGAAGAGATAAGGAACTATTTTTAAATAAGCAATGCATGGAAGTGGAAGAAGACAACAGAATAGGAAGGACAAGAGACCTCTTCCAGAAAAGAAAATTAGAAACATTGGAGGTAAATTTCAGGCAAAAATTGGTATGATAAGAAACAAAGATGGCAGGGACCTAACAGAAGCTGAAGAGATCAAGAGAAGGTGGCGAGACTATACAGAAGATCTGTATAGGAAGGATAATAATATTGAGGATAGTTATGACGATGTGTGGTGAATGAATTAGAACCAGACATCCTGAGGAGTGAAGTTGAATGGGCCTTAAGAAGCATTGCTAACAACAAGGCAGCAGGAGATGACGGGATCCCAGCTGAACTGTTTAAAATCTTAAAAGTTGATGCTGTCAAGGTGATGCATGCCATATGCCAGCAAATATGGAAAACACAAGAATGGCCATCAGACTGGAAAAAATCAACTTATATCCCCATACCAAAAAAGGGAAATGCGAAAGACTGCTCAAACTTCCGTACAGTGGCCCTTATTTCTCATGCCAGTAAGGTAATGCTCAAGATCCTGCAAGGAAGACTCCAGCAATACATGGAGCGAGAGTTGCCAGATGTTCAAGCTGGGTTTAGAAAAGGTAGAGGAACGAGAGACCAAATTGCCAATATCCGCTGGATAATGGAGAAAGGCAGGGAGTTTCAGAAAAACATCTACTTCTGCTTCATTGACTATACTAAAGCCTTTGACTGTGTGGATCATAATAAATTGTGGCAAGTTCTTAGTGGGATGGGCATCCCAAGCCACCTTGTCTCTCTCCTGAGGAATCTGTACAAGGACCAAGTAGCAACAGTCAGAACTGACCACGGAACAACAGACTGGTTTAAGATTGGGAAAGGCGTACGGCAAGGCTGCATACTCTCACCCAACCTTTTTAACTTGTATGCAGAACACATCATGCAATGTGCGGGGCTTGACGAATGCAAGGCTGGGGTGAAAATTGCTGGAAGAAACATTAACAACCTTAGATATGCAGATGACACCACTTTGATGGCCAAAAGGAGGAGGAGCTGAGGAACCTTCTAATCAAGGTGAAAGAAGAAAGTGCAAAAGCTGGGTTGCAGTTAAACATAAAAAAAACCAAGATTATGGCAACAAGAATGATTGACAACTGGAAAATAGAGGGAGAAACGTGGAGGCCGTGACAGACTTTGTATTTCTAGGTGCAAAGATTACTGCAGATGCAGACTGTGGCCAGGAAATCAGAAGACGCTTACTTCTTGGGAGGAGAGCAATGTCCAATCTCAATAAAATAGTAAAGAGTAGAGACATCACACTGGCAACAAAGATCCGCCTAGTCAAAGCCATGGTATTCCCTGTAGTAACCTACGGATGTGAGAGCTGGACCTTAGGGAAGGCTGAGCGAAGGAAGATAGATGCTTTTGAGCTGTGGTGTTGGAGGAAAGTCCTGAGAGTGCCTTGGACTGCGAGAAGATCCAACCAGTCCATCCTCCAGGAAATAAAGCCCGACTGCTCACTGGAGGGAAAGATACTAGAGACAAAGTTGAAGTACTTTGGCCACATCATGAGGAGACAGGAAAGCCTAGAGAAGACAATTATGCTGGGGAAAGCGGAAGGCAAAAGGAAGAGGGGCCGACCAAGGGCAAGATGGATGGATGGCATCCTTGAAGTGACTGGACTGACCTTGAAGGAGCTGGGGGTGACGGCCGACAGGGAGCTCTGGCGTGGGCTGGTCCATGAGGTTACGAAGAGTCGGAGACGACTGAACGAATGAACAACAAACATAATATAAATATTAAATGCATATACAATATATTATGTTAAATTATATTATTAGCATAGCACAGGAGACAAGATGGAACTTGTGTGGCATATATGTCAGTGTGGACTCAGATAACCCAGTTCAAAGCAGATATTGTGGGGTTTTCCACCTTGATATTCTGGGTTATATGGCTGTGTGGAAAGCAAAAGGTAAACGTCAGCCAGGAGCTATAGAGATAGAGAGTGGTCACACCTGAGACAAGGCTGTTTCAAGTCCCGCGAGATCTCAGAGCACTCGGGATCCGAAATCTCGCGGCAAACCCGGAAGACCAGGGCTCATGCGCAGCATGGGGCGTCAGAGCTGAGAGCGCGCTCTTTAGTCCTGCTTAGCGTTTGGTATGTATGTAGTGGCTCAGTTGGCTGGACGCCACGCTTTGGGGATTTGCTCAGGCCAGAGGTGGATCTGAGCTGCCAAATTTATTCATTTTGACTCCACTTTAACTGCCGTGGCGCAGTGCTATGGGATAGTGGGAGTTCTAGTTTTACAAGGCGTTCTGGCCTTCTCGTCTAAATAGTGCTGGTGCCTCATCAGCTGTGGTAATTCAAGTAGGCTCAATTTGCATTGATTCTGCAACAGGCATGGGCAAACTTTGGCCCTCCGGGTGTTTTGGACTTCAACTCCCACCATTCCTAACAGCCTCAGGACCCTTCCTTTTGCCCCTCAGCCCCTCAGATTCTCCCACAATGCTCACATTTCAGTGCCCCAAACGTTAGCCCTGTTTCTGGGTATTTTTGAGCGGCTGATTCCAAAAATAACACCAGTTTCCCCTTCTCAGTTCTAGTTTTTGAGATGCAGAACATATGCCATCTACCAGTCTTCAGCACCCATAGAAAATCAATGATATTTAAGAAACTAGAGCTGATGAAATGTACCCAATGCAATTTTCTAAATCAGTGCCCCATATAACCCAGGAACAGACCTAAAAACGAAGACGCCAATATTATTTACTCAAGTCTAATGTGCCATCAAATCAAATGCGCAACTCAATTTTCAGAACCTTGAAACCCCAAAAACCATTTACCGTATTACGCAAATCTAATATGTACCCTAATTTTGGGAAGATAATTTAGTCAAAAAAGGTGAGCATTAGAATCAAGTAAATACAGTATTATTATTTTGAGCTGTATAATGATATTGATTTTATTGATTCTGTTATGGTTTTTATTATTCAACTGTTTTATTATATTGAAATGGCATTTTATGGTCTTGGTACCGACTGTGAACCTCCCCGAGTCGCCTGCAGGCTGAGAGGGACGGTATATAAATATAGTAAATAAATAAATAATGTGTTTACTGTTTGGGTTAAAGTTGTAATAGCAGTGTAACTGGACAATGTAAAGGGGGACATTCTTTTTCTCTATCCAGCTTTCTTTCTTTCTTCAAATCCCAGAGTGTCGAGAGAGAGATTACATGATTTAAAGAACACATAGAAAAACAATAGGGAAAATGAAAATTAAAAATGCAGTAACTGTGCTTTGTTTCTGTAGGTATGTGAACAACCAGTAGTTGCTGATGTTAATGTTTCTGTATCAGTGTAAAGTTTATATGTTGTAGTGTAAGGATGTATTCTTGTGAGTACTCTATGTATTTATTTTTCCTGATTGTATCTATGTTTCAAAGATGGCAGAAAAACTGATTAAGGTCTATTTATACTGTTTCAGGGAACAGAGCCGTAATTCATGAACTCATGGTAAGCTCCATGCTTACCATGAGTACATGAAATCAGATAGAGCAGTTTGATTATAAAGAAGCAGAATGCAATGTTTTGTGTTATTTTTGTTTCAGCTATGCTTTGTAAATATATAGTACACATTTGTTGTTGTGCACATTCAAGCCAATTCTAAATGTGGCAACCCTGAAGCAAACCTATGACAAAGTTTTCTTCGCCAGATTTGTTTAGAGGGAGGTTACCTTAGTTTTTTGAGGCCGAGAGAATGTTACCTGACTAGTGTTACCCAATTGGTTTCCATGACCAAGCAACGATTTGAACCCTGGTCTCCAACCACTGGATATAAAATTTGTGTGAACTTCATGTGAAACTAATGTCTTTTTTTACATGTTTCCCTCTCTGTCTACAGATTTAAATAGAAATTTCCTCTCTGGAATGGATGGGCTGTTTAGAACAAAGAATATGCTACTTCCTAGTTTGGCAGTTTGGTGTCAAAAACAGCAACAATGTTGCAGGTTTTATTGCAATATTCAGACAAAACGAAAGCATGTATCCCAACATTTTAGGTCCATGAATTTGCGAGAGGAAAGCATGGAATCCAAGGAGAGCAAACCTGTGGAAATGACATGCAAAAGTCAGAGACTGATGTTACTAGCAGGCCTGATTTGTCCTGCCAGCCCTGGTTGCTACCATTACATGCCATATGCAGTCCGAGCAATGGAGAAGCTGATCAAGGTGATAGACCAAGAAATGCAGGCCATTGGTGGTCAAAAAATGAACATGCCCACATTGTGCTCAGCAAAGCTCTGGAGAGCCAGTGGGAGGTGGGAGCTGCTGGGCAAGGAACTTTTACGAATGAAAGACCGGCACAACCAGGAATATTGTCTAGGACCTACCCACGAAGAGGCCATCACAGACCTCCTAGCTTCCCAAGGCTGCTTGTCCTACAAACAGCTTCCCCTCTTGTTATATCAGGTAACAAGAAAGTTTCGGGATGAGCCAAAGCCACGCTTTGGATTGCTGCGGGGTCGAGAATTTTATATGAAGGACATGTACACCTTTGATGCCTCCAAGGAAGCTGCCCTCCAAACCTATGAATGTGTGTGTGACGCTTACAGCAATATTTTCAACAAATTGGACCTTCAGTTTGTAAAGGTTCAAGCTGCTACAGGAAGCATTGGAGGAACAATGTCTCATGAGTTCCAACTCCCTGCTGAGATTGGTGAGGACCAACTGATAATGTGTGCAAACTGTGACTTTTCAGCCAATGTTGAAACAATGAACTCCAGTGAAATGGGTTGTCCTGTTTGCAAAGGAAAACTAATCGAAAGCAAAGGGATTGAAGTTGGCCATACCTTTTTCTTGGGCACCAAATACTCTTCTGTTTTTAATGCAACTGTCCACACTGCCCAAAATAAGCCTGTTCCAGCTGAAATGGGCTGCTATGGGTTGGGGGTGTCTCGGATCCTTGCAGCCTCCATCGAGGTGCTTTCTACAGAGGATGCTATCCGTTGGCCAAACCTCATCGCACCTTATCAGGTCTGCCTTATTCCTCCAAAGAGAGGCAGCAACGAGGAGAAAGGAACAATACTCTTGGAGGAATTACATGATTTTATTTCTGAAGCAGTCCCTCAGCTTAAAGATGAGTTGGTGCTAGATGATCGGACTCAGCTCACCATTGGCAAAAGGTTAAAAGATGCTAATAAACTTGGATACCCCTATGTTATAATAGGTGGTAAAAAGGTTTTTGATGAACCTCCTTTATTTGAAATACAGAATCAAAACACGGGTGAAATATTATTCCTCACCAAAGAGGCCATTATTGACTTGCTAAGTAAAGTACAAACTTGTAAATACTAGATATGTGTACAACTCCAGTACTTTTGAGTACTGGAGTTGTAACATTTTCCTTGCCATATTAAACACATGATTATGGGATATTATTCCCTACTTCAGGGGATTAAAACGAAATCAATACAGTGCTGCCTTCTATCCCAATGCATCATTTGAATGGGCTGGTCCATTGACTACAGCGACATAGCCAGCTCCTACTGCACAAGATGGATGTTTTATTTGGATGCTGGCTGTTTTTGGAATCAAGAGAGTCTTTGGGTAACACAGTGTAATAATAGCATCCTATCAGGAAAGGATAAAGTTGACTTTGATTTGAGCTTTTAAATAAAATAAAGTATTTGCAAATTAAGCTTTCTTTGTGGAAGCAGCCCCATTTTTATTTTCCAGTGCTTATTATTTAAAGAAGTTTCAAAAAGTAGGTTGAAAAGATGAAAGAGCATTTGCTTTTCTCCTATTTAATGTGCTGTTCTTTGGGATGAGAGATGGTTTAAGTGCTGAAAAGGACTAATCCTATGTGATCATCTGCTAAGAGTGAGGTAGGGAGAAAATATTGAATTTTGGTCAGAAACTGCCTGGAATGATTGAGATGGACATTTCCAAATAATGTATGAAGTTGATGTTCATGGTGTGTAAATAAAACATGTTGCTTTAAGGTAAATATGCTTTGAGCCATACATTGAGTTAAAGCTGGTATGTTTCAATCTGGGGGACCAGTCTTCTAGGTGAGCCAGTTAAATCAACCGTTAGTCTGAAAGCTTGGCAGTAGGAAGTCTCTGTTGGTACTTATTCTGTCTTTGAGATTATGTTGTTGTTGTTCATTCGTTCAGTCGTCTCCGACTCTTCGTGACCTCATGGACCAGCCCACGCCAGAGCTCCCTGTCGGCCGTCACCACCCTCAGCTCCTTCAAGGTCAGCCAATGGCATACCGACATATCTCTGGTTGTACTGGTCCATTTAGTTTTCTTGGCAAGGATACTGGGGTGGTTTGCCATTGCCTTCCCCAGGGATCACGCTTGGTCTGACCTCTCTGCCACGACCGTCCCATCTTGGGTGGCCCCTCACGGTTTCGCTCATGACATCATTGAGGTGCTCCAGCGCCACAACAAGGCGGTGATCCTTTGCTGGAGTGAGATTATGTACTGTAATCTAATATCAGTATTTGTAAGCATATTATTAAAAGTCATGCAATTACTTTAATATCAGTTTGTTATAAAGTGGCCTTTGCCCTGTCATGATCTTGTTTTCTTTTTTCACTGGTGAGTTTTGACTGTAGGTAAGAAACTGAATTTTTGAGAGAATAATAATAATAATAATAAAAACTTTATTTATACCCCGCTCCATCTCCCCCAGGCGGACTCGGTGCAGGTTACATGAGGCCACACCCATCAATACAATACAATAATATAACACAAAAACATAGTAGAACCAAGCAAAATACATAAAATGCAAAATCAAAATAATATATGACACAATAATATAAAATCAAGCATTAAAACACAAAAAAATCACTAGGTAGGGCCAGATTCAAGGATAATGTTTTTTGGGAGATAGGACAATGTAAATTATAAGGAGGCGGCTCCGGGAATGAGAAAGGATTTCATTGCACAAACCATAAAATAAAGTGCTTCTAAGGACATTTTGTGCAAAGTGTGGTCAGGGAGAATCTTACATTCAATTACTGAAGGCACATTGGAATAACCAGGTTTTCAAATTCCTCCTGAAGAGAGGGAAGAGAGTCCCATGACTTCTGTGGACTTTTGGGTAACCTTGGGTAAGGCATTCTTAGCATCAGTATTCCAAACTGCAATATGGAGAGATATTGACTTACTTAACAGTTTATTTGGAAGAATTATAATAAGACAATGATTTGGTTTAAAATACTTAATACGTAAGCAGTGTTGTGTTATATGAAGAGGGCCCTTGTGTTCCTTCTCATCTCCTGACATGGCCATGAAGAGGAGGTTGAAAGACTTTGTTTATATTTGTAACTAACTGGTTGTTCTTTGAGTTGGGGCATAAACTTTGTGGTTACTTGTAGCTGTCGTTTAGAAAAACAGGCCAACTTTAAATAGTTGTTTGTGAACTTGGTTTGTTTGCTTGCGCCATAGTTAAGATCGATAACAGTTTCAGACTAATAACAAATTCCTGTTAACCAAACCTTACTACTTTGCATCTGTGCTAAGGAGTAGATGTAGGAAGGAGCATATAAATCTAAATTATTCATATAAAACTTAACCATCGCTCAGCATTGTACAAAATCAATGTAGGTTTTGGACCACTGCAATCTAGAACTATTTAATCGTATCAATACAGCAATCAAACTGTTGCTGTATTTGGACGGACAGCATTGCTCACTGTTGATGATATTCAAGCTTCAGGTGGATCACTTTCTCCAGTGATTGGAGTGTTTTTGCTGAGAAACCTGGCATGCTGGTTATGGGTCTGTACATAGTTTAAACGCAGAGTTGCAATTTTGTGACCACTGAATTTAGTTACTTATTTCCAAGTAAATATGAACAAGGTTGCCAAAGACAAACAAGCAAAAGCAAGAAATCCAATCATAAAAATATATCCCAGCTTCCTGACAGCATGTATCTCTTTTGTAAAGCACTTGTGCTCTCCAGGATTGCAGCTACTGTTTTGAGGATCGCTGCTAATATAAAAAAGCACATTACTATTCCCATTTCTCACACTCCCTTTTTGCTGATGTGATGGAATAAGAAAATGATTAAAGATATAAATCTTCAAAAGTGAAATAGAGTGTTGTCAGACTGCTTCCCGTTTTCACTTACTTTCTGTAACAGAAAAATAAAAGAGAGGAAATTGAAGTATCTTGCTTCTCTTTCATATGTCCCATAATGATGGAGATCTTACAGGATTTTCAGGAGCAAGAATAGAACCAAGAAGTATTTTACAAACTTACTTCAAGCTTTTTAGAATAATAATAAAATTTTATTTCTAACCCTCTCCCTCAGAGGGACTAATTCTTTCTTCAACAATTTAAGGAAAAAACCAAAAGCAAACCTTGATTTTGCCATTTTATACATTTCACTACGCCATTGTATATAATGGAACTTCAGCATCCACAGATTTTGGTATCCATGGGAGATCCTGGAATCAAACCCCAGTGGATACTAAGAGCCCGCAGTAATGTAGATTGATTTCTTACCCCAAAACTGAGGAACTAACACTGATCTAGACAGGGCCAAGCAAGAGGCAAAGCTTTGAACTGGACCTGAGAACATAACATTCCACTTTGTGTGAGTAGCATCAGCATAGTACTATTCTAGAACCATGTTCTGGGGTCTCATTCATTGTGTCCATCCTATGATGAGTGGTGATGTCATTGAACATTCGGAGTGATGACAAACATCTCAATTATGACATCTTCTAATGTGCTTTTTTGCCCATAGAAAAGGGAATCGGAAACCATGAGCAACTGTGGGCTTGCATTAACAAGTGAGCACATCTTTTTTTTTGGTAATTTTTTTGTCCCTAGGGTTAACTTAATTGATCTTCTGTCTCAGTTATATTTCCTTTATCTACAAATATTAGAATCATAGAGTTGTAGGAGACTACAAAGGCCATCCAGCCCAACTCCTTACCATGCAGGAACATAGAATCAAAGAACCCGCAAAAACAGTTTCATCTGAAAAAATGCAACACCCCTTGGCCCAGTCTTCTAAAAATTTTATGCATTCAAGGCCTGTCAAGAAAAAAAAGTTTTTTGATTGCTGATGGAAGGACAGCAGGAAGGGGGTTATTTTGACCTCCTTGGGAAAGGAGGTCCAGAGTCTAGGGGCAGCCACTGCATCCTCACCAACTATGTTTGCGATGCCAGTGGGATTGATGCCCCCCCCCCCAATAGATCCCAGTGCCCTGGGGAGACTCATAAAGCGAGAGATGGTCTGCCAGTTAGTCTTCTACCTGAGACATGTAAGACTTCATAGGCCATAAAGGGTACTTATGCCCTATTCACACCCCATGCCCTATTCACACCCCATGGAACTGTATTGTACCGTAATAAGTGCAAACAAGGCATACTTTTACACCTTAAACAGCATGCCTTCAGCAGCCACAACACAATGCCCTTCACATGTCTTGGGCTAAAATTTATGTCAAGGATCACAAAAGAGTTCAAAAATACCTGGTTGCAGAAAACTGAGATAGGCTGTCCAACATTGTTATCTTGCAGAGCTGGTTTGAAGGTAAAACAGCCCAGTTTCATATCCCCACTCAGAAGGTACTTCACAGCCATACAGTTAACTCACGGTCAGATCTACTAGTAGTCCTAGATTGCAAAGATACAAATGAAACAAATTACCTCTGACAATTTGAAAAATAAATAGGCTTCTTCTGTACAAGCAAGCTTTATCTGTCAAAGCAATATATGCAGTTGCAAGACTCAGTTGCACAGCTCACACCTTAAAATATTACATTACCACATTCATAACTCCTCACTTTCAGTATGCTAAGAATCTTCCAAATCCAAATTGGACTCTTGTAACTTAAAAACAGAACTGTATGATTCAGCATACCATGAAAAGGCTTGATTAGGAATGCCACTGCTGAAAAGATTTTTAATGTTGGTTCTAAAAAAAAGTCAATCATACTTTAAATACAAAAGTCTCAGCTGAGTTCTGACCTGTTAGGTAAGGAACAGATACATTATCACTTGAACCAAGGTAGCTATATTAGCCTGTAATAGTACTGATACACCACAATTACTTTATTCCTATTGTGTTTTGTTAATGCAGTTGTGGAAACCATTAGATTTATTGTAGCATGACATAATGTTTAAGTCCACTAATAAAATAATACTTATGTGATAAATTCCTAACCCTTTTGTAGGAACACAGCTCACATTATGAATATCTATCTGCAAGTCTTGAACATCTGAATCTGGAGGTCAAGATATGGGTCAGGATTTTTGGGGAAAAGTTTGCCATGCCTTATGAACGAGAGCTAGAAGAAGAGAATACTATTAATCATTCCCAAACTGTTGAAGAATCAGAGGTTCCTGGCAATTTTCTCTCCTATGAACTCCAAGATGGAGGAAAAAAGGAAAAATCTGGTGAGAAAGGAGTCAGCTGAGTTTCTAACAACTGAGCAGTGTGCTGTGACTGCCAAGAAAGAAGTATCCAAGAGCCACCAAGCAGGCATACATTTGGAGGGCTGCTTGTCACGAAGCATTTCTGAAGGTGAAGAGTGACCTCTAGAGTTTGGAAAATGAGAATGGCTTAGATTTAAGTACAATATTCCTTTTTGACTTATGGCAACCTCAAAGTGACCCCATCACAGGGGTTTCTTGGCAAGTTTTGCTCAGAAGAGGCCTTTTCCTTCCTCTGTTGCTGAGAGGATGTGACACATCCAAGATTCCTCAGTGCATTTCACAAGTGTGGTCTCCAGAGCCATAATCCATCTCACAAACAATTACACCATGGGTTGTTGTAGGTTTTTTCGGGCTATATGGCCATGTTCTAGAGCAGGGGTCCCCAAACTACGGCCTGCGGGCCACTTCCGGCCCGCCAAGGGCCCCAATCCGGCCCGCGGAGGTGGAGCCCCCCCCCCACACACAGTGCCCCTCCATTGGCTGGCTCACGCTGTCCATGGGGCCCGATGGACAGTGTGAGCCAGCCAAGGGGGGCTGCTCCGCATGGTCTATTCGCGAGTAAAGCACCTCGCGAAGTGCTTTACTCACAAGTAGGCCGCGCGGGCCTGCTCCTCCCTTGGCAGGCTCACGCTATCCGTCAGGCCTGATGGACAGCGTGAGCCAGCCAAGGGAGGCTGCTCCGCGTGGTCTAACTTGCAAGTAGGCCGCGCAGGCCTGCTCCCCCCTTGGCAGGCTCACGCTATCCGTCAGGCCCGATGGACAGCGTGAGCCAGCCAAGGGAGGCTGCTCCATGTGGTCTACTCGCGAGTAAAGCACCTCGCGAGGTGCTTTACTCACAAGTAGGCGCGTGAGCCAGCCAAGGGAGGCTGCTCCGCGTGGTCTACTCGCAAGTAGGCCGCGCGGGCCTGCTCCCCCCTTGGCAGGCTTACGCTATCCGTCAGGCCTGATGGACAGCGTGAGCCAGCCAAGGGAGGCTGCCCCGGCGCTACATGCAGTCATGCTGGCCACATGACCTTGGAGGTGTCTATGGACAACGCCGGCTCTTCGACTTAGAAATGTAGATGAGCACCACAGAGTCAGACACGACTGGACTTCATGTCAGAGGAAAACCTTTAACCAGGAAAATTGTGGAAGATCCAGGGTGGGAGAAAGAACTCTTGTCTGTTGGAGGTAGGTATGAATGTTTCAATTGGCCACCTTGATTGCCATTTCATAGCCTGACAGTTTTTAGGGAGAATCCTTTGTTGAGAGATGATTAGCTGGCCCTGATTGTTTCTTGTCTGGAGTTCCCCTGTGTTTGAGTGTTGTTCTTTATTTACAGTTATAATTTTAGAGTTTTTTAAAATACTGGTAGCCAGAGTTTTGGTCAGACTAGAAATAGGAAGATTTCCCATTCTCTGCTCCTGGAATTACTGCCTAAAGAGGGCTAGAATGAACCCCCTCTAAGGGCCCTTCCACACAGCAAAATAAGATATGTGCAATGTGCAGAGGAATTTTTTAATTGATTTTTTTTTAAAAAAAAAACTACAGTCCGGCCCTCCATCGGTCTGAGGGACAGTAAACTGGCCCCCGGTTTAAAAAGTTTGAGGACCCCTGCTCTAGACCATGGCCATATAGCCCGAAAAAACCTACAACAACCCAGTGATTCCGGCCATGAAAGCCTTCGACAATTACACCATGCTAGCCCCTAATATGAACCACAAAAGTATGCAATATAGAGTAGTGATTTATTTAATTCTGCATTGCGTATTTGAAAATGCAGAAGCTAATTTTGAGTAAACAATTCACCCACTTGAATCCAGTTATTTAGACTTTTTTTAATGTTTTGATTTAATGTATGTCTTTCTCTCAGTGTGGGGCTCAAGATGGTTTACAATGCTAGCCATGCCTTTAAATTAGGGGTGAGCAGCTTCATTGGGGTTTGGGCCCAATCTCCCCACCCCAATTTCACATTTTGTTTGCCCCCTATTGCTGTTATGAACTTCCAGACTTCAGAACTACATACCAGGTGAGTACACACCAATTCTCTGTCTTATATACCTGCTTCAGTTAGAACAGGAGTAGGAAACAGCCATTATAGCTAGTGGTGAAGTATGGTGCCATCCAACATCTAGATAGCCGAATGTTCCAAAACCCTAAATTAGAGTAGTTCAACCATAAAAAGCAGAAAACATTTCCACAGCAACAGCACTGTTTTCCTATTCCATTTACCTTTCTTTTTTGGCAGTTTCAGACACCTCCAGCAAACTCCGTATAATAATGATATCTGATTCAGAAGTGGAAGATGTTCAGCCAGCCTCTGAAAGAACAGCACGGCACATCAGCAATGAAATGGTAAAACGTGTTCCTGCTCATCTAGAAGCTAAACTTCACCCACTTTAATTCAGTTCTATACCTGAACCCTAGTACTAGTTTATTTCAGAATGCCTTTTGAAATTAAACCTCAGCTCAGAGAAGCAGGATATTTTGGCTCTGAACAATGCAGAAAAAAGTGGTGATAGACATTAGAAGGTACTAGTGTGTATGAGGCTTCACTTGCATAGGTAGCTCATCTTTATTATATTTTTTTATGTCTTGCTTTTTCTTTCTAAAATGAGACCCCCTTTCTCTCCAAAAAGGCTTCCGTGATTTCCATGCCACTCCCCGAGAAGACCTGCCTGTCTTCTAAGTTTTGCCTGCACATGGATGCATGTGCGCACAAATTGTTATACACACCAAAGTCAACTCTGATTTATGATGACCCTATCATGGGGATTTTTTTACTCAGAGATCTTTTGCTATTGTCTTCCTTTATGGCAGTGGTTCCCAACCTTTTTTTGATCAGGGATCACTCTCCAACATTAGTTCGAAAAGAGTTACAAATCAGTTTTTGGTCAACTTTAGATTTGGTTTTGTTATTTGGGGTGCTGGTTCGGAAAATTGCATTGGATAGACAACATCAGCTCTAGTTTCTGATACAGAACATATGCCATCCAGTAGTCGCCATCTAATCACCCACAGAAAACCATATTTAATAAGCCTCAGCATTATAAGAGGGTTTTGTGAGACCAGTTGCTCTTGTTGCAACAGTGTAGTTACAATCAGGTCACTGACCAAATTTTAATTCTTGCATACCACTAGTAGTCCACAGAACACAGGTTGGGACTGCTCTAAGGCCTGCGAGAAGATGACCTGCCCAAAGTTACCCTCTGTGTTTCTGTAACTAGAGTGGAGATGTGAACTCTCATCTCTTAGACGCAATGCTTAAACTCCCACACCACACTGGATATACAAAAGGTATATCCTACTTCTGTAACGAAAGGTGTCTAAAACTTTTGGCCTCTTTGCTCCATTCAGGCTTATTAGATCTTCCTCTTAAGGGAGACCATTTTCTCACAGCATAAGTAGATTAGGGAAAAGTTGGGACCAGAGGGATGATGTTTGTGTTGACATACTACAAAAACCTTTTCATTATCATACTACAATCAGTCCCCCACATTCATTGGGATTAGAAGCACAGGACCCCCACAAAATGGAAAAATGCAAATAAAATAACTTTTTTTAAACTTGAGATAATACAGCTCTATGATGTTTAGGTTCTAGATCATTGCAGTTCTAGAGAATGGCTCTAGAATTGCAACAGAGGACATAGAGATTCTTAGAGAGACCATATTGCTCAAATATGCAAACAATCAAAACTAAATATGGAGAGCCAACTATTGCCTGAGGGCCCTTCCACACAGCTATATAACCCAGAATACCAAAGCAGAAAATCCCACAATATCTGCTTTGAACTGGGTTATCTGAGTCCACACTGATATATATTCCAGTTCAAAGCAGTGTAGAAGGGGCCTCAAAATCTTTCTGAGCCAGGCAAGCTCACAAGAGTGACAATACATTGAGTACGACCATTTAACACACAAGTTCCTATTTCTACACATCCAAATGGAATGGGCTCTGGAAACCAATTATGGGCTAATGTCACAAATGAAAGCAGTCAAAAACATATTCAATTTCTCCCTAGTATCCAACAGATCCTCGGGAATCCAGCTCAAAAATGAGTAGGAATGGTAATCAGAATTACTGCAATGGGAAATTACCGTTTGTTCAGAAAATAATGGTGAGTAAGATGTAATGTTACTCTCCTGATTTTTATGAAGAAGAAGCTTGGCACAAACAAAAACATATTGATGGAGTGAAACAACTATTGCCAGTGAAAGCAAGACATATATAGCTCAGTATTGTATATATTTCTCAACAAAGAATTGAGCTCCATGAGTTCCTTCAACTTAAAAGCTATTAACACAGTTTCCTATTAATACAGTTGACCTATGTGTTATGACTAGTGTAGAAAGCTCACACCACACCTTCCTGCAGTTATAGTCGCTCTTGACTGTAATACATGAATTGTTACCAGACATGTGCTTACTATGGTCCATTAAGATTGCATATATCTTTGTTATCTGAGTCCTTGTGGTTCATGGTCTTCACCAGTTACGTTATGCTTTATTTATTTATTTATCGTGTCAGAAGCAAATTGAGGGTACAGTTATAATACATTTAACTGTACATGAAAGAAGCCTCTGTGCAGGTGTCTTCTGGGCAACATCTTTGTAGGTGGCTGATTTTCTCACACCAGAAATGACTTGAAGTATGCAACCACCCAACCAACCAAACAAATGTTATGCTCTGACCTTAAGTAGGTCACTCCAGTAGCAAACCTACCATATTCTTTCTGCTGTTTATAATCTTTGTTTAAGGGAGAGAGGATCTACTATGATTGTTCATCTTATTCAAACACATGAAGAGTAGGAGAGGTTGGAGACATGTTGCTCTGTTGTTAAGTTCAAATAAAAAAAATTAAAAACAAGATGGGAGTGCTGATGAGTTGAAGCATGCAATCTAGAACTCTTCACAATGCTGCCAGAATTGGAAGCTAAACGGCTTGTTTTCCTCTCCATCTTGTCACAAGTTGTGGGACTCTGTGAAAGAGATATGCATTGAGTTTCCTAAATGCATATTTAGGAAGGTGCTGTTTTTGTGCCTTTGCAGCTGTGTAATAGAGATTATTTTAACAGCCATCATTTTCTTCTCACTTTTGCATGACAAGCCATACCTGCAGAACTCCCCTTACCTGCACAACAGTTGAAGTGAGTCCACTTGCATCAGAGAATAAGAAAAGAGAGTACATAATTTAAATTGGGTCCCAAGTTGCACACTGGGCTTAAAAGGGAGCACTGAACCTGATAAGGCTGCAGACAACTATCTCTAGAGTAAAAAAAATGCAACCTCCCTCATATATTCACTCATAAATGCAATGTACAAGGGACTATGTTCCCATACATCATTCATTATTTTAAAAGAACCCCTATGTAAAAAATATTGGTCTAATGAGTCCTGAGCTGCATTTAAACTATACTAAAAACTAAGACTTCAATCCTTTGCATCTGGAATTCACAGAGACAGATTGCAGACTTACCACTGGATCACATAGATTCCCATGCCACAGCTTTGCGTTGTCAGGGATTGCTCCTCATTCAAGACCTAAGGTATTTCAAATCTATACAGGCATCTGGTTTTGAAAAGGACAATGATTCTAGAACTTAATGCCATTATACAAATATTAAAGGCAGGTCTCGAAAGCTGGCTTGGCCTCTGAACTAAGAACAGAAAGGGAGGATGTCATTGATTTATATTCTGTCTTTCTTCCATCACTTGGGTGAAAGATGGCTTCAGTCATAAATAAGACACAAGTCTTAAATGCAGTTGATATGTATTAAACTGCTTGTTTAGTTAAAACTCAAATTTGATTAGAACAGTTTTAATCTCCTCACTGATAATCAAATTAAGAGCTAGCTGAATAGATAGATTTGAGAGTAGCCACCAAGGAAGCCCTCTTTTGCATGGTAAGGCCATGCAACCAAATTTTCTTTAAACACTTCTTTCTGCCCAGCCTTACTGTATTGTGATCAGTGGCAGTTTCTTTTCAGCCTTTCTGTAAACCAACAGTTTGCAGAGCAGGGAATATCTGAACTTCCAGGAGTAGTTATCTTTAAGTTTCTTTAGTAGTGGTAGTAGTAATAGTAGTAGTAGTAGTAATAATAACAACAACTTTATTTTTGTACCTGCCTCCATCTCGGGGTGGCTTACATGAGACGAAACCTGTTCAAGACAGTTAAAATGTAACACATTAAAATACATAATAACAATGTAAAACAAAGTAAAACAACAACATTGTAACAACATAAAACAGGCTTCAGAAACAACAACCAATAATAAAATTCAGTTTATTGTCACGGGTGGGCAGACTGGTGCAACAATAACTTAAAGCAGTGGTTCTCAACCTTCCTAATGGCGTGACCCCTTAATATAGTCCCCCATGTTGTGGTGACCCCCAACCATAATATTGTTTTCATTGCTACTTCATAACAGTCATTTTACTACTGTTATAAATCATAATGTAAATATCTGATATGCAGGATGCATTTTCATTCATGGACCAAACTGGGCACAAATACCCAATACACCCAAATGTGAATGCTAGTGGGGTTGGGGAGGATTGATTTTGTAATTTGGGAGTTGTAGTTGCTGGGATTTATAGTTCACTTATAATCAAAGAGCATTCTGAACTCCACCAGCGATGGAATTGAACCAAACTTGGCTCCCATGACCAATGGAAAACACTGGAAGGGTTTGATGGGCATTGACCTTGAGTTTGGGAGTTGTAGTTCACCTATATCCAGAGAGCACTGTGGACTCATGCAATGGTGGATCTGGACCAAACTTGGCATGAATACTCAATATGCCCAAATGTGAACACTGGTGGAGTCCGGGGAAAATAGATCTTGACATTTGGGAGTTGTAGTTGCTGGAATTTATAGTTCATTACAATCAAAGAACATTCTAAACTCCACCAACCATTGAATTGGCTCAAACTTCCCACATGGAATCCCCATGACCATCAGAAAATACTGTGTTTTCTTATGGTCTTTGGCGACTCCTCTGACACCCCCTCGCGACCCCCTCAGGGGTCCCGACCCCCAGGTTGAGAAACACTGACTTAAAGGGTAGGGCTAAATAGTAAAGGGCATGGGTCATATGGTAGCAGTAAAGATAGGAGTAATAATAAAGTGCGAGGACAAGACTTAGGGTCTGAGATGGGGCCAGCTAGTTAAGGAATTGACTACTCAAAAGCACAGCGGAACATCCATGTCTTTGCAGAAAGTGGCCAGATAGGATGCTAGAGGGTCACCCCATTGGCAGGGCTATTTTGGAGCAATCTTGGCAATATAGCCTTCGATTTGGACTCCAGACCCCAGAGTCTTCTATTCAGTATGGCTGTTGGAGGTTGTAACCCAAAAAAGTGACTTCCAATCTCTGCTAGGAAATTGCAGTTCAGTGACAGCTGGAAAACTTTTTAGACAGCTTTTCTGAAATCGGACACAGCTTCCTTTTCTTCCTAAACTGTTAAATGTTGAGTAACAGACACAATTTCCAATACCTAGTAGGAATTATAATGTATGTTGATGATTCTCTGTGTCTTCCCACCACTGACTCAGCCAAGTGGATTCATCTCTCTGGAATAAAGAGAAGCTGCTCAGCGTCTGCATCGCCAGCATCTTTGCCTTGCCCTCAGTTGACACCTTATTAAGACAAGATTGGGAAAAGGCTGATGTACAGGTAACATATCGGCTGTGGGAAGACACTGTCTACTGTTGTTGTCTTTTAATGGTACTTAAAGTTATTTTTAAAATCAGTATTGTTCAGAATTTGATGATAGCACCTTAGTTCTGCTCAATTTACATACTGTGACAAGGGTTCTTTTGTGAACTGTTGAATTCTTAACCCAAACCTTGATTTAAGAGGGGGTTTCTTCCATCATTAGAGCAAAATACATGGCAAAATACATGGAGACTATATCTTGTTGGGCATTTTAAGATAGATCTGTGCTGATTTTAAAACCATAATCTACTAGTTAGCTCAACTGTCAATTTCTGGCTGACATTCTGTTAGTCAGCAAACATGCACACATTGTGTGCTACTCATCTCAAGATGACTCATTCACCATGACCCAACAGACATACCCTGCTGATGCATTTAGCAATGTCGTGCATTGTGGTTACGCACTGCACATTACTTATTGTACATTGTACAACAGTACGCAATCATTGACATATGTTGTGCTGCATTATTATTCTGCACAGAGATAGTGTAATGCTGATGCAACCTATCTCCACATACAGATATGAACACTATGCAGGGGATATTTAATTGTTGCCAGTGTGCAATGTTTTGAGATGTTCTGCGATTTCCATTTCTTCTTCAGGCATTGTATGACCAGACAGTGAAAGCAATGGAAGCAATGCTGAGCCACCTCTTATCAGGCAACCCAAACACAACTGAACTGTTCCTACTCTTAGAAGTAAGCAATGGTGATGTATTAGTACCTATCCACTTGTTTGGGCAAGTAATATGGAAAAGGAACCTGGTCTATGTGTATGTAGTTCCTCTATTCCCAAATTAAAGGTATATAACTTATTTTTCTTCCCAGTCTGATTTTTACCCTCATATGAACTTTTCATCTGGAAGCACCTCTGTTCAAACAAACAGACATACTCCCCCAATTTGATGGGTTTTTTTAAAAGAGCATTGCTAACAGTGTGCCCCCATTATCTCCGTAGCAATTCTCACCCTGGATGAAATCGGCACAAGCACATGAACGGGCAAGAGCAGTGAAAACCTATGTATTCCTGTTGAAATTTGCAGCCACTTACCCAAAGTTTTATGTGAGTGTGATCTAGGTGGTTCAGCAGCAAGCATTGAGAGAATAAGATGTATTCCAATACAGGTGACTTCAAGACCATTAAAGAGTGTATGACACATAAAAGGTACAAGTAAAGGTTTTCCCCTGATTTTAAGTCCTGTCGTGCCTGACTCTGGGGGTTGTTGCTCATCTTGATTTCTAAGCGAAAGAGCTGGCATTGTCCATAGGCATCTCCAAGGCCATGTGGCTGGCATGACTGCATGGAGCACCGTTACCTTCCCACTGAAGCGGTACCTATTGATCTACTCATATTTGCATGTTTTCAAACTGCTAGGTTGGCAAAAGCTGGGGCTAACAGTGGGAGCTCACACTGCTCCCCGGTGTATAACACATACAAACATTTAAAACAGATAATGTGAGTAGGCAGAATGGGAAGTTTCATCATATGACTATTGTGAAGAGAAATAACTGAGTGCTCCAGAGATCTCTGAAGTAAATCAGGTTATCTGTATATCTGGGAGGCTGTGGCAACATTATAGAAAGATGACTGTGGTCTTCAAAGTCTATAAATGCCAAACAATTTGAAAATGATAATTCTGTTTGCTATTTGAGCAAGTTTGGAGAACAGTGGAAGCTGATGCTTACTGTTTGTCTGTCACTTGGCTTCCTCTTGCCATCACAAAACAAGGGTGACGGTTTGCAACTGAAGGGAACCAGAAGCTTACATGTGAGCCTTTTTCTAAGGTGATAAGAAAAAAGGGCTTCTTGTTATTTAAAATCCCCCAAAAGCTCATTTTGCCAAACAAAGCAAGAGGTGTCCTAAAGGAGGTGCTTTTTGCAACATTGAGACCACATAGACAGACTAACATGAAAACAAATCAGATGTTATCGGGGAACGGAGGCAAAGCCAATTTTAATCCCAAACAGTATTTGTCCATTTCTCCGCTCCCTTCATTTTCAAATGTCAGCATTTTCATTATCTCCATTCAGGTCTCTCCTGAATGTCCCAGGCTAGGGGTTTTGATTGGTCAGTTATGCCTACGTCTCAATGACCCCAAAAAGGAAATTGCCCGAAAGGCTATGCAAGGCATATATTTCCTGTATTGGCTTGTACAACAGCAAACAGGTAAGAAAGGAGCATTTAAGACTCCATGTGAATATATATAAGAGGGAATTTCTCAAACCACAGTCAACAAATGGTCATTTAGGGCTACTGGAAGAAAACCAGGAACCCTGTCAGTGACTAGTAAGCAGCCATAGTGAAGATCATTACTCTTTGCTGGACAATGTAAGATTTTGGTCTCAGAGTGTTGGATATTCCTCTTTATTTATTTACAAGTAATCGGTTGTGTGCAACTATAGGTGTGCAATATGCGATCAAGCTAGAAAGAGAAGAGATTTGATTTCCTTACATCCAATTTCCAGGACAAACTTGGCAGGATTTCAGAATGTTTCCAAGAGTCAAAACTATATTTGTCCTTTTCCTTCAGTATCACTTGGGAGTCCTGTTTCTATTCAATGTTCCTATTATACATCAAATTCAAAACCCATCTTTAATCACTGATATGGCCAACTCTTCCAAATAGCTGTCTAAACCAAGGGCAGTTTTTGACAACTCTTCTGGCCATTCTGAGGCATTTACCTGTAATTTTCCTAACAAAGGGTGGCAAGGGCAACTTGTTTACTGACTACTAAATTTGACATTAATCACTAACTTTGGCCCTCTTTCCCCCAAAGTATAGATTTCTTCACAGAAATCAGATAGCACACACTCTCACTTCAGCATAAAATATTAAAAAGGAAGCAACTATTAAAAGTGAAATCTTAAAAACCAGTTCTCTCTCTCTCTCATTTCAATGGGATACTGAAATGAAAGCTGATTCATTGGAGCAAGGGCAATTCGAAATATGCAAAGAGATTTTGGGTCCTTACAACGCTGCTACGTCTCATTGCAATATCATTCACATTATTAAGGTAAATAATCATTGCTGTATGTGATGCAGTATAGAAACCTTGAAAAATATATGTATTGTAAAACACCAATGTAATCCTAGTTGTGTACAGTGTAAAGAGAAGCAAAGAATATCATCGCCATCTTTTGTCGTGATTTTTGCGGCTGTAATTGCCATCTCCTGTGGAATATGGTTCATCAATCTACATTCCTTTCAGATGGGTGAGCCTCATTTGACCTCAGCAGTGCTTCCAAATCCATGGAATCAAGTTTCATGTGAATGTTGTGTCTAGTTTTAGATTATTCTTAAATAAACCAAATGTTAATTTAAGTTTACAACAATCCTACACACTTTCAATGGGGATCATTTTCCAAAGAAGTCAGATAAATCCACTGGTGTATTAACACTGAAGAATGTAGAACAACATAGAACCTTAATTCTAGAGAATATAGATTCTGCAGATATAGAGAATTACTATTACCTTCATATTTCATCATTGGCCAGAATGCCTGAGAATTGGGATGTGATAGTGTTTAGAAGCCATGGAAGCCCCAGCCCTACTTTATTCCTCCCTGCAAAAGTTCCTTAGAATGCAGAGGGGGAATGTGTAGCAGATATTGGATCCTAATGCCAATCAACCTTAGCCAGCTGGGTTGTGATAGGATAGATATTGCACTTTCTGAATGGCCACAAGTTATGTATAATATTTGTGAGTTATACTGAATTTATTTACTGTTATTTATTTTATATGTAATTGATGTATTTACACCTGTTGTTTGCTATGTGCTTATTTGTTGTATACTGACTTTCATTGTAAATTGCTCCGAGTCCCCTTGGGGAGATGGGGCAGAGTATAAATAAATATTATTATTATTATTATTATTATTCTGACACAAGAACACAGTATGTCACAGCAAATGAGATATATATGTTGGATTTCGTATCACAAAATCACAAGTTGAAAACTTCCCAAGCGTCTAAGACTGTGTGGTGTATTTTCGAATGATGTGCACAAATCCAAGTAAGGTGGCCTTTTGCAGTTGACAGATTGTGATTTTATCGATGATGATGATGATGATGATGATTATTATTATTATTATTTGATACACAACAAAATTAGTACACAGCAAACAAGATCACTATGCTAGCTTTTGTATTGGATCACATGTCGGATACTTCCCAAGTGTCTAGGACTGTGTGATGTATTGGCAAATAATGTGAGCAGATCTGAGTAGGGTGCCTTTTGCAGCTGACAAATGGTAATTTTGTCAGCGTCAATTGTTTTAAGTGCTGGCCAAGGTCTTTAGGCACTGCACCCAGTGTGCCAATTACCACTGGGACCCTTATTATTATTATTATTATTATTATTATTATTATTATTATTATTCCTACTACTACTACAGGTTGCTCATTTCCCTCCTTAAAATAAGTAGTCCTTGTCACATGAGACGTTCCTCTCCATTGTCTTCTGTAGCAATTGCTGCTTTCTCAAGCAATGCCTTTCACATAAAAGGCCACAAGGTGCTGCTCTGTTTATTCTCTTTTAGGAATTTGAACCATTTCTCAGCTCAAAACAGATGACAGAGCTTTTATTGATGGCTATAGACTGCCTAAAGGAAGCCAACAGGCACACGACTGCAGCCTCCCATGCCATCACATCTGTCATCATGGAGTTCTACAAGCACAAATTACATGAGCAAGTAAGATAAATTGGGAGAAGGCCAAGAGAAACAAATCAAGCAATGACTAAGGCTGTTTTTCAGAAGTTACCACTAACATTTTATATCCCTGGACATATATCGAACCTGCTTATGGGAAAGGACTATAATCCTGTATGATCCTGCCAGGGCAACGTGCAGTCAGGGCTCCCTAACTGCTTTTTATGCCAGTAATTCTTGGATTACCTGATTTGAGCAGTGTGCTGTGCACCAATCCTGGCGAAAAGCAAAATGAACATTAGATTACACCTAAACATTAAGAAGAATTTCCTAAGGGTAAGAGCTGTTCTACAGTGGAATATGCTACCTTGGAGCTTGGGTGCATCTCCTCCCTTAGAGCATTTGTTTAAAAAGGAGGCAGATAGCACCTCTGGCAGGAGTGTTTTGATCATGTGTTTTACTGCATGGCAGAATGGGGTTGGATTGGATGGCCCTTGAGGTTTTTTCCAACTCTGTTACCACAATTGTTTGAACATAGAGTGAACATTTCACACATTGTCAGTCGTGGAAACAGAGCTTGCTTAAAATACTTTGTCATAAATAGCCCCAACCTGTAAAGGTATATAATGCCCAAGGCTTCCAAGTTATTTTAACACCTAAGACACTCTCAAAGGGGCCTCTTCCTCTCCCTTGAAGCAAAAATACAATAGTATTTTTTTTTAAAAAAAACAACTTTAAAAATTGCCTTTTCATGACTGTCGGAATCAGCTGAGTGAGTAAGGTGCTTCGCTGTGTCTGCAAAATATTCAGTAGATCCTCTAAAATAGATAAGTTACCTGGCCATAAAAATATGTTTTCCTTACTGTTATTTTCCATAGCAATTGCTACCTTCTGGAAAAAGAGTTAAGTATTTATTTTGTTTTGGTTTTTTGTTTTTTTGCAGTGTGAACTCTGTCTTACATCTAAATATGGCTGTTGTTGCTTGTTTTCTTCAAGGTGCCAGAAATTGTGGAGAAGATTTATCAGCAGCTTGGTTCCATCTATCAACCACGGGACAGGCAAATAATGATGAGGGTCTTGGCCCATCTGACTCACACCTACATGGAAGAAGTATGCAATGCCCTTCTACAGTGCCCTTTTCCAATTGACAGGTACAAAGCTCCCTGGTCTAAACCATGTCAGAAGCTCAACTCTCCTGGTCCGAAATTCCCTCTTTAGTTACTCAGAAGAACATAGTAAAAGCTGCTATTTTTTTCATCTATTCCAGTGGTTCTCAACCTGTGGGTCCCCGGATGTTTTGGTGTTCAACTCCCAGAAATCCTAACTGCTGGTAAACTGGCTGGGATTTTTGGGAGTTGTAGGCCAAAAACACCTGGGGATCCACAGGTTGAGAACCACTGATCTATACCCTGGCATTTTAGCAAAGAGGACTTGGATGATTTTAACCTTCCTCTTCAAATAGCCTGGGATGACTCTCGACCAGTGTTTCTCAAACTGTACTCTTCCAGGTGTTTGGACTTCAGCTCTCAGAAATCCCAGCCAGTTTACCAGCTGTTAAGAATTGTGGGCCCTAAAGTTCAAAATTTCTGGAGGGACACACTTTGAGAAACTCTGCTCTAGACATATACAAATTGAGTGTCCCTTATCCAAATTGCTTGGGACCAGAAGTGGTTTGGACTTTGGAGATTGGACCCATACATCTTAGAGATGGGACCCATATCTACACATCAAATTCATTTATTTCATATGTATCCTCTACATATAGCCTGATAATAATTTTATACATAGTATTTTTAATAATTTTGTGCATGACACAAAGGTTTTGTACACTGAACCATCAGAAATTAATGAAATTAATTTCATTAAGAAATTAAGGGTATCGCTGTCTCAGTCATCCATATGAATGATTTTGGAGTATTTCAGAATTTGAGATAAGAGATGCTCAACCTAAACATCCAAGTGCTACCAATGAATAGGCATCACGCGCCCCTTTCCAGGCCTGGTTTGGAAAGAGGTATATGGATTGAGATAAGTTCCCTAGACAGTGCAAAAGACCTCACACATTTTGTGCCTCCCCTGCTACAGTCTAGGAAGTCTGCTAATACCTTGCTTGAGTGAAATATCATTATGGATGGTCTAGAGTGGCCAGCTGGTCCTGCTCTCCTACTTCAGCAGCAAATGCAACCCGCAGAGCAAGCCAAGACCGTCCCTCTTTCCATAAGGGAACCTGGCAGGCTGAACTTGTCTAGAATATAATTGGATGCAATCTCAAGAGATCATCACTCTTAACTTTAACAACATAAATATAGCATGTCTGTGTTGGTCCCAATCCAGGTCACATTTACTCACATCCTTGCTTGTATGGGATATAGAGTCAAGAGATGTGTTCATTCATGCAACTGCATTATTGTGGCATAGTTACATGGAATCTACGGTTCATATAATACAGTCTTCATTGTATTTCACAAATATATTTGCTCCCTGTTTGGGGTTTTTTTTTCTCTATCATGGAGAACACATTTGTTTTTCCCTTTCTCAATTTTGCTTTTTCATTTGATTTTTTCTTAGCATTCAGTCTGAAGAAAAGTTGAATTTGAAAATTTACTCACTATTGTGTGTCTGTGATGTTTCTATACTAAGATGAATTTAAAATCTTAATTGGTCCTAATCATGGAATTATGCTATGGTTACTTAAGCATAACATGCTACTTACACTCAGCTTCCATTGTAAGCATCTGGTGCCAAGAGTTACTGTTATTATTGTTCTCTGAGGAGGCTATTGGGACTCCATTTATTTGCAGTCCAGTGAGTAAGCAAGCATGCATGACAGTTTGAATACACACCCTGAAATGTGCCTTGTTTCTCCACCTGCCCTGAATTTGCAGATTTTCCGCTGAGATGTGGTACGTGTTGACAAAAGCATGCTCAGACTATGAACTAACCATCATTGCAAACACACTGCTGAAAAAGCTGCAATTGAGTCCAAAGGCTACTGGAGACTATGCCACACCACTGGCTGTAAGGAATTGTTGAAACCTTTTTCTATTTCATATTAAAAAGTGGGTAGAAATGTTACCTTTTTTTAAAAAAATAGCTCCCTAAGAGAAGGATTGTATGTTGGCCCCAGCTTCAGTGTCCAGTCCCAAAACTGATGTGTTTGTGTGCACGTTACTGGCTAGACAAGAACATGTCCCATTGAAAGTCTTAGTTCACATTTCTAATGAAATGAGTTCAGGAAAAGCAGACATGTACAATTGGAGTAACTCCACTGGCTGCCAATTAGTTTCCGGGTAAAGAACAAGGTGTTGGTTTTGACCTTTAAAGCCCTACATGCTTTTGGTCCAGTTTACCTAAAGGATTACCTTCTCCCATACAATCCACCCCACACACTTTCATCTTCTGGGGGGCATCTGCTCCAACCAACCAGAACCCAACTGGCAACCACCACCCAGAGGACCTTTTCATTGGCCGCACTACGACTGTGGAATGGCCTTCCAGAAGAACTCTGACAGCTAAATGAGCAGTCAGAATTTAAAAACCATGTAAAGACCTATCTCTTCTGGTAGGCCTACCCAGACAGTCTTTAAACATGAATTTTAAGTGTCCTCCTTTGATCTCTGTTTTGTGTGCTTTAGAACGTATTCTGTAGAGATACATTTTGGTGTGTAACTTTTGGAGGTACTTTGTTGTGTTTTGCTGTGTTGTGTATTTTAATTATTTTGTAACTCACCTTGCGCAACGAGAAGTGGGTAATAATAATAATAATAATGGAGATCCCTTCTGCACAGCTCCTATATCACAGGCTCTGTTCTCAGGTTTTCTGTTTATCCCAGATTATCTGACAGTGTGGACTAATATAATCCAAAGCAGAAAACCTGGGGAAAGAGTCTGGGATGTAGGGCCTGTCAGGGGTCCCTTCCACACAGCTGAATAAAATTCCACATTTTCTGCTTTGAACTGGAATATATGGCAGTGTGGAGTCAGATAACCCAGTTCAAAGCAGATATTTGTGGGATTTTCTGCCTTGTTATTCTGAATTATATGGCTGTGTGGAAGGGCCTTGGAAGGGCTCAAAGGCTCATAAAATCCAGTTCAAAGCTGATAACCTGGGATCAGATCCTGGAATAAGGGCAGTATAGAAGAGGCCTCCCTTGCTGAAATGTAGGCCCGCTTAGAAAATATTTCTTTGCAATACGTCTTTCTTTTCCCCAGGCTGCCAGTGCATTCTGCAAGTTGTTATCGGTGCCAAAATGTTCAGATGTGGCACTCTACATCTATCCCCGACTGCTGATGGCGCTTCTTGTTCAACTACACTATAACATCAGGCACAATGTTACAGGGAGGACGATGTCTCCGGAGAAAGATGATTCTGTGAGGTGAATATAAGAGAAATGAAATTGAGATGACAGGCTCCAGACATTTCCTAGGAGGATTACTATACTATACCATAATGATGTAATTCTGTGCATTATGGTAATACCTCATGTGTGCACATTTGCCCACAGGAAAAAAAATAGTTGTCAGAAATAGTTGGGGCCATTGGATCATGAGTTTGTGGGAGAAAGCAACATCATTTGAATTTGAGTTTTCCCAGGTCATGCTATTGAGGGAGACTGATAGATCTCAGTTTTGGTTTTGGAATTCAGTTGTGTTGTGATGGCACTGAAGACTCTTCTGTTAGCTGTGAGATGCTATTGTGAGTTTGCTGTTATGGAGAAGGAGCAGGGCTGGGATCTACTCTCCAGCTGTGAAGATCACCATCGAGGAGTAGGCCTTCTTGCCAGGTGAGCACTAAAAATGTCACAGTGCCCAAAATGTTCACAAACCTTCTCTCAAGCACAGAATTGCTGACAGTAAAGTTTTATCTTTGTGATGTGTGTCTCAACCAGAGCCATGCTTCAAAGCACCTATTATTTGGACCTTCAGAGGATCTTGTACCTCCTGGTTCCCTTCTTGGAGCGAGGGGATGAAGAGCACCAGATCACAGCCACAGCTTTCTTTGTTGAAGTAAGGATTGAAAACTGCAGGGCTTGGAAGAACTTGTTGATGTCTGCAAGGAAGGTTATGCAACTGATTTTTTGATGAATCTGTTGAACATTGTCAGTGATGATTTGTTAGGGCTGGCCAAAAAAATTTGGGACATATAGATGCACAATATAAATGAATTTAGGATAAAGAACAGCATTCATAGAATCATAGAATAATAGAGTTCGAAAAGACCACATGGGCCATCTAGTCCAACCCCCTGCCATGCAGGAAAAGTACAATTAATGTCCAAAATTGAAACCATCACAAATGTGGAGGTTGTCTAAATTGAGTCTAAATTTTTTGGACTTATCATGAGAAAACATGACAAATTATACACTTTGGAAGAAGCATGCAACAAAACCCTGGAAGACTCAACATCCTTTGGTTACTTATGCAAGGCTTACCTGACCCGGTTCTTTCATTTCATATGCCTAATATTTGTTTTGAATGAAACGTTTGCTGAAATGTATTGACCTGCTCACTTTTTTTGTGGCATAGCAACCTATCTCTAGGCTTTCCATGTTATTTCTACCTCTGTTGCCATTTTTTTATTAAGCAGTAAAGCCCAGGAACATATGTATTCAATTAATTGAGATATGCCTGAGATGCAGCTTCATTAGAACAAGAAAAAAAAATAATAGAGAAGATTCTTTGTCGGCCAATTTCTTCTTTACCTGTACTTTATCTTTTAGCTTCTTTGTATGTCAGAAGCCAGAAGACTTCCAGATCAGTATTCCATTTGCCGCCTGAAGCGAGGCCTCATGCATGAAATCTCAGTTATAAGGGCATTGAGTATCAAAGGGCTTATTAACATGATAGACTGGCCAGGAAAGGTAAGTGACAAGTCCCATCCTGTAACCTTCCTGAGCTTTTTTAGAGTAACTTTAGAAACATTAATTGAGGATCAGAAAGCCCAGGAAGCAACAAAGTTGCTCTAGATTCCAGCCTTGCAAAGGAGATCTAGAACCTAGTTCAGCTCATATGGCAAAGTGTGATCACATTGTGCTCTGCATGGAGATGTTTGTGCATAGCAGCCAGCTCAGTCATGGAAATCCCTGTTCAGCCATGGAAATCTACTGTGTGATCTTGGGCATCACACTTTCAGCCTTGGATGGTGGCAAGGGCAAACCTCCACTGAACAAATTCTTCCAAGACAGTCCTATGATAAGCTCACCATAAGCCAGAATTGACTTTGAAGGCATATATATATCTACAAATTTTCTAGAGATGCATTTACTTACACTGTGATATATTATGTAGTCAGTATATGGATATTACAATTTTATTATAATATTAAAAATAAATAATATAATTTTACATTATATTATGTTCTGTGTTTGTTTGTTCTGCTCTCCCAGTGGTAACTATTGGCTTCAAAGTCAGTTGGACAGTGAATCCATTTTAAGTTTCCATTTGGACTGTAAGGAACTATTCAAGGTGCTGAACAGTGTGTCCAAAATAGGTTCAGCACCTTGGACGGCACCTTTAATCAAATACTATCATGACCTGTAGTGATGTATGGGGAAAGGTCATATTCCAACTATCTATGGAAATGTGTGTATCCTCCTTACCTGCTCTGTGTATTTAATGTGCTTCTAGCCAATTACAAATCTTATTTAACTTTTTCTTTAGCTTTAGAGTCATCATCATACAATTCACAAACATTTTATCATATAAAGGAAAAGTATAAGGTTAGGGGAAAGGTCATGGTACATAAAACTAAAATGCACTTGCCAAAACAATCTCAGAAGTCAAAGCGATTGAAATCACTTTAAGGCTGCAATCCTGTGCATTCTTCCCAAGACATACATCCCACTGAACTCATTTTTGAGTAAGAATGTATCCAGTGTCATTTTAATGGACTTTCTCAGTAGGAAAAGGTGGATGATGGGCTTTTTTTGCTGTAATTAAAACCGTACAATAGATTCTTGTATCTCGAGCACTTTTCCTGAAGTTTTGTTGTCTTCTCCTTAAACTTGATGTATTTAAGCTGTTCTGTCAAAAATCAAACTTAACATGATAATACTTTGTGTATTACATCAGTTGGATCCCATCAACTGCAATGCCTTTCTCTTGTTCAGGAAGTAAAATTGTTATTGCCAGCCATGACAAAAGGCCTGTCTGGAATGGATGGGAGATTGTTTGTGGAAAGTGTGGCGGAAATAGAGGGGCTTCTCAGTGGCCCAGAAGGAGCAGATTGTATTTGCAACATCACAGATTCTCTTCAGGACCTCTTCGGTGATGTAAGAAAATTGTATATGACTAGCTGACGTAATAGCAAACCATCTTACAGAGAAAACACCTCTTAAGATCCAGTGGTGGTATAATAACTGGAGTGTTGAATTTGGCTTGCGGAGTTGAGTATGTATTAAAAATATTCCAAAAGGTTGATAGAATAATAAAATGACTGAAGAGGGGAAAACAGGGGTGCTGCTCTGAGCAAAATGGAAAAGCGAGATAGCACACAATAAATAATCATCTTGTATGTAGCTCTACATAAGGCAGTAGTTTCAGCGCTGCACTATGACTAGAGTTTGAATCCCTGTTCAGCCATGGAAACTGAATGACATTAGGCAGAGAAGGCCAAAAACAACCTCTTCCCCTAACAAATCTTGCCAAGAAAATCTAATGATAGGTTTGTATTGAGATCACCATAACTCAGAAATAAGAGACAATACAAATAATTTAAAAATCCAAGTAGTGCAAAATACGGTAAATAGTGAAGAACATGATCCAATAATGTACGAGGGTTATCTGGAAAGTAGGGTTACAAGGCACATAGTTCTTACAGGGAATTTTCTCAGGGGAAGTTGGTATCACTGCCGTGTAATGGGAAATCAGTAGAAATGAACGAGCAGTGCCAGTCGTCAGTAGTTCATCAACTGGCATTGTGGTGGTGGAGAGAGATGAACGTCCTCATTCCATTTCCCTCCAACTGCGAAGTTCATGCTGTAATACACTACCTAAATGCTAAGGGCATGGATGGCGCTGTGATTCATTGCGAAATCCTTTCAGTTTATAGAGAGGATGTAATGTCAAGACTGCATGTGACAAAAATTTCGCACAGCCATCCAAAACAAACATTGTGGGATGCGAATGGTGGGAGTCTGTCTCCTTCATGACAATGTGCATCCACACACTGTTCATGCAACGTAAAAGCTGTTGACTTCATTTGGTTGGGATGTTTTAAGCCACCCCTCTCACAGTCCCAATCTCGCACCCAGTGATTATCGTCTGTTCACTAAATTGAAGGAACACTCTAGCGGAAAACACTCTTCCGGCGAAGAAGAGGTGAAAATCAAAGTGACAAACTGGCTGAAAAAAGCAGTGGGAAACTTCTATGACACAAGCATCAAAACCCCTTCTATGGATGACAAAATGGTGATTATGTGGAAAAATAAAGTAATACCTATGTTAAAATTAATGTAAGTTTTATTAAAATATATTCATTCTTTGTGTTTTTAAAAAATATTGTAACCTTACTTTCTGGATAACCCTCATACTTCAGCATCCAGTACTACCACTTCTTCCAGCTGTAGGAATTCCATATGTATTCCAGATGGTTTCTCCTCTCTCTGGTCTCCAGAGCAAGATACTTAGGGTTCATAGGGTTGCAAGAGAGATAACCGTAGATAGAAGAAGTGGGATCCCCAAGAAAGAACAGCAGTGGATCCTGGACTAAATAATAGACACTCTTCTGACTTTGCCATATGTGAATCAGTGTCTTTCAATCAGAATCATATTGTTCTTGATTTGGACAGTCTTATGAACTCCCTTTGTCTTGATGCTTACAGAAGAGAGACAGTGTGCGTGCTTCTGCCATATATCTTTTTGGGAGAATGGTGAAAAGGTCCAAGAAGAGCAACAAACTAATGATAAGGCAACAAATACTAGAAAACATGATTCCATTATTTTTGCATCTCCAGGAGGAGAATGCTGACATCAGCAAGGCAAGTTCTTACTAACATAGATTAGTATTAATTTCCAAGGCACCATCAAAATATTTATCAGTCAGATCATATAAACAAGAGTCCTAGCATCTATCTGTGCATTCTTGAATGTGTGTTCTCAAGCTTGTTACCCCTGTCATGTAACTCCTATCAAAGTTGACCCTTCCATTGTCTACTCTGTTTTATTTTATTTCATGTCAAAAGCATTGCATAAATAAGAATAAAACTGATAAAAATAGAGGGAACACAAGTGGCTAAATAATTTTTGACCACTCAAAAGGCTGTGATAACTGGCATGAGCCAGGCATGCCCAGCTTCTCACAGTCATTTTCTCTCTTGTGTGCAAATATCAGAGTGTCATTTCTTCCTTTAAAGAATTCAGTAGGTGGATAGTATTAGATTCTGAATGTTTCAAGTTGTATATTACTTTCTTGTAGAAATCTAAATACACCTTAGAGGAATCCTTTCACTTCCTGGGATGGAAACCTCCAAAGCAGATTGTCAGCTGGAAAGCTTGGCATGAGCATGAAGACATTCTGGATGAAACATGCAGATATCTTGTAAGTTACCCACAAGTTTTTTGCTATCACAAATTATTCTTGTTTCAAGAATAAAAGAAGGATATAAAACCTGATTGCAGTGTTCCTTTGGTATTCACTGGAGTTTGGTTCTAGTACCCCCTGTGGATACCAAAATCTGTGGATACTTGAGTTCAGTTATATACAGCGTCATAAATGGTGTTCTTTATACAAAATGGCAAAATCAGGATTTGCTTTTCTGGTTACCAAAATGCTTTAAGGTGGCGGATCTGTGGATGTACAATCTGGATACAGAGGGCAAACCGTATAGCAAAGATGTTGGAAGACTTTTGAAAAGCCATTTGCATTAACATTTGCATTTACTCATGCAATGCTTATCTCATCTATTTATTTCATTTCACATATGGATATCTTTAGTTCTGAATACAACTGAAGTACACATGTATTTTATTTTCCCTCAATGTGCAAAGTGATTTATGTGGTCCTTACAGGAGTCCAGGTCTGGGATATCCTTTATCTACACAGTACTGTGATAAGATTCAAACAATCTAGAAAAGGGGTGAGAACAGGGTGGCCCACAAATGTTCACAGAATCATAGCATTGGAAGTACATTGGACTGCAATTCTCATCAACCTCACCCAACATAGCCATTGGTGGGGATGATGGGAGATTATAGTCTTCATCATAATGGAAAGGGCCACAAGATCCCCACCCTATCCTTGCTCAAAAGCTACTCTCTTCAAACATTAATAATGTAGTAGTATCTAAGTTTACTCTTTGGATGAAGCCAGTTCTATATTTCTTGCACTTTCAGATAGAAAAACAAGAAGGAGCTCTTCAAAGATTCTTGTACCAGGGCATTTTCTACACAGAAAGTCCCATTATTTCTATAAAAAGGGCTTCCATCATGCTCCTTAGTTTCCTAATACTACATATGGACAACACAGTTGGAAAGGAAGACTTAAATTTGGTATCCCAAAGTAAGTAAAGAAACAAAGTCTAAAATAATTGTAGTAGTATGCATAATACTAGATAAACATCATGAAAACAGAAGACAATCAAGCTAGGAATGGGAAGATTGAGGCCAGCATTGCTAATAGTGAGTTACTGCCTAACAAATAACAGGACTGCAGAATGTATGCTTCTGCCTTGTACAGACTGCCATTCTGTTTTTCTTGCAATTGCTACTTCTGTGATTATATAGGTCATTCTTGACATGGTTGTTGTGTTGTATGTTGCCTTGAATGCTTCAAGCAAATTGCTCTACATTGTCCAGCCTATATTAATATATTGTCACATAAAATATCAGTAGAATGCTGAACAATTGTTTTCAGATATAATATAATTATTCTTCCTATGTTGTTTTCAGCTCTCGAACGCCTGATGCATGACTCTGATGTATCTGTGTGCATGACCGCAGCCCATGCCCATGACCGCATCTCTGCTGTTCTCTCAAAACAGATTAATAGACTTGATGGCAACAATATGACCACAGCCAGTGACTCTGTGGCTGAAAAGCTGATCAGCAATTCCAGATCCCAGAACTCTTTCCGCAACAGCAGTTCCAGTCTGTTTCGCGTCATCGGCCTCTGGAAATCTGCCAACAGGAATTAGGCTCTTGCTGGTTGGTGGGAAAGGAGTTTGGCACACACCTTTTCATTGCAACAAAATGGCTGCAAACATTACTCTTCTTGCAGTCAACGTCTGGAAGAATAACATGAAGAAGGCCCACAAAAAGGAATCTTTGCTTTATTGTCTCCCTCAATAATAAATGTCACAGGTTCCCTCCACAATCCAGCCTCTTGGATCAGTTTTCAAAGATAGTTGTGCTACTCCATGTCATTATAATAGAGATGGACAAAGTAGAGAGGACTTGTGGCAACTGTTAAGGCAAACCCATTTAGTTTCATATACATTTTCATGGGCACACATCAGTTACCCATGAAATCTTATTCTGAAATGAACTGGTTTGTCTTAAAGATGCTCATCAGCCCATTACCTTGCTAGGGCTATATTAGCAAAAGTTGTTTTCCTTACTTTAAAAATTAAAGTATGGTGCAACCATTTCTCAGCTATTATTTTGTGTTAAATAATAACACTTATTTTTTTCTATAGATGAGAAGATGTGCTACTGCTCTTCTTCTTTATTTCTCTAAATCCAGCTTTAAAAAGATCAGTGTGGGTTGGTAAAAGGATGACAAATGTCAAATTTGATAGGGAGAGTATTAAATAAAATTTGTGTCATTCAAGAGAGGAAGATAAAAATAGGGATATTATCATTAGACATTTTTAAAGCTTTTGATTGTGTGGAATGGTGGACATTAAGGGAGATTATGAATAAATTTGGAATGGGAAGTAGAATAAAAGGATTATTAGAACAATAGTATTCAGGTTTGGGGTCCACACAAGTTGGCAACACAACAGCTATTGGGATAATGGATTATGACCTGTTAGGATCATAACCTATTGGGTAGAAGAGTTATGGAGATGTTCCTTTAGTTTATTGAATAATGGATGATCATTGGGCTCATAAATACCTCTATTCAATGCTCTCAGCAGACGCAGATTCAAATAGACATCTTTTAAAATAACAAGTTTGTTTTACTCATAACTTCCTGTATTTAAATACACAGGCACATTTCTTGTCAGGTTGAACTTTAAAATGTTTCAGTTTGTATCTTTAACTTATAGTCTTTAACAGTCTCTTCAAAAACTATAGAGCTCTATACAATTCTCTTTTATAAGAGTCTACTTTCAAAGAATTCAAGTATCAACAGTTTTCTAACTTCTAACACTGGCATCTGACTGAAAAACAGATTTCTGTACTCAAGCTGACTCAAGACTTAACTGTCTTCTAACTTTTAACACTGACTTCTGTATTATAACTGACCCAAGCCTTAACTCACTCAAACCTTAGCAGCCATTTAGAATGCTTTTTAAACTGTCATAATGATCTGCAGTCCCTCCCACTGCCTCAAATATATAGAGCTAAGGAAACTGCAGAGCTAAGGAAACTGCAAACCAAAGAAGAATACACTTCAGGAAATAAAACAACACATTATAAACAGACAAAACATGAAATAGTAGATATGGGAAATCCATGATTCTAAAGTACTTAAAAAACTAGAGGGCGCTGGTGCTTTGCTTCTAAAGTGTTGCAAAAGTTCTGGTGGTGAAAATTTCAGAACTCTTAACAAAACTTTCAAAAAATTATTACTATTTCTTATTGGGAATTTTTTTATGACAGAACCAATTAGGAACTGCCATTTATAATGAAATTTTGAAAGTTTTGTTAGAGTTCTGTATTTTTCATCACTAGAACTTTAGCAACACTTTAGAAGCAAAGCACCAGCACCCTCTAGTTTTGTAAATACTTAGTCATTTAGAACCATGGATTGCCCATGCCTATTAAATAGAGAAGGCTTGGGGAGGTTGCTATCTTCAAAAACAACAACTGCATAGTATCTATTTCAGCATAGGAGATAAGGCAGATAAGTGGTCACCAAAACTTTAAAAGTAAATTTTAGGATACATTTTTAAAACTCTCAATAAGACAGTAGCTGTCACTGGAAGCAATTAGACTTTCTGTGATGTGTCACAATTAAAATATGTCCCTGTTTCAGTGAATTATGGAACTATTAAAAGCAGAAGCCTTAAAGAATTTACTGTAAACCAGGTATGGGCAAACTTGGCCCGCCCAGGTGTTTTGAACTTCAAAGCCCACAATTTCTAACAGCCTCAGACCCTTTCCTTTGTCCCCTCAGTTACTTAAGGGGCCTGAGGCTGTTAGGAATTGTGGGAGTTGAAGTCCAAAACACCTGAGAGGGGGGCAAATTTGCCCATGCCTGCTATACCCTATATCATGGTTTTCCCATGACATTAAATCCAGTCATGTCCTACTCTGGGGGTTGGTATTCACCTCCGTTTCTAAGCCAAAGTGCCAGCATTGTTCGTAGACATCTCCAAGGTCATGTGGCCGGCATGACTTCATGGAGCGGCTACCTTCCAGTTGGAGCAGTACCCATTGATCTACTTACATTTGCATGTTTTTGAACTGCTAGGTTGGCAGAAGCTGGGGCTAACAGTGGGAGCTCATGCCGTTCCCCGGATTCGAACCTGCAATCTTTGGGTCAGCAAGTTCAGCAGCTCAGCGCTATAACCCACTGTGCCACCAGAGGCTCCCTATATCATACCATACCATAAAGTATGTATTAGTATATTAATATTGAAATACAGTAATTAAAAGACATATAAAGACAAACTTAATGCAATTTTTCAGCTAACGTTGATTTAAATTCTATTTTAAGGCACCAAAATTTTAAATAAAATCAATTTTAAGGTAGATAAAAATGTAGAATTGAAGGAACGAGCAACTTCAAGGTACATAAAAAATTTTAATGGAAGAAATACCCAAAAGAATAATACAATTTATTACTATTATCATTTGCCAATTTCTTGAGAGTTCCAGCTGCTTGAATTCTGGCTAGCTGATAGTCTAATGCAGGGGTTCTCAAACTTTTTAAACAAAGGGCCAGGTCACAGTCCCTCAAACAGTTGGAGGGCCGGATTATAATTTGAAAAAAAAAATGAATGAATTCCTGTGCACATTGCACATATCTTATTTGTAGTGCAAAAAACGCTTAAAAATACAATAATTAAAATTAAGAACAATTTAAACAAATATAAACTTATTAGTATTTCAATGGAAAGTGTGAGCCTGCTTTTGACTGATGAGATAGGATTGTTGTTATTGTTATGTGCTTTCAAGTTGTTTCAGATTTAGGTTAACCATGAGTGAGGGCCGGGTAAGTGACCTTGGAGGGCCGTATCTGGCCCCCAGGTCTTAGTTTGTGGACCCCTGGTCTAATGTGTTTTTCCAAAAATGTAAAGTTTTATAAATAAGATGGAAATAAGGAAAAAAATATTTCCCGACAAGAATCAATCAGGGCCAGCTAAGACCTCCCAACAAATGATCCCCCCAGGCAGCAACCAGCCAGGCTTTGAAGCTGAAAGGCTATTCAATGCTAATCAAGGTGGCCAGTTGCAACATTCACACTTGCCTCAAGCCGACTAGAATTCTTTCTCCCACCCTGGGCTTTCCATATAAATCTCAGTTGCCTAATTTCCTCACAACCTCTGAGGATGCTTGCCATAGATGTGGGCGAAACGTCAGGAGAGAATGCTCCAGAGCACAAAACGCTCACAGCAACCCAAAAAAGGTTTCCCTTCCTCAAAAAAAGCACCAAATGGCATGTAATCAGAAGAACTGACTTTTGAAAGTTTCTATTGGGACAAGGGGTGAGCAAAAGTGCAATGGAAGATTGCACCCTGAAAGGGATCATGCGTGAATTCAGAGTTTTCTGCTGCAGTGACTGTGCAGCACGTGTCAAGAGAAGTGGGAAGGGCTTCCGATTGGAGAGCCTGCAGAAAACCCGGAAGTGCGGGGCGGGCTCTTCCCTCCTCTCCTCTCCTCTCCTCTTCCCTTATGGCGGCCACAGGGAGCGACGAGGAGGAGGAGGAGGGCGGCATGGACGCCTTCATGGACAGGTTCCGGGGCCCGGAGCGCTACGAGGGGGCTTTCTGCCCGGACACCTGGGAGAAGGTGGGTTCAGTGCTGTGGGATCCCAAAGGAAAGCGTCGCTGCCTTCCTCCCGCCTTCTCTGCCCAAGAGCTCTCCTGCTTCTGCTGTTGCATCTTATCAAACCCCAGCGCCCGGGATTGCATTGCCACGCGCCTCTGCAGTTCAAGGGATGCCCAAATTGCATTGATTTTACAGTGTAGTAGTCGATGCACCTGCCAACCATCTCTAATCAATTGACTGTTGGGAAACCTCTGTATCCCAAACCTTACTCCAAGTGATTTGGACTCCAGCTCCCAAGAGCCTCAGCTGCTGTGGCCAATGGCCGGGGATTATGGGAACTGAAGTCCAAAAACACACGGAATACCAGAATATGGGAAATGTTGTCTTAGGCTTCCCCCAACGTTTCTCAACCTGGGGGTTGGGCCCTAGGGGGGTTGCCAAAAACGATCAGAAAACACCGTATTTTCTGTTGGTCATGGGTATTCTGTGTAGGAAGTTTGACCCAATTCAGAATGCTCTTTGATTGGAGGTAAACTATAAATCCCAGGAACTACAACTCCCAAATGTGAAGTCTATTTCCCCCCAAAACTCCACTAGAGTTCACATTTGGGCATATTGAGGATTCGTACCAAGTTTGGCCCAGATCTATTATTGCTTCAGACCAAAGTACTGTCTGGATGTAGGTGAACTACAACTCCAAAATGCAAGGTCAATGCCCACCAAACCCTTCCAGTATTTTTTGTTGGTCATGGGGGTTCTGTGTGCCAAGTTTGCTTTAATTCAATCATTCATGGAGTTCAGAATGCTTTTTCATTGTAGGTGAACTATAAATCCCAGTAACTAGAATTCCCAAATGACAAAATCAATCTCCTCCTCAACCCCACCAGCATTCACATTTGGGCTCATTGGGTATTTGTGCTAAATTTGGTCCAGTGAATGAAAATACATCCTACATATCAGATAGTTACATTGCGATTCATAAAAGTAGCAACATTATGCTACATTATGAAAGTAGCAACGAAAACAATGTTATTGTTGAGGGTTACCACAACATGAGGAACTGTGTTAAGGGGTTGCGGCATTAGGAAAGTTGACAACCACGAGGGTTTCGATCTGAGAACAGGTTGGCATTCGTACCTTCGGTACGACCAAGTTAAGAAGGAAAAGAACTTCAACAATCACTTCATCAGATTGGCACTAATGAAAATCTGGACCAGACACAAAGCCTAACTATACACAAAGACCCCTCTGTGGGTTTCTCCTCTGGAAGCTGGGCAGAGAAGACTACTAGGGTGGTCAAAGTGGCCCACTTATAAAGATGTACTAATAAAAAAAGAGGGCACGCTACAACTAAAAACAAAAGAAGAAATTACCCAAAAATTTAACACCGTTTCATGGTTTCAATATATTCAACTTAAGGAATACTTTAAGAAGGATAGAGAAATAGGCTTCATTGAAAAAGATGAGTTCCAAGATAAGATCATATTGAAAGAAAAAAAATAATAACGAGGATTTATGGCAAGCTACTAGACTGGGCAACAGAGACTGAGCTAATCAAGGAAAGTATGATAAAATGGGCATCAAACATCGGAAGAGAAATAACACTCAAGGAATGGGAAAAACTATGGACTAAGAAGATCAAGTACACATACTCGACTGATCTAAAGGAGAATCAGATCAAAATGATATATAGGTGGTATATGACACCTCAAAAACTTAGTATAATGTACAAGAACACTCGGAATAAGTGCTGGAAATGCGACACGCAGGTTGGAACATTCTTCCACGCTTGGTGGACCTGTCCCATGGTGAAGACATTCTGGAAGGTGGTGCAGGAGTCATGTGAAAAGATATTCAAAATAAAGATCCAATTAAAGCCAGAATTTTTCTTGCTAGGTTTAACGGGCGAAGAAATAGAAAAAGACAGAAACAATGACATCCTATTTACATACCTCTCCACTGCGGCGAGAATGGTAATAGCAAGAAAATGGAAACAAAGCGAACTCCCAACGAAAGAAGAATGGCTAAACAAAATTCAAGAAATTAAGGGCGCGGATAAATTAACGTTTGCCCTCAAAGAATCTTACGGCAGACCTATCATTAAGACAAATTGGAAATTGGTGGATGACTTCATTGCCGAAGAAAACAAACTGAAAAATTGGTGAAAAGAAAGGAGTAGCAGGAAATAGGAAAGCAATATAGATGAGATAGGAATTAAAAGAAGAAAAAAAGTTATACCCAAAAGCACAATAGAAGTGGAGTGAAGATTTTTTTTTTACAAGCAAAATGAAACAGAAGAATAAGAGGAAAAATGGAGAAGAAGATTGGAAGCTGAAAGCCCCCCCCCTTCCCCACCTTACTCCTACTACCCCCATCCTCATAGACCTTGCACCCCCTTCCCTCCCCCATCCCTGTTTGGAACTCTCTGTATAGACTTGGCCAAAACAGTACCCCAAACCCCAAACCCTCCCCTCTGGTTTTATGTATAAGTAAAAGAGAAAATGTATTCAATAAAAATTATTTAAAAAAAAAAAAGGAAAGTTGACAACCACTGCTCTGCGCTGCCCAATAATGCCATTTGAAATGCCATTATATGATCACTGTGTAGGTTCATATAATGCAGTTCAGTTTAATGAAAATGCATTATATGACACTACATCAGGCTGTTAGGAATTGTGGGAGTTGAAGTCCAATTCATGTAAGTTTTATTAAAATATATTCATTCTTTGTATTTTTTAAAAAATCTTGTAACCTGACTTTCTGGATAACCCTTCTATATATGAATGTGTACCTCTCTCTTCAAAATTACAAAATATTCCTTTCTTTCGATGACCTATTCTTTGCAGTCATCGAAACCAAATAATTTCCTCATTTTCATTTTTTCACAAAAAGTGACTTCCAAACTTTGGGAAATGCCCCTAGTGATCTTTCTCTAATCAAACCGGACAATTTGTCATTTTCTCCTAAATCTGTCAATTTCAACAACTATTCCTCCAGAGTAGTTAGTGGTGTGTTTTCACTGTGTTTTGCTAATTTAAGAGTGGAATATATGTTTGTGTGTTTACATCTGTCAGTTTGAAAGAATTCTGGCAGGTATGGGTGGAAAGTTAGGTGAAAATATGCAACAGAAGTGTCAACATTTGTGTTATTCCTCAGTTTTGGTTGTTCCCAGGGAAGAAGTTGGTTTGATTTGTTATAATTGCCAAGACGTAGTATGTGGATAATGCTAATTCAGAAATTGCTTACTTTGACAACTAAAAACTCTGATTAATGTAAAGCTTTCAGGAGGATCAGCTGCCCAATTAAATGTATGGTGGGATCAAGGAAATATATTTTTAATTATCTGTATTAAGAGTGTATCTCCAAAGGTATGGTGTTTTGGAATGTACTTGCCCGGTCATTGTGATTGTATTTTTACACTGTTTTATTGTATTCTTATGTTTTATTTATTTTATTGAGATGTTTGTTCAGTGTTCTTGGGTTTGTTTTTTTGTTGTTGTTGTAATGCACTACTGGGCTTGGCCTCATGTAAGCCGCCCCGAGTCCCCTTTGGGGAGGTGGTGGCGGGGTATAAATAATAATAATAATAATAATAATAATAATTATTATTATTATTGTTATTATTTCAATCTTGGTAATGGACTGTCTGCATCTGTTAACAGGAATTTGACCAGGTTCCAATGTTCATGAAGAAACTCCCCTCTGAAATAGACCCGAAGCAGAATCCAGACCTGGCTTGCCTTCAGTCTCTCATTTTTGATGAAGATCAGACCTCTGAAGGTAACTTCTGTAATACAATAAATGATATGCATTGTCAGTGTTACGGCTTGGAATTTGCAATTTTAATGTGTTGTTAAAGGCTTTTGTGGCTGGAATCACTGGATTGCTGTGAGTTTTCCGGGCTGTATGGCCATGTTCCAGAAGCATTCTCTCCTGACATTTCACCCACATCTATGGAAGGCATCTTCAAAGGTTGTGAGGTCTGTTGGAAACAAGACAAGTGAGGTTTATATATCTCTGGAATGTCCAGAGTGGGAGAAAGAACTCTTGCCCATTTGAGACAAGTGTGAATGTTGCAATTGGCCACCTTGATTATCACTGAATGGCCTTGCAGCTTCAAAGCATGGCTGCTTCCTGCCTGCCTGGGGAAATCCTTTGTTGGGAGGTGATTGCTGGCCCTAATTGTTTCATGTCTGGAATTCCCCTGTTTTTTGAGTGTTCATTTTTTATTTAAGTCCTAATTTTAGAGGGTTTTTTTTAATACTGGCAACCAGATTTTGTTCATTTTCATGGATTTTGTTCATTTTGCAGTTTTGTTCAGTATTTTTGCTAAAACAGTAAGGATATCATTGGATTTTGGAGTAAGCCCCATGTATCCATGGGAAGTACCTGAAACTGAAGAATGCAATTAAATTCCCTGACTTTTGGTCCCAGCATACTATAGAGCAGGGGTCCTCAAACTTTTTAAACAGAGGGCCAGGTCACAGTCCCTCAAACTGTTGGAGGGCCGGATTATAATTTGAAAAAAAAAATGAATGAATCCCAGTGCACACTGTACATATCTTATTTGTAGTGCAAAAACCACTTAAAAATAATACAATAATTAAAATGAAGAGCAATTTTAGCACATATAAATTTATTAGTATTTCAATGGAAAGTGTGGGCCTGCTTTTGGCTGATGAGATAGGATTGTTGTTGTTGTTGTTGTTGTTGTGTGCTTTCAAGTCATTTCAGACTTAGGTTGACCCTGAGCAAGGGTCAGGTAAATGACCTTGGAGGGCTGTATTCAGCCCCCGGGCCTTAGTTTGAGGATCCCTGCTATAGAGGTTAGCTGAAGGACCTAGACATTTTTAAAGAGGTGCATTCTCTAGGAATTAGTGAAGTTCTCCAGGGTGACTTCCAGGAGACGTATATCATAGAATTGCTGGGATGACGTAGCAAATTCTAAATGAAACCATTTTTGCCAGAGTACAGGTAAATTATGGGGGTCTGAAAAGGTAAACTTTTCCCCAACATTAAGTCTAATCGTGTCCCATTCTGGAGGGTGGTCCTCATCTCCATTTCTAAGACCAAGAGCCGGTGTTGTCCACAGACACCTCCAAGGTCATGTGGCCAGCATGATTGCATGGAGCACTGTTACCTTCCCGCAGAAGCAGTACCTATTGATCTATTCACATTTGCATGTTTTCAAACTGCTAGGTTGGCAGAAGCTGGGGCTAACAGCAGGAGCTCACATCTCTCCCTGAATTCGAACTGCCAACCTTTCGCTCAGCAAGTTCAGCAGCTCAGCGGTTTAACTCGCTGCACCACAAGGGGGCCCTTATGCGGGCCTTACTATATGTTAAATTGACAAGATTCCTCATGGAGACTTAGCTATTATCTTTCTCTTAATTGTAAATGTAAGAAACCAAAAGTGATGAGTTTTAAAGTCTAGTTTTTCAGCAAATATCTTTTGCTCTTTGCACATTGAAACATATAGACTGGGGACCCATACAATGAGTGTCTACCTCAATTCCTGACATCTGTTGTTGCGTTGTTTTTTTCACCAGAGCAAGCCAAGGCGTATAAGAATGAGGGCAATGCTTACTTCAAGGAAAAGGATTATAAGAAAGCAATCCTATCTTATACAGAAGGTCTGAAAAAGAAGTGCAGCGATGTGGAACTGAATACTGTGCTTCACACAAACAGAGCTGCTGCCCAGTTTCATTTGGGTAATATTCAGTTTTCTATGTTGAACTTTAAATCCTGCATAGTGAAACAATTTTGAGACCTATAGGATTTTGCTTCCCCATGGGTTCAGGCAGTCATAAAATGAGTAGAACTGTGTGAATACATCGTTCTCTGTATAGTGGTTTTGTGGGGTCTATATCGATTTACTCACATTTGCATGTTTTTGAACTGCTAGGTTGGGAGAAGCTGGGCCTAACAGCCGGATCTCAGTCCGCTTCCCAGATTCGAATCACCAACCTTTCAGTCAGCAAATTCAGCAGCTCAGCGGTTTAACCTGTGCCACAAGGGGCCTTCCATGATCCTATATGTGTATAAAAAAAACTCCATGTTAATTATATTAAATAGCTAATTAATCTGTGTATTATTTTACAATGCACTAGAGATTATTTTGCTAAAATGTATTGCAAGGAATAAGATTTAGTTCACTGTGCTGGTAGGAATTTGAGCAAGTAACATTCTCTTGTGAGCTGTGTTGCTGATGCTTTTCAGGAGGAGAAAAAGCTTTATATGCAGAGTTTTGGTGGCATTATAACTTCAGTCTGGAACGAAGGACAAATCATCATAGGATGTATTGAATTTCTTCAGCAAAAGCTTTAACCATCCCCATTTCTCAGCGAAAACATTGATAGTTTTGGAAGTCCCATATTCAGTCTGGCATCCCATTTATGACATATCTTCTTTATAGACAAAAATGGCAGGACCACAGAACTGTGCAGGTGGAGCTCAGCCCAGATAGTGTCAGATCTTAGCCAGTATCTTCTCTCTTCACTTTCCATATACACTTACAGTAGAGTCCCGCTTATCCAACATAAATGGGCCATCAGAACGTTAGATAAGCAAAAACGTTGGATAATAAGGAGGGATTAAACGTCAAATTACATTATGATTTTATAAATTAAGCATCAAAACATCATGTTTTACAACAAATAGACAGAAAAAGCAGTTCAATACATGGTGACGTTATGTAATAATTACTGTATTTACTAATTTAGCACCAAAACATTGCAATGTATTGAAACATTGTGGATCCAGGCGGGAGGCAGACTGCATTGGATAATACAGAACGTTGGATGAGCGAGACTCTACTGTACTTGAATCTATCAGCTGTTTTGTAGCAATGTAGCTCTGTTTTTTCTTTAAGAACAAGCCTTTCCTCATAGGCAAAACATCTGGATCCAATATAATGTTGTACCAAAATTTACAGTGTCGTATTTTGTTTAGGCAACTACCGCTCTGCTCTCAATGATGCGATCACAGCAAGAAAACTGATGCCCAACCATCTCAAAGCAATAACAAGAGGTAAGACTACCATTATTCTCACATTGAACAACAGCATTACCAGAGTGGTTTCTGCACTCCAATAATGATAATGGAATGAATTGACAGCATTAGCGTCCAGAAACAGTAAGAGCATGAAATATTTTATACCCTTTTTTAAAAAAAGTTTGCAGAACAAGTTGTTGGCAAGGCAGATTTTCAAAGTGTCATGAAGTAGTAATTTAATACCATTTTAAAGGGTTGTGCTACCTCAACTTAAAAAAGAATGAAGGTAGAGCAGAGGCAATTATAACTTGAAATGAAGCTGTTGTAGGTTAGCAGTAAATGCAAACTAGATCAGAGTTTTCCAAACAATCCATGTTGGTGACATGCTTTGCAGACATGCATAATTTTGTAGCACAGTAAATCACCATATATATATTGTGATACTGTTATGTTAATTTAACCTGCGTGTGATTGTTGAGTATATTATGTCCTGTCTTTTTGCTTTTGCTTATGTATGTGTGATGATGATGATGATGATGATGATAATAATCTTTATTTTTGCCCCACCACCATCTCCCCAAATGGGACTTGGGGCAGCTTACATGAGGCCATGCCCATCAATACAGAAAACACAATATAACAAAAAACACAATAAAATAACATAAAATACAAAACAAATGTAAATAAGCAGCACAACAATATAAAATCAAAACATTAAACCACTAAAAATGATCACAGTGGGCAGGGCCAGTTCAAAGATTAAAATTTTAAAACACTGGAAGATAGGGCAGTGTAAAATATCAGGAAGGGGATCCGGGGGATAAGATGGCAGTTCATTGCACAAACCAGAGAATAAAGTGCTTCTGAGGACCTTTTATGCAGAGTTTATTATTTAATTTTGTTGTAAGCCGCCCCAAGTCCTTTTGGAGAGGGGGCTGGATATAAATAAAGTTTATTTATTTATTTGCATTATTCAGTTTTACTGGTAAACCAAGGATTAAATTAATCCCTCATAGGTGATACGGACACATGCATACATTCTAATAACAAAATGTATAGGGACACTATACATTTCGTAAAAACCTTTCATTTATATATATTTAAAATATATGATTTATTGCTTATTTCACATAGACTCAGAGATTTCTTGTTAGGTTTGTGCGACACACCTGCACACTGCAACTGACGCACTAACCTGTCACAACATGCCGTTTGGAAAGCTCAGCACTGCATTAAAGTATATTTTGATCTGGTCATTTGATTTCTTGGCATCACATTGAGATCCCCCCCCCCCCAAAAAAATTGACCAGTATCAGGTATATTTTCCTAGCTTTGTCCATTTGTACAGTTATTAAACCTTGTTAAATGTTCTTGTCTTTGTCGTGGGCATATTCATAAACAACACTGAACATTTCTACAGGAGCACTGTGCCATTTGGAACTCAAGCATTTCTCTGACTCCATGGTGTGGTGTGAGGAGGGGCTGAAAATCGACCCAAAGGAAAAAAAGCTCCTGGAAACTAGAGCCAAAGCTGGCAGACTAAAGGTTAGATGGAGTGTGAAAATGAAAACATGTCCCTAATTAAAGTATAATGGGATGGACAGATAAATAGCCTAATAATAATAACAGCAACAATCTTTTATTTATATCCCTCCATCTTCCATAGGGACTCAGGGCAGCTTACAAGCATGCAATAGTACCATACAAAATATAAAATACAAAGCCTTCTTTTCAAAATTGTGATATAGTTTTATCTGTCCGTTCAGCGTACTGAAGAGCGGGATTTCAGAAAAGCAAAACTGCAGGAGAAAAAGGAACAGTCTCAGAAGGAAGCCTTACTCAAAGCAATCAAGGTTAGCCTTTCCTTTATAGTAAAAAATTGTTCTGCAAAGTGCTAAGTACATGAAGAGACATTTTAGATCCTTGCCTCAATTAGATTTTTTTTTGTCCAATGTAGGATCGTAATATCAAATTGTCTGTGGCATCCTCTGAAGACGAAACTGAGACATCCGCAGGCCTTGCTGAGATGTCTTTAGATGGACTTAGTTCAGAAAACACAATTGGTGCCAAAGTCCACCTAGAAGAGGATGGCAGTCTTACTTGGCCAGTGTTGTTCCTGTATCCAGAGCATGGGCAAAGTGATTTCATCTCTGCTTTTCGTGAAGAATCCAGGTTAATATTTTAAAAGCTTAGTATGCAGACAAAATAAGATCCCTTGAAAGGAGGGAGTCTGTGGGTCCCACTCACATAATTAATTAGTTACGTTTTCAGTACTTTAGTAGGACTTTTGAGAAGTTACTTTGCATGTGTCTAGCAAGCAGGATCATGTCTATTGCCTTATCATGCATTGCACTTTCCCAGAGTACTCCTCTAGGAACTATTCTAAGATTTTTGTCATTCTAAGGGACAGTGCAGTACAGTACAACCATATCGGTACCCATAGAATCACTTACCCACTTCCAGAAAAGAAAATATTATCTCTAAGCATTTTTAGGTCCTCCAGCCTGGTTCTGTGGCATGCACCCATCTGAATCTGACCATAGAGTCAGGCAGGAGAACCTTGAAATGCTGGAGTTGTGTTCTAGTTCTTCCAGTGCAATTCTATAATATGCTTCCACTGGAAGTGGTTCATTTCAATAGGATTCTCCAGTATCCACATTTTTTTTAATTTCCATGGTAAATCCAGGAATGTATCCCCTGTGGATGTGGGTCATATTGTATTATCATTTTTGGTGAGGTTCTATTGGAAAGTTTGCCAGTTCTAAAGCCTTCCCTGATGGGAGCAACGAACATTTTTAAAGGAAGGGATGGATTTTTTTGTAAGAGTTTCACCCTGTCTCTTTGAACTTTCTTTTCCCTAGGAAAAGAACTAATAAGAACAGTATCCGCTCCAAGTCTGGAGTAGTTTCCCCAAATTCCGGAGGAAATCAGGAATGGTTGAAGTCCTGTGGATCTATAGTCTCCCAAATATTTTTTCTCCTTTCTAAGTAACACTAATATATCATTCCGCCATCTTAGCAAAGCTGTTTCCAAGGAGATCCTCTATAGGCAAAAAGGAGGAATTTTGTTAAATCATGGTGTATAAAAGGTGCTCCATGCAGTCATGCCGGCCACATGACCTTGGAGGTGTCTATGAACAACGCCGGCTCTTCAGCTTAGAAATTGAGATGAGCACCACACCCCAGAGTCAGACATGACTGGACTTAATGTCAGGGGACAACCTTTACCTTTTTTATGGTGTATAGAAGTACAGGTCCTCCAGAAATTGGACTACAAATCTCAACAAGGGTAGCAAACAACCCATGGCAGTTTTTCCAGCAGTGCTATAAACCAAATTGACTCTTGGAATAGGAATGCACTTCTGTCTAACATTAAAAGGGAGGTCATTTATGCTTTCCCCCTGAATGTGTCAAATTATTCCAAAACTTTAAGAGCGAATATGAATGCCTTTTATGAATACTATGTCTTGCATTACAAAAATTTATTTATTTCATGTCAGAAGCATTGCATAAGTAAGTATCAAACTGATAAAAATAGAAGGAGCACAAGCGGCTAAATAATTTTTGACCAAAACTAGGCAACCAGATGGTCTGTAGCTTTAAACAATTCATCCTCTGTACATGAACAAGCATACAGATGTGGAGTTGTTTCTTCTGCTCCACAGTCGCACCAGGTGGAAGATTCTTCGAGGTAGTGCCATTTTGCCAGGTTGTCTTTTGATCTATCCACACCACTTTTGAGTGTGTTCAGGGACTTCCAAGTTGCCCATTTTTGGTTTGCTCCTGGAGGCAGGACCCTCGTGGGGGGCCATCCAATTGGGATTTCCTGGTTTAGCTGCCCAGAGGGATACTCCTGCTGTTGATGGGGGAACACCAAGAGGAGTGGTGGTTCTCATGAAGCTTTTCTTTGATTTGTGTCTACTGGGAGGAGGCTGGTAGCCATGCAGTGGATGCTTTCACAGTGTTCAACTTTCTCTCAAAGATGTTGACCTATCTGGAATTCAAGTATAGTGATTGCTGATATTCAGCTATTTAGCAGTAGTAGTGTTAAGTTAAATAACTTGAAGCATCTTGCATTTCAGCTTTATTGACCATTTAATGGTTATGTTTGAAGAGCTACCTCCCTGGGATTCAGAAAGAAAGTATACTCCCAATGAACTAGAGGTAAGAAACTATATCTAGTAGTTTTGTTCTTTTATTTTAGAGTATATAATAAATTGTGTAAAGAGAGGTCACATACATTTCAGATTTTACCACATTATTATCACAAAGATTAAAGTTAATTTGCATGTATACGTATTTGTAACAAGAGTGTGTGTCTGCGTGCTGTCATTTTTGACTGGCTCCTCCTCTCACATCTACCAAAAAGTCTTTGGAGTAGGGATGCGTTTGAAATTGTATGGCCTGGAGTAGTGATGGCATTATGTTTGTGTAACTCCTGTTATTGGGGAAATAGTGTTCTTCATAGCAGAGATATTTCGATGGTGTAAACCTACCACATCTCAAGTTTTTCTCTCTGAAGCAAGATAATGAAAGGATCTTGAATCCAAGATCTCCTTAACTACCACTGTTCTGACCATTTCATTCAAGGCCCTCAGATCTAACCAATAATAATAATAATAATAATAATAATAATAATAATAATAATAATAATGATAGAAAACTGGCAAAAGAAGGCTCTCCGTGGACAGTTCACAGAAAAAAACTGAGGGCAAAATTGACAAGGAAAAATCATGGACATGGCTCACAAATGGAACTTTGAAAAAGGAGACTGAGGGCCTGATTCTTGCAACCCAAAAACAAGCCCAAAAACAAGCAATTAGAACAAATGCCATCAAAGCCAGAACTGAAAAGTCGATGACAGATTCCAGTGTAGGCTCTGCAAGGAAACAGACAATACGATGGATCACATACTCAGATGCTGCAAGAAGATCGTGCAGACTGACTACAAGCAGAGGCATAATATCGTTGCTCAGATGATCCAGTGAAACTTGTGCCACAAATACCATCTTCCTGTGACAAAGAACTGGTGAGAGCACAAGAAAATGAACACGTCAAACTACTCTGAGACTTCAGAATTCAGACTGACAGAGTTTTGGAGCACAGTACTCCTGACCTCACAATTGTGTTAAAAAACAAAGTATGGACCATTGATGTTGCAATCCTAGGCAACAGCAGAATTGATGAGAAGCAACTGGAAAAGCTGACACGATATGAGAATTTAAAGATTGAACTGCAAAGACTTTGGCACAAGCCAGTAAAGGTGGTCCCAGTGGTGATCAGCACACTGGGTGCAGTGCCTAAAGACCTTGGCCAGCACTTAAAAACAATAGGTGCTAACAAAATTACTATCTGTCAGCTGCAAAAGGACACCCTGTTCGGATCTGCATGCATTATTCGCCAATACATCACATAGTGCTAGGCACTTAGGAAGTGTCTAATTTGTTATCCAATACAATGGCCAGCATAACAATCTTGTTTGCTGTGTACTAATCTTGTTGTGTATCAAATAATAATAATTTTTTATTATTCTTGCCCGCCTCTCCTCACTGCTTGAGGCAGGTTACCACATTACATGTGCACCTTTTCCCCATTGTGTGTATAATTAATTGTTAATCTTCATAAATATCTGTTTAAGATAATGTTACTTTTTCTTGTATGTTTCTCACATTAAATTACACAGCTTTATTTTGAAGACGAAGAAAGAAGAGAGATATACCAAATTGACACACAAACAACATTATTACAAGCACTACAACATCAAAGGTGAGATGCTAAACAAGGGCTTTCGAGTTGTTTGCTTTTTCCTATGTAATCATCTTAAATTGGAAACTACGTAATGCTGAAGCTTTATGTTGCAAAAATAAATCATAATTTATTTGTGCAACATTACGTGAACATGGTTATTGTCATTAAGATCCAGAGAGATCTCTGCGCTCATAAAGGTATTGGAGGGATACAGTTGTCATCTTAAGCATTCATCTTCTGAATGTAAGTACACAAAACAAAACTGCACAGTTGTTATTGGCTCAGAGTAGAGGTGGTATGCCAGTGCCATTGTAGTTCATCCATTTCACTGCAATCCTTTCATGGTGAGACTAGCCAAGGCATTTGAAAACATGGCAGTGCAATGGACATTGTATTGGTTGTATTCATAGTCTGTCTAGGCTTTCATAGTAGACACTTAAATACTGCACTTATTTCTACCTGAATTTCTATAAAGCATTCAGAATTGGAGCCTCACAAGGAGAACATCTCTCACTGTTGTACAAGCTGATTAAATTATTTCACCAGTTGGAGTATTTTCTATATATTATAGCACATCTCATTTTTGCATTGTAGAGCAGCTGAAAATCTATTCCATGATAATACAGCCTTCCAATAGAAGCGCGGGGGGGGGGGGGGGAACAGGGCAGCACACATGATACATAAACAAAGAATGTGCAAGAAAATGTTCTGGAATACTAAAAAAAATGTGGGGGAGCTAAAACTATCATGTGATTCTTTAAAATAATGTCTTTGCAGATACTTTGTGAAAGCTGGGACTCCAACTTTTTTTGTTTTGGTAAAACATGCTCCTTTCTCGGAGAACTACTTCCTTGGGAAAAAGGTTCATCGATTTAACTGAATGAGGACAAATGCTTCAAAAGAAAAAGGACAACATCTAAGGAAACCATCTTCTTCAGACACTGAAACTGGAAAGACTAGAAAATCTTCTACAGATGCCTTTTGTACTGCAGTTTGAGGCAGCAACCCTCCTGAAACTCTGGCCTATGCAAAAGTATTCTACAGAGGAATAAAAGACTTAGAATATCTGCCAAAAACTGCAGTGGAATTTCAGTTAAATTTAATCTTGTATTGTGAATATACCTCCTTATTCAGATTTTTTTTACAAGCAAAGGAATGGAGTAAAACTGGTCATAGATTGCTCACCTTGGTCTTTGAATCGCCCAACAGAAGCTGATTGGTCTGAAAAGGAAGCTCATATACCCCAGCTACTATAAATCATCTTAATTAGCCCAGAGCTTCTACTTATAGATCCAAATGCAGGGGTGAGCTTTCACTTTCTGTGACATATGGCGTATGGGGAAGATGTGTCGTGTCGTACTACTGTGTGCTGCAACTGGAGAGAAAACAGTTTGGGTTTATGGAGGTTTGGAATGTGTGGGACCCGTCAGAGGCTGGTTTTCCTGCTGTTACTGTCCAGCAGATTCCTGCAGACCGACAGATTGTGTGCTTGTTCACAGCAGCAGAGATTAAAGCACAGCTGTGGTTTATTCACCACCTCATGTTCTTTAACAAAGAGAGTGGAGAGCTCATTGTTGAGAACCTTCCTGTTTTACTGGCTTTTTGCTGTGTTAGGATCAAACTAACCTATTCTGAGGGAAGCTAACTATTAGTTCAAAAAATGGGAGTGTAGGACATGTAGAGGTTTTAAATTAAAACGCAATTTTAAGAAGAAATGCATTTCTCATACCCACCCAACTGCTTAGTGTTGTGACTACAGTATTTCTACCTCCCTGGAATTAGAAATGAAGCATGTTGCAGGATGTTCTAGAGCAATTCTTAAACTTTTTCTATCTGCAAGCTTATTCTGCCTGAGAAATAGAAGGCATGATCATCAAGTTTGCAGATGACACCAAATTGGGAGGGATAGCCAATACTCCAGAGGACAGGAGCAGGATTCAAAACGATCTTGACAGATTAGAGAGATGGGCCAAAACTAACAAAATGACAACAGTGACAAATGCAAGATTCTCCACTTAGGCAGAAAAAACAAAATGCAAAGATACAGAATGGGGGACAATGCCTGGCTCGAGAGCAGTACATGTGAAAAAGATCTTGGAGACCTCGTGGACAACAAGTTAAACATGAGCCAACAATGTCATGTAGCAGCAAAAAAAGCCAGTGGGATTTTGGCCTGCATCAATAGGAGCATAGTGTCTAGATCCAGGGAAGTCATGCTACCCTTCTATTCTGCTTTGGTAAGACCACACCTGGAATATTGTGTCCAATTCTGGGCACCACAATTGAAGAGAGATATTGACAAACTGGAATGTGTCCAGAGGAGGGTGACTAAAATGATCAAGTGTCTGGAGAACAAGCCCTATGAAGAGCGGCTTAAAGAGCTGGGCATGTATAAATATGCGAGAGGAAGTCACAGGGAGGAAGGAGCAAGCTTGTTTTCTGCTTCTCAGGAGACTAGGACATGGAAAAATGGCTTCAAACTACAAGAAAGGAGATTCCATCTGAACATGAGGAAGAACTTCCTGACTGTGAGAGCTGTTCAGCAGTGGAACTCTCTGCCCCGGAGTGTGGTGGAGGCTCCTTCTTTGGAGGCTTTTAAACAGCGGCTGGATGGCCATCTATCAGGGGACCATCTTTCACACACACACACACATATATACATACACACACATACACACAGGTATATATAGAATCTAGGATATGGAGGGCCCACTGTGTACATTTTGTGCAGACACCCTGTATTTGTTCATTTAATATACTTCTAGCTGAAAATACCAGAGGAAGCTCAACTATATAAACATCTTGGTGGTCCAATTTTACCAGATCATTTCAATGTGAGGCTCATCCCTCTTCCTGAGCCTAGTCTACATTACTGCATTTCTGAAAATGCTTTGAAAGACTCTTAGAATATGTGTTGACCTGCCTCGAAATAGGTTTTGTCCATTTTCAAAAACAACTAGTTCAACACAATTTGACCGTTAGTTTGCACTATGTTTACAACCTCATGTGAGGCTCAGTTTTTCGTTTGTGGCTTGAGAACTTCCAATATGACTTACAAGCCTCATGTGATAACATCCCTAGTCTCTGCAGCAGCAGAAAACAAGCTTGCTCCATCTTCTATATAATATCCCTTCAGATATTTAAAGATGGCTATCATATCACTGCTCAGTCTTCCTTTCCCTGAGAGAAACGTGGCTAGGTCACTAAGTTGCTCCTCATAGGGCTTGGTTTCCACATTTTCCATCACCTTGGTTGTCCTCCTCTGGATATATTCCAGCTTGTGAATGTCCTTCATGAGCTGTGGTGTCCAGAAATGGGCACAATATTCCAGGTGATGTCGGAAGTGGCATTATTACTTCCCTTGCGGGACACTGTACTCCTGGAATTATGAGGAATATCTAGAAAGTTAAGTTACAAAATTCGTTAAAAATACAAATAATCAATATATTTTAATAAAACTTACATGGATTATAGAATAGATATTACATTATTTTTCCACATAATCACCATTCAGTTCAATACATTTTGTCATCCGTGCTGAGATTTTTCATGCCTGTGTCATAGAAGTTTCCCTCCACCTTTTTCAGCCAGTTCGTCACTTTGATTTCTACCTCATCATCATTGGAAAAGTGTTTTCCACCAAGGTGTTTCTTCAATTTAGTGAGCAGATGATAGTCACTGGGTGCGAGATTGGGACTGCGAGAGGGCTGGCATAAAACATCCAAACCAAATGAAATCAACAACTCTTGTGTTGCAAGAGCGGTGTGCAGACACGCATTGTCATGAAGGAGACAGACTCCCACCGTCAGCATCCATGATGTTTGTTTTTGATGGCTCGGCAATTTTTTTTTGTGCTCTGACAATATTTTGTAGCATTGATTGTTTCACCTATTTCCAAAAAATCAATGAGCAGTACCCCCTTTCTGTCTCAGAACACTGATATCACAATTTTTCTCGCAATGAATCGCAGCAGCATTCATGCCTTTAGCATTTAGGTAGCGTATTACAGCGCGAACTTTGCACTTGCCAGGAAACGGAATGAGGATGCTTATCTCTAACCTTCACCACAATGTCAGTCAATGAGCTACTGACGACTGGCACTGCTCATTTGCTTCCGCTGGCTTCCCGCTACACAGCAGTGATATCAACTTCCCCCGTGAATATTCTCTGCAAGAGCTATATGCCTTGTAACCTTACTTTCTGGATAACCCTTCTATATTGTGTTTTTAGCTACTGCCTCCCCATGATAATTCATGTTTAGCTTGCATTCTACTAAGATCCATACATCTTTTTCATACATACTGCTTTCAAACCAGCAGTCACCTAACCTGTAGCCCCTGGTGGCACAATGGGTTAAACTCTTGTTGGAGGTTCAAATCTGGGAAGAGCATGGATGAGCTCCCTCTGTCAGCTTCAGCTCCCCATGCAGGGACATGAGAGAAGCATCCCACAAGGATGGTAAAACATCAAAAACATCTGGGCGTCCCCTGGGCATTGTCCTTGCAGACAGCCAATTCACTCACACCAGAAGCGACTTGCAGTTTCTCAAGTTGCTCCTGACATGAAATAAATTGTCCTGTATTAGTACATTTCCTTTTTCCTACCTTATATTCATCCCTCTTGAAATTAATTTTGTTAGTTTTGAATCAGAGAACTGGAGAACAAACTTTTCAAAAGTGCTGCAAAACAGAACCACCCGGAGTTTATTACAACATATCAACCAGAAGGTGGCAGCAGAAGGGAAGTTTTGAGAAGAGTGATTCTTTGTGCAACTTCAAGGGGTCTGGAATTCATAAAAAAAACAAAACCCCAACCTGCTCAGAAGAGACTGCTCTCGCCCATTCATTCTTGCACAGGCTCTATTTTCATTCAGCTTGTGTGAGATGATGTGTTTCCATTCTGCACACAGATGCTCTTATGGATTAAATTAAGAGAGGGTTTAGGTAACAGCTTTGATGAAGATGTGTTGTACTAAACTTGTGCCTCACTCCCACTGGGAGTGTGTTTGTGTATATTCATTGATTTATAGATGGTGCAATCATTATGACATCCAATATTGGAAAGAAAAGAAAATATCAGGTCATGCAAATACAAGGTCTAATTACTGGATTTGTAATGGAGAATAACATTAAATCCTTACTCAGTGCTAATTGAATATTAAGGCACTAGTTCTTTGCCCACGCTAAATGATCACCCCCCAAGGAAACTGGTACGATTGCAATATAACCGTTATCTTTTTGTACCAATACTTGTTGATCCATGAAAGTGAAAATTAGCCTTCTAATACCAACAAATTTAGTATTTTACATTAAGGTTGTTAGGCCAAGTGGTTTTTCAGTCTGGCCTTGGTTTTTACCCTAAGATGATCTATAGATGTGATAGACAACTAATGATCAGTCATTGCTGGTGGCTTATATATCAGTGGGGCAATGAATCTGTTCTAGGATTTGGTCTGAACTTTAAGGGTGCCATCCAAGGCAACTGAATCTATTTTGATGATGAGGTTCAGCACTTTGGCTACTTTCTCTAAATAATAATAACACTGTTTGTATTCCGCCCTATCTCCCTGAGAGGATTCAGGGCGGATTCCAGCATATATACAAACACAGGCAAATATTCAATGCCTTGAAACAATGAAACACAAATACACAGACAAAGGCAAAGGTTTCTTCTTTTATCTCCAGCTCTGGAGGTAGTGCCCAGTTCTGGCTCTGGGTGAGGTGCTCATCTCCATTTCCAACTGAGAAGCCTGCATTGTCCGTAGACACCTCCCAGGTCATGTGGCTGGCACGACTGCATGGAGCGCTGTTTACCTTCCCACTGAGGCGGTACCTATTGATCTACTCACATTGGTATATTTTCAAACTGCTAGGTTGGCAGGAGCTGTGTCAGGATGGTGTCCCTACCAGCTTAGAACGAGCTGCTCCGTCCACCCCGTGACATGGAGGTTGAGAGGGGGAGGAGGGAAGATAGAGAGAAGCACATCTGAGATAAGGGCCATCTGAACTGGGGAGAATAGAAACTGTAGGTTAGCCTTGGGAATGGAATGTAGGCTGTAGAAGGCTACATTTTGATTATGAGGTTCAGCACTTTGGCTACTTTCTCTAAATAATAATAACACTATTAGGGTGATATACAGTACTGTCTTCCTATCATTTATGGTAAGGCGGAAATAAACCTGTATCCAAGATTTGCCTTTGGGAGCGTGCTTTTATTGCAATAGCTTCCAAATGCTGACAGCTGGGGTTAACAGCGGGAGCTCACTCTATCCCATGGATTTGAACTGCCAACCTTCAGGTCAGCAAGTTCAGCAGCTCAACAGTTTAACCCATTGCGCCACTGCAGCCCTACTAAAGTCTAGACTAAATACAGAACTGGACTGCTACCTTACCAACATGGACAACTACCACATGCCACTGCATGTGACCATCTAGATGTTCTTGGACTACAACTTCCATCAGCTCTCACTATTGGTTATGCTGGTTAGTATCAATGGGAGAACACTTTTCATCTCTCCATTATAGAGGGTTGACCAGTCTGGCCACCCAATTGGATAGTTGAATGACTACTTAGACGCTTAGTGATGGGCACTGAACACCTTGCATACCCAGAGCGGACTGTTTCATCATATGAATTAGGTGTGATAAACTTCATCAGTGTGCCTAGAATTAAAAACAAAACAAAAATCTAGAACCTAGAGTGTTCTTTCAGAAATTCTATTTTTTTACCATATTTTCTGTCATCTAATATCCTTGCTGTTGTTCTTCCTCCCAAAGTATGCTAATGTTCTTCTTAATTATTGGGGGTGGGTTCTGATACACAAGTGCCATTCAGCTACTGTGGCTCATCAGGGGAATGTGCTGGTTCACATGTGGATGCCTTTGTCTGTGGGATGCACCACGGTATTAGATATGTGTGTCCAATCCTTTTGCCTCCTTTAGTTTGCTTTTGTTTTCAGTCATATTTGTATTGTCACATTCTGCTTCTATTTCTTCTGACACTTAGCAAATACATGGGAGTTTTAAATTTTAGTTTATTTCTTTCTGGAATCAATAAATAATAGTTTATTTCTTTTTGGATACCAGAAACAAAAAGAATGGCCCCTATCACTCAGAAATCTGTTGGCAGAGCAACACAAACGGTGCCTCTAGAAGGCCCTATTGATCTGAGTTGTTTACAGGTCAGCTGGAGGCAATGAATCTGGTGTTCCATTGCTTCTGGTTCACATGCAAATAAATGGATCAACAGAGCTACTTAAGGCTTGCAGAAAAGAAGCACATACTATAAGCGTTTTGCTATGAATCACTTCCTTTGTGGCCATCTTCTATGACTGCAATCGGGATCGGCTTGAACCTGGTTGCCATGGTTTTTACTAGGAAAGGATGAGAGCACCCCGAGGATTTGGCCCGGCATATATATCGTAAGCCCAGCCCTGTCTTGGGATATGCAAAGCAAGCACAGTACTTAAGGGCTTTAGGGGGATTTGCCGAGGTATGTCTCAGGTCTCTGGTATGTACAGTGGGATGAGTTGAATTGTTATGAGAGCCTGAACTCCGGCGTGTATGTGGCTAATGCTGTAATTTTAACAGAAGCTTTTCAGATGAACATCTTTTCTTTAATCTAAGAGGGTCAGGAAAGCTTAGAAGTGATAATGTCAGCATTATTTCAAACTTGTTAATTTTTTTAAAAAATGACAGGAGTCTTTCTTTTGTGGGTTTTGATGTGAGTCTGTCTGCATTTCTGAAAACTCATCCCTCAGAAAAAGCTCCCTTCACTCATGTGGCATCAATATAACATATTGCAGATGTGAAGGGGGTGTGTGCATATGCTTTCTTCTTTAAAGATGTCAGTGAGATGGACTTTAGCCTCAAAACGTTATCATGCCTATCGGACAGTAAAAGGGAGGAAGGGTAGATTTCAGAGAAACATAAACCAGGAAAAGTCTGATCCAAGGTATTCTCCAGTGAGGAGGTTTAGGACAGAGATGCATGAAAGAAAACTAGTTTTGGCTATTTGGGATTGTTTGCTTGCCGTATCAGCATGATGGTATGACCAGATAAGGAGCTAAATCCTTCAGGAAACAAGAGAGATCATAACAAAATATACAGATTATCAGAAGGCAACAAAACTGCAGAGTTTGTTAGAAGAACAAGAAGATATTTGGAAGGAGTACTAACTTGTGTAAGAACAAAACCTGTAAAAAAAACCCAACAAATATTTTGGGAAGAAAACTCTGTCAAGGAAGCATGGTGTAATAAGAGTCTTGCAACACTCAAACTACTGAAATTGAACAAAAGAACTGCTTCTGACCCAATAGCGAAGTATCTGAAGGACATGCCATTGAAGTTGTGCTGGAGACTCCCGAAGAAAGCAAGATAGTTCCTAAATCAAAATTGCTGGCGTATTTGAGCTCTAGTTTCAACCACCAAATTTTCTGGCAGGGGCTTCAGACGTCATGAGATCATAAACACCATTTATGCTCTCATCCTATTTTTGGAAAGAAGCTGTAGTTTTGTAGCTGAAGCTGATGCACAGAAGCACTGTAAGGGCTTCCAGCATGAAGTGCCCTTCCATGGGAAGAAAAGGAGTCCTTGCAGTTGTGCTCTGTGCTCTGGCAGTGATTTCTGCTTGCATTGCTCTTGCCGTGTTGCTGACGGTCAACAAGAAGTCTGCACAACAAGGTATGAAGTCCAAGCTTGTTGAAATTAGGATGTGTAGCTGGTGGTTTTAGCCAAATCTTGTAGCAGGCGGGCAGGGAGACAAACAGACATACAGATGTGTTCATTCAATTACAGAAGTCCTTTTATTTGCACAATCTGTGAATTTTTCAGTAACTACACACACAGAGGACTAGCAATGTAAATGTTTACATGTTATGAATTTATTGCAAGTTGGCCTTACAGCTAATAGTTGTTTCACTGATCTTCGCAATTACCAAATGTTGTATTTTTAAAAACATAGATAAGGCCAATCTAATTTTATGCATTATTTTTCTGTCAATTGATTCATGATCAATCTCTTGACTATCACTCTCTTTCCTCTTTGGTAATATTGTAAAAATTACTCACTGTTTAATCAATTGTGAAAGCAGAAAATTTATAGTTGACATTCACATTGTCCAAAAAATGGTTATAGCTTATGAAATTATTTTGGTACTGTCCCATTATCCGGATGGAGGCCAAAAGAGGCCCTAGACAGAGAAGGATAGTCTATTTTACAGGGAGAGGGGGGTAACCTCCCCCCCCCCCATTTTCCTGTTACTCCTCGCATTCATACTGGTTATTACATGGGCAGAACAACCAATAAAAATGGGGGAAATTGTTTTCCTCCTTAAACTCTCCCCCCCCCCAATAAAATGAGCTCCCCTTCTCTGTTTAGACCCCCTTTTGGGGTCCACCTGGATAACTGAACAGTACCATTATGCTTAATGTTTTTACTATGTTACACAACATTTTGTGTTCTTTTAGACTGCGTCTCATAACAGAAATGGAGAGAGGCATGATTATATTACAAAGTTCACCATAATGTCAATGCAAAGTTCAATAGTCATATTGTGTGTGTTTCTTTCTGGCCATTGTTATTATTATTTGTTTTGTTTCATGTTTATTGCTGAATATGAGAAAACTTATCTGCACCAGTTGTCAAATATGCTAGTAGATACACCACCGTGGGTAGCTACATTGGTAACAGCTACTTCAGAATCTGGGCTTTAGTGAGCTGGTATTTGCTCTTATACAACTCTATAACTTTTATTAATGCTTATATTTGACATTTATCTCTCGATGACATTTATCTCTTAATTGATCTATTTTACCATTTTGTCATGTTTTGTATGTTGCATAGATTATTTTATAAACCAACTGATAATAAATTAAGAAAAGTTAACAACTCTATGCTTCACATAACTGCTCCTCAAGCAGAGACTTCTGTTTGAATGCTTCCATGCTTTTCTATCTAGCATGTCATGATGAAATATATGAAGTATGGCTTGAATGGAATTGTATGAAAGGTGTATGAATGGGGCCTAATTTGGCTGAAGATGTCATCCTAAGGAATGAGGTCTGGAAAACTACAAGACAGAGGTGAAGAATTCATGGACTGTAACAGTTGTTGATAAGAATGGTGACAATGATTAACTGTTGAACTTTTGGGGGAAAACAACATGTTTACATTAATCAGAGACAATGGCTCTTTAAGTTAAGGAAATGTTTACAAGTTTAAGAAGGAAGTCAACACCAGGCTTACTTTACCAACACAAATTAAGAAGAGTCAACATCTGTCCAGGAAAAGATGAAGCCAGGATGTTTCAGGCTGGAAAACATCTATCATACATTTACAACTTTGGAACAACATAATCAGAATATTCCTATAAAAGACTCAATCTAATAATTCTCAAGTGTGACAGACAGCAGTGCTGTTCACCCGCCATGCTCTATGGAAAGAGATGGTGTGTGTATTTGGAAGTGTCAGATCTGCAATGGGAAGCAGGAGTCTGGTCACTTGCTCCTTTTCTCAAGTGAAGAGAAAAGGAGGGCGATTTTGGATTCATGATACGTGTTGCATGGAGTCAGTTTCTGCTATAGAGATCTGATCATTGGCATTGTTCTTAGACAAAGACGATACATTTTGGCATTTTAGAAGAATTCCAAAATCTGAAATGCTCCAAAATCCAAAGTTTCCCATATGAGTGGCTGAGATAGTAACAGCTTTCTGATGGTTCGGTGTACCTAAACTTAGTTTTATGCACAAAAATATTAAAACAGTGGTTATAAAAATACTTTCAGGCTATGTGCATAAGGCATGTATGAAACATTAATGAATTTCATGTTTAGACTCGGGTCCCATCTCCAAGATATCTCATACATATATGCAAATACAGATATTCTAAAATCCAAAAAGAAAATTGAAGTCCTGAACACTTCTGCTCCCCAAGTATTTTGAACAAGAGATACTTAACTTGTATAAGCAATTATAAAGAGCAAAAAATGAGATTAAAAGCTAATGAGCTACTGTAGGCAAAGCTAAGAACTGAATCCAAACACTTTTCCATTTCAGCCCCATAAGATCCCTGTTGTTAGCAAAACTCCATAACCTTTGCCCACAGTAGGGTAACTGATGCATAGCGTGTCTTCATCATCAGCCAAATATAACATAATTGGAAAGAATGTGTTTATTGTAACCTCTCCCAGAGAAGGAAACATAATATATTTGTTCTACATAGTTAGAAGACATGCATTAGTGAGGTCCAAATGCTTAAAAAGACTTTAAGAATTAGGTTGTCTTCTTTTCTAACCCTTTCATTCTTGTGTTGATTTAATTTCTATTATGACTAGATTGTATTCGTTTCTGTTCAACATCCTGTTTGGATCTTGATTTTTTAGATCCAGGAGTCCAGCCGGATTTCTCTACAGGTGGAGATCTGTTGGATTATCTGCTCAGTCTAAAGAGAATAGACAGAAGAGATGGATTGCTGGTCACTTGGTACCATGCTGCAAATAAAAAGAGTGAGATGGAAGAGGCCTTAAAGAGTAAGCTGACTCTTTTCTCCCTTTAGTTTGGATTGATCTGTCTAAAAGTACAGTGTCAGCGTGATTAAAAAAACTCAGTACATAAGCTTCAGGGCAAAACCTGCCCAGACATTATATGACATCTACTGCTTTTAAGGCTAAAACACAAGATCTTTGGGAAAAGTACTTTTTGAATGGCAGCTTTTGGAATATCTCATCTAAGGTAGATGCTCTCAAGCAACAGAGTACAGGAGAAGGAAGTTTTGGTCCCACGGTTATAGCATGAGTGCTGTTGTACTTTGGTCCTTTTGGGAATTGTCTTGTCTCAAATATTTTCCAGACCCCTCTACAATGTGCAAATCCCAGAAGATGTTGCCACAGGTGTGAAAATAGACTTATAGTGTTATAAATGTGCAGTGTGGAAGGGTTCTAATATTCCTCTAATATGGGAGATAAACACTTCGGTTACTTCTAGGCAATGAAAGATTATAGTACAACTACCGTATTTTTGTCTTTTAAAATTATATTCTGGGCAGAATAGGGTGGGAATTTCACATGAATCGTATACTGTTAAACTGCAACTCTCATCAGTTCTACGCAGCTCAGCAAATAGTAATGAATACTGGGTGTTTTCACTAGGCTTGTGCAATTGCAGTAAACTTTGATTTGTTTTGTGTCCCAGCTTTTGGTGGGGGGCCCATTCTATTTTTGGGAGCCTCCCAAAATTGGAAGGGCAGATATCTGTTTGCTCTAGGGTGCTGAAAGAACCGTTTTCTATTGGCCCATTTGGGGGGTGGGGGGGGGGGAGAGCTTCCCAAGCTTCCCTTCCCATCATAGACATTTAAGCTGTTTGTACTTTAGAGGGAGATGCTCATCTGCGGGCAGGAGTGCGCTTTAAGGAGGCTTCTTACCTGTTTCTCTATTCTAGAGAAGAGACACTTGGCTGCAGGCTGGTGCATGCGCTTTCTGGGTCTGCATGCCACACACGCACTCTTTCCAAGACAAGGAGGCAAATTTTGCTTCTTACTCTAGAGGAGGCACTTGGCTGCAGGCAGGTACAAACATTCTGGGCTAGCATGACACTCACACGCACTCTTTCCAAGGCAAGCAGGCAAGTTCTGTTTCTTACTCTAAACTAGGTGCTTGGCTGCGGCCAGGCATGCACTTTAACGAGGCGTCTTACCTGTTTCTCTACTCTAGAGGAGAGACACTTGGCTCCAGTGCCACACACACACTCTTTCCAAGACAAGGAGGCAAGTTTTGTTTCTTACTCTAGAGGAGGCACTTGGCTGCAGGCAGGTACAAACATTCTGAGCCAGCACACCACACATGCGCTCTTCCCAAGGCAAGCAGGCAAGTTCTGTTTCTTACTCTAGAGGAAGTGCTTGGCTGCAGCCAGGCATGCGCTTTAAGGAGGCGTCTTACCTGTTTCTCTACTTTAGAGGACAGGCGCTCTGCTGCAGGCAGGCACACACACTTTCTGGTTCTACACGCTGCACACACTCTTTCCAAGCAAGGAGGCAAGTTTTGTTTCTTACTCTAGGGGAAGCGCTTGGCTGCAGGCAGGCACGTGCGCTTTCTCGGCCTGCACACCACACACACTCTCTTTCCAAGTCAAGGAGGCTGCTCTTGAAAAGCAGGCAAGGAGCCATGATTGGCTCCTACTTGCTTTCATCTCGAGCTGATTTTTGTACCGAGAGTGGGCTTCCCGTTACCTGCTACCTATGGAAGTAACGAAAGAACGGATATAACGAACGAAAACGGATCCGCACACAACTCTAGTTTGCACCCCGTCCTGGCCAGAATAATATTTGAACAAGGTAATTCCAGATTTCAAACAAGGATTTTAAATACATGTTGCCCCCCCCCCCCCCACAATAAGTGAGGGGTATTGGTGCTTAACAACATCTTGGAGGTCTCATGAATACCACCCTAACAGAGATTAAGAAGTGGATTAACAACCACAACTGAGAAATTGTGCAAACTTTTACATAAAGGCAACATCATTTGTTACAGTTAATCGAGCTACCAAAATCTGTAACAATAAACAGGGAAGCCTTCAGAAGGATGGCGCACACAGCAGCGATAAGAAATGAGCGACTGAGAATCGTTGCTCAAGATAAGTTACCTCCGTCAACACAGACCACTCGGTTTCATGGAGCATTTTGTCTGGAGGGCCTTATCACTTTGTGATAATGAAACTAAAGAAATGGACAGGAAGCTCTAGGCTGATGTAGGAGGCCTCCTTCTACTTGCCAAGCAGCCTGAGATTGCCTTCACAAACAAATCTTACATCAGGCATTTTATCTGTAAGATCAGGCCTTTCACCAGGGAATCCCTCTAACACAGAAAAGCAGAATAAAGAAGTTTCCCTGATCAGCAAGGAAGGTTACCGAGCTGACCAGTACATAGGGATCAAAAGAATACTGCAGGCACATTCTAGATGCTCAAAATCCAATTTATATCGATTTCCTAAGATGCTTTTGGAGTGTTTTTCTAGTAGACCCAGAGTTTGGAAATCTTTTTTTTTAATTTATTTGTTTGCTACATCTTTCACAATAACCCAACCATCATGGGCATTCCATATAGTGGCTAGAATAATCTGGAAGCTGTCATCACACACACACAAATTGTATTTTCTAGTTTTGTTTTGATGGGCAAAAGAACTTAGTGATTGCTTTCTATGAAACAAAGGCCTATAGGACTGGACTGAAGCAGCAATGGTTCAGCTGACCAAGCATAAAAATGCATGTATCTGTCGCAGCAAAAATAACAAAAGATTGAAATGCCTTAGAGGTCAATGCATTTGTTATTGCACAAGTTTTAACTTCACACTAGAAATCCATTTTGTCCATCATGTCCAATTAAGTTGTTAATTCACAAAGGTTTATGTCCTAATGAATGTGTTAGATTTTAAGGGGCTTAAGTAACTTGCTTTATAGACTGAATAGTACTTACAGATCCATTTTCGGTGATATCTTATAGTGTCATTCCACTGCATTCCATTCTTTAAGCTCCCCACCTCCCACCCAACCACCCTAAATCTTAGGTTTCTTTTCTGTCTCAAACCCAAAACCTTGTTTTTTCCCAGTTTAAACCTCTTTCTTGGCTCCAAGTTCAAACCCTGTCTGTTTGAAATCCACACCTTGACTAAGTTATCTGAGGCAGGCATCTACCTTCTGATACATTCTGTTCACCTACAGCACCCTTTTTCTGGATGGGTGCAGCCATCAGAGATCAATACAGCCCTCTCTTATGGTTCACCATCCCTGGCTATAATTATTTGGGAGTATTTATAAGTGAAATTAAAGGCAAAACAAGGTAAACGTAATCAAAACAATGTGAAACATATTAAATGCTGAAGTTTTAATATATCTAGAAGTGACCCCTTAGGGCCCTTCCACACAGCCATATAACCCAGAATATCAAGGCAGAATAACCCACAATATCTGCTTTGAACTGGGTTATCTGAGTCCACACTGCCATATATCCCAGTTCAAAGAAGATATTGTGGGATTTTATTCAGCTATGTAGAAGGAGCCTTAGACTTCAATCTCATATCCACCTGTCATCTGAAATTGTGTCTTTTGCCCACACCAAAGTTCCAATGTATGCTTAGAAAAGTCGTTCATGGTCTTTTGTGTCAGACTACAACTTCTATCATCCTAAAGCAGTTTGAGTAGGAGTAAATGGAGATTGCAAAACAGTGCATCTGTAGGTCGTCAATGTGGGGAACGTTATATGATCTGTTGATCATAATAAATTATTTCATTAATATGGGGAAAGGTGACACACAAACTCCAGCTAGGACTTCTTTCACTATGGATGAAGTCTCTGTTTATGACTCCAGGTGATGTCATGGCACTGGAATCTGATGTCACTGTTGAAGGCTACAACACACCCTACGAGACGGGCAAACCCATCATGGCCCACCCCCCTGACATCTACAGTGACAATTCTTTTGAAGAGTGGCTGACGGCAGTCCTTAAGTCATCTGATAAGGGTAAGGTAGCTGCTTAAGGTATTTTAATACTGCATTGCCTATATTAGCTTTATCTGAATGATACTTTATGATTTGTAGTAGGGGTAAGAAACATTTCACACTCCACATGTTTTAGAGTGCAACTCTCATAATCCATTTCCAGTGGCTATGCTGGTTCAGACTTCTAATAGCTGAAGCCCAAAACATTTGGAGAACCAAAAATTCCCCCACCCCGATTTGCAGGCAGGGGATGAATTGTTTTATTTATTAGACAGATTTGCTTCTGGCACATTTGGAGATTAGTAAACATCTGTGGTATAGGTAGAAATAGCCAGATATTTTCCTAATGGGCTATTTGTGTGCTTCTGTGAGGTTGTGATTCTACATCACGTTTTCTTTCTTTTTTAAAACATACGTATTGAAAACATCTTCCAGAGTAGAACTTTGTGACATAAAAACACAAATACCCATGATTTATTTACAAACATATCACAAAATATGTCCTCCCTAAGCACTTTCATGGTCCTCAAGGCAATTTGTATGGTATACTTGTGCCAGGGGTTGACTACAAAGACATGCTGAAGGACTTAGTGATGCCTAGAAAGATGTCCTCTTTTAGCACTTCTCCAGCCCAACTCTGTGGTATGCTTCTGCTGGAAGCCTTCATTCAATAGATTTCCTATGACCTGTGGGGTTTTTTTTGTATCCACACAAAGTCCTGGAACATAGCCCCTCAGGATATGGGGTGATATAAGTGGCCATGACTTGAAGACACCAGATCTCGTTGGTTCTTGGAAGCTAAGCAGGGGCTTTGAATGCAATTTTCCTGCTTCTTGGCAGGAAGTTGGACTGGATGGCCCACGAGGTCTCTTCCAACTCTATGATTCTATGATTCTAAGCCTGGTGAGTAATTGAATGCAGAAATCACCAAGGAAAACTAATGTGTAAAAGATAAAGGTTTTCCTTGACATTAAATCTAGTCGTGTCTGACACTTGGGGGTGGTATTAATCTCCATTGCTAAGCCGAAGAGCTGGCATTGTTCTGTTACCTTCTCGCAGAAGTGGTACCTATTGATCTACTCACACTTGCATGTTTTCAAACGGCTAGGTTGGCAGAAGCTGAGCCTAACAGTGGGTGCTCACACTGCTCCCTGGATGAGAACCAGCAACCTTTTGGTCAGCAAGTTCAGCAGCTCAGCAGTTTAACTTGCTGCACCACCAGTGATGTAGCGCAGCGGGTGTGTTGTGGACTATATTCAGTGGCAAATGATCTTTGAGTCTTCCTTGCCTAAGAAAGGCAATTTCATAGGGTTGCCAAAAGTCAGTTAACTACTTGAAGATATAGACACAAATGCAGCTTTCTGAGCGGAACTTATTCCCTCTCAATTGAAATCAAAAGGCTCAGGAGACAGAGTTGGAATCAGCTGAGGGTTAAAGTTGTAAAGACAAACAGTTGTCCAAGGAAAAATTAAAAGGTTTAGTAGGAAATGCAGAGGAAGAGGTAAGAACGCTCAGGCAAGTAATGAAAAGCAACAAAACACAGGGAATAGAGGGAAACTGCTCTATCTTAGGAAAAGCATTATTTTCGAGCTTAAACATAACAGCATGTTAAATTACTTAATGTGAAGTTATCCTTTTACTATGGGGGCAGCAATAAGGAAGCAGAAATCTTGAAATCATTCTTTTCTTCTTCTCCGAATAGCTATTAAGCTGGATTTCAAAAACATCAAGACAGTTGGCCCATCTCTGGATATCTTAGTAAAAGCTTCCTCCGAGCTAAATATTAACCGGCCTGTGTGGCTAAATGCAGACATTCTAAATGGCCCAAATGTACCCATTAACATTGCTGTTAATGCAACCCGGTGAGTAAAATCAACGTTCTTTATATTTCTAGCAGGATTTCTTTTGCATTCCTGATGTTTTATTTTTTAAAATGGGAAATCCTACTGGACTATTAGTGGAGTATAAAGCTTCTTAGGTTTTAAACGGTTATGTTTTTAGTCTCAGGGGTAAAGACTGATGCTTCTTCCTTGGTCATACAACAGGAATCAGATGGCTCCCAGGCACAGCTTCCCTCCACAGCCCTTGAATGGCACCATCTGGTTTGTGTTGCAGAGCAAAGGAAGGAACATATGTTGATCTTCCTAGAAGAGCAAAGGCTACTTCTTTTTCCCCAACTTCACAACATCAGCTGAATGGCTCCTGGGGTTCTCACCACAAAGAATAAGTGGCTGGAGGTGGGTTAAGCTGCACCTAGGAGTCATTTGTGTCCAGTTGAGTAGCTTGATAAAAGCATTGTGAAAAGAGGTACTGACTACTTCCTTACACAGAATTGGTATTTATATGCATGTTGCATTTCTGCAATGTTGCACTAAAATTAGAAGTTGGCAATGTCAGCCGTGACAGAGTATAAAATCATAGAATCATAGAGTTGGAAGAGATCTTGTGGGCCATCCAGTCTAACCCCCTGCCCAGAAGCAGGAAAATCGCATTCAAAGCACCCACGACAGATAGCCACCCAGCCTCTGTTTAAAAGCCTCCAAAGAAGGAGTCTCCACCACACTCCGAGGCAGAGAGTTCCACTTCTGAACAGCTCTCACAGTCATGAAGTTCTTCCTAATGTTCAAATGGAATCTCCTTTCTTGTAGTTTGAAGCCATTGTATGATTGCCTTCCAAGTGTAGAGTCTTGGCGGTGGGTCTGTAGGTGACTGTAGAGACCTACGAGGAAAGACAATGTTTACATGCACTCATAAGTCATGTCCTTGATCAAACCTACTTCAACAAGGTCACAGAGCCCAGAAGAAAACAACTACAACTGCATAGAACTGGCCTTTATATTGAGTAGTGTTAAGCACTGTAGACTTGAAAAGAAATGCTCATGTGTCTTTGAATGTGAGTCCTAGTGGGAATAGTGGCACCCATTCTATCTCTGGATATATTTTGTTACCTCTTTGGCCATGAAAACCCTCGCTCTGCCCTACTACACTACTGTCCAGAGCTGTGCAAAGACCATACCAAGCAAATAAGTATAGTGCAACTTGCATTGTTGTTAGGGCTTTGATGCAGTAAAGCACATGGCAAAACACATCAGCAAGATGTGGTAAAACTGCTGTCATAACTTAGAGAAACCAACATCCATAGCAACTGCCAATTTTTTCCTGAGTATTTTTGGGTGTATGTGTCATAAATTCTTCTTGGAGCAGAACCATGTTAGGCTAGCGTTTTCTTTGTGACAAGGCTTCAAATCATCCCACATTCTTCATTTTTTTCTGCTAACATAGGGCTTCACTGAGCCAATTTTGCAGTGACTGAAAACACACGATTCTTGATAAATTCCAAGTGTCTACTTGATTGTGTCAGATGGCCAAGTTGGCTTGTGCCTGGAGACCTGCTATTAATCACATCTCAGCCAAGCAGGGTTTCCCTTCTATATAGCCTGAAAAATACAGTATAAAATTCAGTCTACAAATTGACCAGCTGGTAGCATCTTAGCACATATTGGCAAAGCATTCAAGAAAACGTGTGATACAGGAGAGCATCTGAAATGGGGAATGGGGAATACTGGGATACAGATTGTGTAGGGGGGCAGAGTGTATCAGATTTTGTTTCAGACCACCCAGTTGTCACCTAAAGCAGAGCAGAGTACCAGAGCGTCCACCTAAAGCAGGGTATTTGGACTGATTCTAGCATGTCCCAGAATGGAGATGAATCATAATGGAGTTTTGAAAAGACTTACCCAGATGCAGTTATATTATTTTTGACTTTTGTTCCCTAGGTTTCTCTCACTCATCCAGGAGAAGTTCCCAAACTGTACTGTCTCCACAGGTTGGACAACCCTCTATTTGCCTTTCTTTCCACAAAGCACCTATACGCAGAACATGGTTGAGAAAATGCATAGCCTTGTAGGAAAGCTGCCTCAGCAAATCACATTTCCTGTAAGGGCTGTCATGGTAAGACCGGCCTGGTCTCATTTGAGCTGGCTTTTGAGTCAGTCCAAAAGGTAAGAAGATGGGAAGTTCAAATATATATCCATTTTAATCTCCAATTAAGGGAAGTAATATTATTCCTTCCTGTAGTGTGTAGCATTGTGCTAAGTGTGCAGTGTTGTTTGTACTGTGCTATGTAACGTGTAGAGTTTATGTATGAAGTCTTCCATTAGTTGTGTATGTATATATGTGTGTTGTGGCATAATGTAAAATAAACGATGTGTAGTTCACATTTGATCAGCCCACACACTGCCCTGCCAGAGAAAGAAAATATGCCACACAGGTGAACAATAAAGAACAAGTAATTTACTCTTTGTAAATCCAGAGCAACATCTGTACAGTGTGATCAGTTGCGTCAACTCACATAATGTCCTTTTATGAGAGGTTTAAAATAGTCTTTCTTTGTCCATTTGGATAAACTCCTTCAGCAGCTCATGAAGTGAGAGCACACATCAAATTCTGTGTCTCTCTCTGCTTCTCTCTTCTTCTTCTCTCTCTGCACTGGCATAGTTCAAGCCTGAACAAAAATGTAACAGTAACCAAAAGTCCCAGGCTCAGCCTGCTCACCAGGCATTGCCCAACTAACCAGCTTCATGCATCTTATTTTACAGTAGACACACACACACACTCACTGATTCCTTGCATGCTCCAACATTTTTATGTGTTAATACAAATCTTATTTTTTTAAAGAGGGTAGTAGGTAAGAAACTACATTATGCCCCTTTATTCAGTTACTTTGAAAGAAAAAGAAATAAATGAAGCAGAAAAGATATAGTTGCAAAATTGACCAAACATCAGAAACAACTTTTTTTTCGTTTACATAGGAAGTAGAATTTAGCAAATTACAGTCAACTCTCCATATTCACTGGTGTTAGGGGGTGCAAACCTCTTCAAAATAGAAAAAAACATTAAATAAAAAAGGATTGGTGTGTTTTTGTTTTGTTTTTTTAAAATCTCAGAGAACATATCTCCAGTCCTCCACAATTGCTAGATCCTTCAGAGTAACTGTATGGCCAATTTCTACCAGAAAACATATATTTAGGAAGCTCTACATCTTTCAATACAACTCTATACACAACCTCTAATGATTACTGACCATAAAGTTGTATTAGAGGATCCCTAATACAAACTGAGACCATATTAATCAAATCCACAGTTAATCAAATCCACAAAAGTTGAACTCACAAATGTGGCAGGTGTACTGTACAGGTACATTTCACTAATGCAGAACTAATGATCACATTTGCAGTCAGGAAATTTAACATTTCAACAGGTTAGATACCAAATAAATTACCCATGAGATCTAACACTGATTCCCAACCCTTCCTTTAAAAAAGTTCAAGTATCTAATAAAATAAAATGATGCCTAAATGAGGTTTGATGGGGGTTCTATAGAAATGTAGGAGACAGAAAGTGGTTAACCCCATTCCTCTCCTTCACATTTTGAGCAGACAGGCCTGCTGAACATCTCTGTGGCCTTTTAAGAATTTCTGGTTAGGTTCTTCTCTCTTCCCCCAGGTACAGCCTTACCTTATGGCAAGGGAAAACTGATCCAGTTACAGTGGAAGATCTCTTGTTTATCCGAAATAATAGCCAACCTGAGCAAATCTATTATGACCTTTATGATCCTGTTTTGTCTCAATTCAAAGACATGGTCTGTGAGTACTAAGCTGTATTCTTTAAAAGCCAATGGATGATCCTACTGTTTTTGCATATTATGTGATGCAAGAGGAGGCGCAAGGTTCACTCTCTCACTTCTTCCAGGTCACCCATACAACAGACATGTAAATAGACTGTTACAATGTGCAGATCATGCTAGTTAATTAATGAAAGTGTGTGGAAGGTCTATTCAATGCCATCTTCAGTTTGTAGATAGGCTTGTGCATTTCGGGTAAACCTCAATCCATTTTTGCTGGCCAGATTCCAGTAGACACCCATATCTGTTTTCACACACCTCCTGAAAATGGACAGGTGACCGGATAACCGTTTGAATTTCACAGCTGAAAAATACAGCTACATGAGGTCCATTGATGGCAATGGGGAACTTACGAGGCTCCCCTTTATTGGGACGCTTCACTTTCTTCCCTTCAAGGGTGTCTGGGTTTCAGCAATAAGGTTAAGGAAGCACCCTTTCTGGGACCTTTTCCTTTTTTCCCAGGGGAGCCTGGGTTTCAGCCATGAGATTAAGGAAGCAGGCACAGCTTGTGTAAGACAGTCATGGCATTCTTCTACTCTGATTAGCCCAAGAGGCAGGCCGCACAGGGAAACCCCATTCGAGCAGCATGTGGCAGCCTCTTTGCAAAATAGGGGAGGAGGAGCCATGATCGGCTGCCACATGGTCCCATAACGGATGAAAAAACGTGACAGCTGGGCCCTTGCAGCCATTTGACCAAGCCGAACAAGCCGGATTGGCTGGAAAAAAACCGGCTAAAACAGATCCGCACACAAGCCTATTTGTAGCCCTTCCAAATTTTTCTATTGTTTCTTCTCTTCCACAAAAGATACATTCTAAATGGGAAAAAGATGAAAGGCTATGCAATGCTTTTTATTTGTCAATACTGGAACCACCACCCAAGAGGGACAAAGAGGGAAACTTGAACTAAGTTTTCTTTCGTGTCGTATGCTGAATATCTTGAATCAGCAAAAATTCAAGTTTTCAGTCATGTACAGTTCTTGGCAGTGGTCTATATATGCTATAGGAGAAGTTCTAGTTTGATAACTTCTTGCCCTCCAACATAAATCTTAGCGATATAATTGTATATTCCAGAATTTGGTTGTTTATCCCTGTTTGATAGCTGGTTTAACAGTTTAATGGATATGCTATGTATTCAAATCCAAACCAAGTTTCAATTTGCAATTTGGGCCATTCTTAGTTATGTTGGTTCTTTCTTTGTATATGATGTCTGGTTCTACTGATTTCATCAGAGGACCTGCAGTTATTTGCTATGTACTAATTTAACTAACAGCAGCACAATTAGAAGCATCTAATTCATATCTGTTTCTACAGTCACTTCTACAAGAAATAGTGTTTTTGCCAACCAGACTGAGATGAGTGCTAATTAGGGTAATCTTCATGGAATCACAGAGTTGGAAGAGACCACAAGGGCCATCCAGGCCAACTCCATGTCATGCAGGAAGACACAATCTTGGCACTACCAGCAGCATCATATTGGGAAAGTCAATGATTCATGTGCTATTTCCAGAATTTTCCATTGGTTGTGACCAATGTCAGACCATGGTATTGAAGAACTTGACAAAGTGAGCATGAAAATTAGATTTAAACCCATTTGGAATTGAATGTTGAGAAGATATTACTGAAACACCATCAGTAGATTTCTAAATTGCTCATAGCAATTCAGGTGTGTGCTCTTACCAAGAACGGCTTTGCCCAGCTTTGAATGATGCCGAATATATACATGGTTAATCACATCAGCCTTAGTTATCTCCTGGTAAGATTAATATGGAAGGTTGTCTTTGAAGTCTGTTGGGAAAAAGGCCTGATTGCAAAATGCGGTGGCCAGATTGCCTTCTATTGCATGTTTTTTTGGAACACAGTTCAGCATTGAATCCACTGGTTTCTGAGAAAAATTAAACTGATGACCCATACTTTATGAACTCATAAATCAGTATGTGACTATCTTATCTGGAAAGCCAAGTTCTCTTGTAGGAACTTTGCCTTAGTTTAAGATCTGCTTCCAAAACTGATCTCTATGTTCCACTAGCAGATGTGGCAAATAAAAAAATATTTTGCACACAGCACCACAATTGTGGAATTTTTTATTTACGTTTCACCTCTTTCCTGTTTAGACAATGGTTGTTTTTGGATTTTAAATGATTTTTGGCCTTCCCAGTGTTTTCAGACTGCATCTCTCATTAGCTCTAACCAGAAGAACTAATAGTGAGGGATGCTAGACACTTAACATTCAATACTTGGAAGTCCATAATTTGCCCACCCCTTTTTAAACATGCTATTAATTTGTTTTTCCTTCTAAGTAAAGAAAATGTAGAGTAAAATGCAGCAGCCATTAAAAAACAAATTCAGTTTTTGAAACCATTTAAAGTTCTTAATCTGGCTTCCTGACCATGTTCTATAAACTTTCCAGCAGTAAACTTAACACTATAATAACTGAACTTTTACCTCTGATCTTTCTCAGCATATCACTCATTTACTAATTTATCTGTCCTCATTGTCCACCTAGTGTGAGGGCAAAAGCATGGAAAACTGCAAATCAAACAAGTATTATAAGCCAAGTGATGCTAGCAGAAACAATTGGTCCTCTGTCTTCTGTGGAGCAGAGATTCACTTTCAACATTAGAAGGATAAGAAATTAGACCAAGGGGGAATGAATGGCTTCAATCCAGAAACAGACAAACTCTGCCAACATGGCCAACAGATGACAGTAGTAGTGAAAGAGGAAAACGTTGTGGAAAATTTGTTGTTGGTGATAAAGCTTCAGTGGAGTCACATTTTCCCCATGATAACTCTTTCAGGAGTGGATTTCCTTTCCTATGGATAGATTTCTCTCACTTCCACTTATCCCACCCCTGTTCTTTACAATGGGTTGTGTGTAAGTTGGATGTTTGTAACTCGAGGAATACCTGTATAACTATAGTGTAGAATCAATGCAGTCTGATGCCACTTTAACTGTCGTGCCTCAATGCTAAGGAATCATGGGAGTTGTAGTTTTACAAGGTTTTTAGCCTTTTGCCAAGAGTGCTGGTTCCTCATGCAAGTACAAATCCCATGATTCCAGAACATTGAGTGAGTGGCAATTAAAGTGATGCCAACCTACATGAATTCTGTAGTGTAGATACACCCTAAAGCTTTTCAGTTTGGATTAACATTGTACACAATATGCTATCTAGAATTGCAACAGGGAGCTTTTGGCCCTCCAATCCTCATGAACGCCACCAGCCTATCCAGTGATAAGAAATACTGAGAGCTGCAGTTAATCAACATCTGGGCAGCTTATGTGCTCTCTACCTCTGCTCCAGAGCATGAAGAGAGAAGGGAGATGTGACAACAGGCACAAACTCAGAGAATTACTGTATATACTCAAGTATAAGCCTAGTTTTTTAGCCCTTTTTTAGGCTGAAAAAGCCCCACTTGGTTTATACTCGGGTTAAGGTCCTGGCAGGAAGACGTGGGGATGAAAGAAGGGCTTCTGTCAGCCCCACAACTTCCTGCCAGGACCCTCTCCTCTCCGCACAGCGACCCATCTCCCCTTCCTCTCCCCCTCTCTCATGCAGCGTGCACCTTCCTCTCCTCCTTTCTTGGTGTCGGTCTTTCCCATTTTTTCTTATTCATATACACACAGCATTTCCCCCCAAATGTATAGTTAAAATAAACTATGGTGATTATTGGAAGGCTATGTAAGCACATTTACACTGAAGATTCAAATAATGATTTAATAAGTGGTGGGAAGTCCTATCTTAAATTACAGTTTTAGGTAAATATTTGAAAACATTTAACCTACTGATGCCTCAATTAATGTAATTTTATTGGTATCTTTTTTTATTTTGAAATTTAACAGTAGTTGTTGCATTTCCCATCCTTGGCTTATACTTGGGTCAATACAGTTTCCCAGTTTTTTCTGGTAAAATTCGGTGCACTGGCTTATATTCAGGTCAACTTATACTCAATTATATATAGTAATTAAGAGATGACGATTTCTCACCTTCCCCAGAAAGCAAACAGACTCTTCCTCACACATGACAATTCACTACTTCCCTTTTTACATTTGATTTTATTGCCATTTATTTCAAGACACTTCCACAACTCAGAGAACCAATACAATATATTGGAAGTCTGGACTGACAAAAATTGCACAAAATCAGGAAAGACCCAATCGGCACAGCAGAGGATCAGTTACGCTGTACATGATTGTGTTATGACCCAAATAGAGTGGTTGGATTATCTTCACATGGGACAAATAGTTCCTCTATGACAAAACAACCTAATCCTTTTCATGCTCAAACTGATCAAAACAGAACAGACATATTCCAGCATTCAAGAAAGAGTAAAAAAGAGACACTTTTACAAATAATATTTAAAGTTTCTTCTTAAATGTGACATCATTGACTACCTTGTTGCATTTGTGTAGTGAGCTCTGAAATAAGGCAGTTACTCAACGCTCAAAATATCCTCCACTAACCCCCATGTTGTTCTGTGGATCCTTCCAACAAAGAACGATCCAAGAACTTTCCTTCAAATTTTGTGTGACTCTTTTAACCCTTTGTAAAAAGGCATGTTAAAAATAAGTTTAACATCTATTTCTCCTATATTAAAAAGCCATTATTATACACTTTTAAACCAATGCAAAAATTTATTCCTTACTCTAGTAATTAGTGTACTGGACAAGATAAAAAAGTGACGCATGACCAGAAAAAGTGTACATTTTCAAGTTTTCGTTTACATCCGATTTTCCTGTCAATCAAATAAATACAAGACTTCAACAGAAGCCAATAAAGGGGTGATGAAGTATTTCAAAGATCCAGGAAGAATCTTCATATGTTCCTTTCTATAAAAAAAAATACCCACACCATGAACAGGAAAGCTTTGATCATTATATTGTCCTAGATAAAAAAATTCTCATTCCAATCACAAGTGGATAAAAATAGCTTTTGTGCTTAAGCTTGTGTCACACAACGTATGCACTTAAACATGTCTGTTTCTTTCTTCCCCACATTGATGGCAAATCACTTCGATATTTATAGCAGCGCTAATCTGGTGAGATTCTAATGTCTGTCATGACACAAAACATCATGGGAAAAAGCAACAACTTTGTACAACTAAAGATCCTGAAGTCCAACACAGCCATTGTCTTTGTTCTTCTCGAGAAACTGTTCACAGGCTTGAAAAGTAGAATGGAAGCTTGAAGAGAGGCCAGCAATATTGGTTGTAATGTAGTTCAACACACCTGAAGTAGCCTGGTGGTAATAAGACACCTAGAAAGAAAAGCACGGTTATCACTTCATTCAGATTTTCCCAATCTGAGGCTTTCCAGATGTGACTATAACTCCGAAAAAGCTACATCTGAGACTTTAGTTGTAGGCTGGAAGGTGCAAGGCTTGATAAGTTTAAATTAGTTCTTGGAAAGTCTCAGTATCAACACTGGGTTGCTGTGAGTTTTCTGGGCTGTATAGCCATGTTTCAGAAGTATTCTCTCCTGACGTTTCACCTGCTTCTATGGCAGGCATCCTCAGAGGTTGTGAGGTTTGTTGGAAACTAGGAAAATGAGGTTTATATATCTGTGAAATGTCCAGGGTGGGAGGAAGAACTCGTGTCTATTTGGGGTAGGTGTGGAACTCGTGTCTATTTGGGGTAGGTGTGAATGTTGCAACTGGCCTCCTTGATTAGCATTGAATGGCCTTGCAGCTTCAAAGCCTGGCTGCTTCTTGCCAGGGGGAATCCTTTGTTGGGAGGCATTAGCTGGCCCTAGTTGTTTCATGTCTGGAATTCCTCAATTTTCTGAGTGTTGGAAAACTGGGGAATTCCAGACATGAAACAATCCTTTGTTGGGAGGTGATTAGCTGGACCACTCTATCAACTACCATGTTTGACCACACAGAGAAGCCACTGAAATCCACAAGCAAGTGGACAATTTCAACAGAAAGGAAGAAACCATGAAAATGAACAAAATCTGGCTATCACTATTAAAAACTCTAAAATCATAACAGTAAATAAAGAACAACACTCAAAAACAGGGAAAATAATCAGGACCAGCTAATCACCTCCCAACAAAGGATTTCCCAGACAGTAAGAAGCCAGACCTTGAAAAAGCTAGGCCATTAAATGGTAATCAAGGTGGCCAATTGCAACATTCACACCTACCTCAGACAGACAAGAGTTCTTTCTCCCACACTGGACATTCCACAGATATATAAACCTCATTTTCCTATGTATTGTCGAAGGCTTTCATGGCTGGAATCACTAGGTTCTTGTAGGTTTTTTCGGGCTATAGGGCCATGTTCTAGAGGCATTTCTCCTGACGTCAGGAGAAATGCCTCTAGAACATGGCCCTATAGCCTGAAAAAATCTACAAGAACCTACTCATTTTCCTAGTTTCTAACAGATCTCACAACCTCTGAGGATGCCTGCCATAGATGCAGGTGAACCATCAGGAGAGAATGCTTCTGGAACATGGCCATACAGCCCTGAAAACTTACAGCAACCCAGTGATTCCAGCCATGAAAGCCTTCGACAATACAGTATCAACATTGTTTTTCAAAATAGGTGTCAACAAATATAGCAGTAGCATTTGTTTCATAATACAGGTAGTAATTCCCTTGTCCAGATTTCCAAATTCTGAAATATTCCAAAATTGTCTACATGGTTTGCTGAGATAGTGATTTTTTTTTCTCGTGGTGGAATGGACACAAATGTTGTTTTAGGCATAATATTATTAAAAGATGGTGTACATAAAATCACCTTCAGGTTATATGTATAAGATGCATATGAGGCCTAAATGAATGTTGTATTTAGGCTTGGGTCCCATCTCCCAAGATTATATATATTCAACTATTCCAAAATCCAAAATATGAAACACTTCTGGTCCCAAGCATTTCAGATAAGCCTGCAGTTAGTTTTGGAATCCTAGTCTGAACAAGCATTCATTTGTTCATAAGCAAAATGAAGAAGATAAGTGGCATCTTTTTTGTTCATTAAAGGGCGACAAATCCATGGGTTCATTTATTTTTACCATCTTTTTTTAAAGCACCCAAACATCTCAAGTCAGCTGTGCATATTATAAGCATCTCAGAACTATAAATGCCACTAATTACTTTTTAAAAAGTAACTTTCCAAACTTAATCAATGCTATTGCATATGCATTTAGCAAGTAATTTTCACATCTGCAGTAGCTGTGGGAGTTTCTGCCAGAATGGCAGAGACTGCTGCTGCTGCTACTTATTGCTGTATTGTGACACTTTCTCCACATGCAAAGCTTCCTGGAATGGAGAAGGGAGTTCCAGGAAAATCCTGGTGGGATCTGAACCTCGGTATTTCATTACTGTGACCTCTGGTCTGTAAAGGGTTGTGAAGAGCACAGATTCCAAAAGCAAATAACAAAAAGGATCCACTGTATTGGGTTGTTTTGAGTTTTCCGTGCTGTATGGCCATGTTCCAGAAGCATTCTCTCCTTATGTTTCGCCTGCATCTATGGCAGGTATCCTCAGAGGTTGTGAGGTCTGTTAGAAACTAGGAAAGTGGGGTTTATTTATCTGTGGAATGGCCAGGGTTGGAGAAAGAACTCTTGTATGTTTGAGGCAGGTGTGAATGTTGCAATTGGTCACCTTGATTAACATTTAATGGCCTTGTAGCTTCAAAGCCTGGCTGGAATTCCCCAGTTTTCTGAGTGTTGTTCTATATAAAGAATAACACTCAGAAAACTGGGGAATTCCAGACATGAAACAATCAGGGCCAGCTAACACCTCCCAACAAAGAACTCCCCCTGGCAGGGAGCAGTCAGAAACATGGCTTCTGGAACATGGCCATACAGCCTGGAAAACTCACAGCAACCCGGTGATCCCAGTCATGAAAGACTTCGACAACACCACCTTCCTTTTTCTTCTTTCCCTTACATTCCGATTTCTCCACCATTTCCAAGTTTGTCCAGATTAGACACATTACAATGACCATTTTTCTCCAAACCATGATATGAAACCAAGTTGGTAAGTGTTTTTCCCCTGTGTTGATATCACAATAAATGAAAGCTAAGGTATGATTGAAAAGAAATTTGGGAAGGAGGAAATGCACAAGCCATTTCTAAACCATGGTTTCAAAATATGTCCAAACTGAACCATTGTTATACATTGCTCTACTAGCCTCTTAGAAAGATAAATGCTTACTTTGCTGAGCTCATCCGTTTCCTGCCAAATACAGAAGCCAGAACAAAGAGTTTCTCCTCGAGTGTACTTTGGCTTTGCTGGAAGTGTTGGCAATGTGACCGATCTGAATGCTACAACATATGGATCACTGGAAAAGAAAGAAACCTGTTTAGGACAAATAAAGCAAACTGTCCTATCTTAGCTCATCATACTCACTACAACTCACAACACATCCTTGTTTGACTTCCAAAATATGATATAAATGCCGTGAGCTACTCAGTTTCCTTCTTGACATTTGTTTTATGGCATTACAAAAATAAAACTCCAGGAGAAACCTCAAAAGGTTGACTGAGATAAACATGGTCTGTATGGATATGGATGGACCATATTCAGTGAAGAACTGACACGCTAAACATTGGAATGGGGACCTACCCTTTGCTGCATGGTTTCCTTCGTGAGACCAGGGTGACAAAGTCTTGAGGCTTGTTTTCTTCACTCATAGTTTGACTAATTACATAGTAGATCATGTCATCTTTGTCTACTTGCTGGACAAGTTCAGCACTCCTGCAAAAGGGTTGCATTTTTAGCAAGACAAAAATGAGAAATGGGTAAGAGTGGGGCGATGAAGATGTTCACTGACTTGACAAAAATAGGCACATAAGTAGACCCAAACCATCATATCCAGCCCTTTGAATTTCTACCCAGAGATGGACTTTCAGCCAGTGGAGCTATCTCAGCAAGGGAGCTACGGTATGTGTATTCTATAACCTGCCCCAATTCGTAACCTAGCTGCAACATTTTGGACCCCCTGAACTGTCCAAAGGCAGTCCTGTGTAGATACATTATAATAATCAAAACAGTATGTGATCAAGACATATGTGACTGTAACCTGCACTTCCATGGACAAAAGATAAAGGACAGCTGCCTTCTTTTGAGGGAAAGGGGAGGGAGGAGTCTCCTGTGACCTTTAAAGCCCTACATGGATTGGGTCCAGACGATTTTATTTATTTATTTCACATATTTGTACCCCATCCTTCTCACCCTAGAAGGGGGACTCAGGGTGGCTTCACAATAGGCATTCAGTCGATGCCAAACAACGCATACAAATAAAAACCCATTAAAACAAATCAATTAAAACATACATCACAGAAACAATTATGGGTTGTTGTAGGGCTATATGGCCACGTGCTAGAGGCATTCTCTCCTGACGTTTCACCTGCACCTATGGCAAGCATCCTCAGAGGTAGTGAGGTCAATTATTATAATAGAAACAATTATTAAAATCATGTGAGTTTAATAATTTCTGTGTAGGCCTGCCTGAGCCTGGTGGCCTTCAAGGAAGAAAGATCTTTCTCTTCTTCCTATTGCTATCACAGGCACATTTGGCAAGGAGACAGGAGAAAGCCTTATTGGTAGCTGCACTGAAGCTCAGAAGCTCTAGAGGTCTGGTTGGTCCCCTCCCAGCTGTCTTCATATTAGAGCAGGAAAAACCTTTTTATTTAAGGAAGCATTTGATTCTTAATGTGTTTTCTTTCTGTATATCAGGAGCGACCTGAGAAACTGCAAGTCACTTCTGGTTTGAGAGAATCAGCCATCTGCAAGGACACTGCCCAGGATGCCCAGATGTTTTACCATTCTGTGCGAGGCTTCTCTCATGTCCCCGCATGAGAAGTGGGAGCTGACAGGCAGGAGCTCACCCCATTCCCCAGATTCGGTCAGCGGTCCTGTCAGCACAAGGATTTAACCCACTGCACCACCAGGGGCTCCTTCTTAATGTGTTGTAGCCTTTTGAGTCTTTAATAGGAGATGTTGTTCCCATTATGTTTTACATACACTTTTAAAATTGCTTTTAACTTGCTTTTAACTTGTATTTTTAACTTATGCTTTTTAAATACAATTTTGGTTTAATTCTGTTTTAACTTTTGTACTACAAATTTTGAAATGTATTTGTTTTTTTTAGAAAAAGCTTATGCCTCCTTGTATCCCATGCTGTGAGAAAGGTAGAAAATACATACATACATACAAGTAAGAAAAAAGGACAGCCTTAGGTCTGTGTTGCCATTTGCCTGCCCTTTTTCACATCTGTGTTATGATATGCTCTCTGTAGGAACACAGAAAAGGCCTCAAATATGAAGTTGCAAACACAATCCAATTTGATCAGAATGTTCACTCTTGGGACATAAACACTCTTCATGCCATAAGACAGGGAACCGGGGGATCCCTATAAGCTTCGGGTCCAACCTATCTTCAAGATCACATCTCTTTCTATGAATCGGCGCAGGCTTTGATATCGGTAGGGGGGCCCTTCTCTCAGTCCCACCACCAGCTCAAATGCGGTTGGTCGGAACGAGAGAGGGAGCCTTCTCTGTAGTGGCTCCCCAGCTCTGGAATACCCTCCTAAAAGAGATTAGTTTAGCCCCTACCCTTGAATCCTCCAATTCTAGCCTAAAAACATAGAATTTTAAACAGATCTTTGGCCTCGAGTAGGCTGAAATGAGGCTATATTAGGTTGACACTTTGGCACTTTAGTTGTGTATTGATGACAGCTAGTTTTAACCATTGATGGAAAATGTTTTTAAGCTGTGTGTTTTATTTTATTTTACATGTTGATAGTGGTTGTTTATAACTTTTATGTGATATTGTTTTATTCTCATGTACTGTTGATGTTTATACTGCACTTGCAGTGCCTTGTTAGTTGCCCCAAGTCCCTTTTTGGGAAATGGAGGCGGGATCCAAATAAAGTTTACAGTGTTCCCTTAGTTATCATGGGTGTTACGTTCCAGGACCACCCACGAAAAATGAAAATCCCTCGAATATATGTCACATTCCAAGGGTGAGGCAGAAGTGAAGAGAGATTTAAAGGCACTATGCACCTTTTAAAAAATAGGTATAAGATGGGGCTATAAGGCCATACACTCCATAGTTGCCATCGTTGCCCCTTCCACACTCCATCGTTGCCAGGAGGCAAAAACCTGCAAAACAGCGAGTCTGCAAAAAGCGAACTGTGAAGTTGCGAAGTAGCCAGGGAACACTGTATTTATTATTATTATTATTATCTTTGTTTTTAAGTAAACAACACTGGTAGCAATCCCTCTCTGATCCAGGCACTTACGCAAAATGCTTATCCCATTCATGTCTGTGTCGCAGGTCTGACAACAAGAGGCAGGCCTGCTTAGCATTGATGGAGATGGTCATCTCTATCCGGATTGAGAGGAATTTGTCCTCCTCCAGTGTGTACATCTTGACCTTAGGATAACCAGGACAGAAAGGAAGAGAGAGCTGGTTAAAACTAAGCAGGAACTTCCCACAGAGGTGCTCTTGATCACTGTTCCACCTAAATGCGTTCAAAGTGCAACATACCACTGTTCATGCACGAGACAAAGGGAAAAAGGAGTGTCTGCTGGAAGTACACAAGAGAGTGCGGTGGATGGGCTAAAAAACTAATCTAGTTTTACCCCCCAACTAGTATCCGATGTCCAGTCAACTTAGATTCAGTCAACCTTAGAAATGCAGCAGTGTTTGCAGAGTTTAGATGATTGCTGGTGGCTATACAACTGGATTTTGATAGGAATTAAATAATTGAATGAACTCTTTTTGGAATCTTTGAAGATGGTACCTTTCCCTCAACAGGAAGAGACCTTCTGTCTCAGCACTCCAGTGCTTGGGTTCTACTGGAGTTGACTTGTTGAATCAACTGCTAAATTGAGCCCCTTGTAGCGCAATGGGGTAAACCCTTGTGCCACTGAACCCTTGTGCAGGACTGAAGCCCGATAGGTCGCAGGTTCGAATCTGGGGAGAGCGTGGATGAGTTCCCTTTATCAGCTCCAGCTCCCCATGCAGGGACATGAGAGAAGCCTCCCAGAAGGATGATAAAACATCAAAACATCTGGGCAACCCTTGGGCAACGTCCTTGCAGAGGGCCAACTCTCACACCAGAAGCAACTTGCAGTTTCTCAAGTTGCTCCTGACACAAAAAACCCTGCTAAATGGTTAAGTGGATAGTTCTATAAATGGGCCTACTATAGCACAACAACTAGTAACTAGATTTATACCTTTATATACAGCAGAGATATCAAGCAATATCCCTGAAAAGGTAAGACCAGCAGAGATAACATACAAGAGATAACAGGGTTATCATCATATTGTGGGTGATATGCAAAGAAGCAGCACAAATCTCAGCTGGTGGAGAGGAAGATGCAAATTTCTGGATTAGGACAGCATTGCAAAATTTAGGGGTAGACAGAAGAACTTGTGAGATACACGATAATGTTATATAAGAGCATCTTTGGAGATGAGCACAAATGCTAATATGCACACGCACACATCTCATGCAGAGTTTACCATGTTTTATGTATGGTGTGTTTTGTTTTGTTCAAATATGGAAACAAATGCAGCATTCCAACATCTCAAATTTGACACAATGGAGTGTTGGAAACCGTGTCTGCAGAACTTGTAAATTTTAACCTTTCTGACCTACAGCCCTCAGAATGTCCCAGCCAAAATACCCTTTGCATTTGTAAATTGTGAAAAGTCTTCTCCTTATGCAATGACTGAAGCAGCTGAGATGGCATTGGCACTTGGATAAATTTGGTAGGCTTTTAGATGGGACTGGTAGCTACCTTGTCTCTTTCAGATGCAAGCACCCAGTTGGCTTTAGCTACTAATGTCTTCAGTGCAGTAACATTGTTGTAACTCAGGTAAACCTGCATTAGAAACACAAGAAAATACAGTGTACAATGACAACTTATGATTCCTTTTGGAATTTATCAGTGCATCCAGCAACAATGTGAGTTTTTCTTATTCCATTCCCTACCCTGTCCTCTTACCTTTACCTTCTTTAAATTATATGTCTGTGGGCAGAAAGACTCATCAATACACCTAGGACATGTCGATAAACACAACCATTGTGGGTGATGGGAGGGCATGAATGGCCCCTAAAATTTGGCATTGGTGTTGAATTTCATTGAATGTTTGTGGAGTCAGATTTTTTTTAGCTTTGAGGATTTTAGCAGAACATGTAATGTTTTCATCACATTTCTCTAGATATTACAGACAGGCAAGTGCAAGGAATTAGTGAGAACTACTTGGAATGAGGATGAGACTTCTAAACCCCTGTAAATGTGACTGAACAGCCATTCCCATCATTCCTTGCCATAGACCATCCTGGCTAGGGCTTATGGGAGCTACAGTTCAGCAACCTACAGAAGCTTGCACAATTTCCACCTCTACTCACAAGCAAAGTAAGCAGGATATAAATGGCCCTCTTCTTCCATTCCTGCTTCCAGTGCTCTTTCTCTTTCTGCCAAAATTTTACTGACTAAATATATTAATAATAATAATAATAATAATAATAATAATAAACTTTATTTATATTCTGCCCTTCTCCTCACGGGAACTCAGAGCAGATTACAGTATAAACAGATACTAGCAAACATTCAATGCCTTGTTACAATACAGTGAGACACACAAACAAAGGCAAAGGCTTCTCTTTTCATTTCTGGCTTTGGAGTCGGTGCTCTCCTCTGGCTCTGGGGGAGGTGCTGTTCTCCATTTCCAAGACAAGGAGCCTGTGTTGTTATCTCCTAGTTGTGTAACTGGCATGACTGCTTAGAGCATCTTATGCCTTTCTCACTGAAGCGGTACCTATTTATCTACTCACATTTGCATGTTTTCGAAGTGCTAGGTTGGCAGGAGTGAAGACTAACAGCAGGAGCTTACCCCATCTAGCTGATTCAAACTGCCAGCCTTCAGGTCAGCAGTTCAGCAGCACGAAGGTTTAACCCATTGCGCCACTATACATCTACTAGATCCAGGGTGGGCAAATTTGGTTTGAGTGGGAGGGCACATTTTCAGCCACAGAATCCACAATGGATGGCTATTCATCAGTAGTGTTTCTAGTTACTTTCCATAAGCCCAGGTTCAGACCCTGCCACATGAAAAAGCTTTGGCACAGGATTCCCACCCTATGGGTAGCAGAATAGCCATGCACCTTCTTCCAGATATTGCTGCAAAGGATTTGAAGTCTTATGAAATACAGCATTGGAAAAAGACACGTGAAGGTAAATTGCATTTGGGGGACCTGTCCAGAACACAGACCACCTAAATCTAAAACCACATCAGGCAAACATTTGCAATTCATGTGGCAACAGGATAGCTCAAAATTTTCTTTACCTTGTTACTTTCATCCCAAGGTACAGACAAAGGTACTTCTGTGTGCTTACAGGAAATGACATATTTTCTGTAGAAAGCAAAAGAATGCATTCATCATAAAGTTGACTGTCAACAGGAGGTAATTCTGAAAAGGCTTCTTTTAAATATCTTTGAAAAAGAAAACCACTGATGTGTTCTGAACATGACTTTCCCCAGAAACTACATGAAATAACATGTCTTATTTTTAGTACTTTAGAAATAGCCACCTGGGTAGATTTGAACCAAATATCAGCAATAAAAACACAGGAAAAATTTCAGATCAGCAGTGATGGCACATCAGACAGGGCAATAGTACAATGAGCACCACCATTTAAATGTGATTTGGGAAGTCTACACAGGTTTAGGTTCCACAGTCAATGCATTGATAATGAGTCACCATTTTCACAAGAAACATATTGGTTTAAGATTGTGAAGTCAACATAATTAAGTCATGTGTGGTAACTCGGATAGTCACTTCAATTTTTCTTTTTATATGCAGAATTGAATGTTGTCTGAATTTTAATCTCTTCTTAGCCATGGAAACCTAATTGGTAACTTTCAGCACATCCCAACCAAAGAGTCTCCTCTGGCAAGTCTCCTCTGAATAAATCCTTTTACTGACAAAACTCTGTGATAGCGTTGCCATAAATCAGAGTCTGTTTGAAGGTACATAACAATAACAAAGAGCCATTAGTGAAAAGAAATCAAATCAAGCCTATTTGGAGGTAAAATTTCACATGGCCAATGTGGAAGGAAAAAGTGAAAATTCACATACTCAATTGAACAAGGAAGTGATTAAAAAAGTAACAGCCTGTTTTTATAAGACAGGATAATGTGTTGTATGAGTAGAGTGCAAAAACCCTGAGACAAATTACAAACTGGGAAAGAGGACGGAAGATCTTTCTCTTTGGTCTTTAATAATTGTTTTCACAAAAATTCCAAGGGTAAAGAAGCAAAGGGCCTAAAAAGAACTTACCGTATATACTCGAGTATAAACCAAGTTTTTCAGCCCCTTTTTAAGGCTGAAAATTATGTCCTCAGCTTATACTTGAGTCAATTGGGTCAATTGAGTCAATAAAATAATTGATTTCTCTTATTATTTTACTGTGTTGTTGTTGTTGTTGTTGTTGTTGTTACATTTATTATTTTACTCTATTTATTATTATTACATTTACTTTATTTTACTTTATTATTATTTATTTATATTATTTCTTACGCTTCTATCCCACCCTTCTCCCCACATTTTTATTACATTTTATTCTATTTATTGTTATTATTACATTTATTATTTTATTCTCTTTATTATTATTGTAAGGATACATAATCATCACATTTACATATTTGAAAACATTTAACCTACTGATGCCTCAATTAATGTAATTTTATTGGTATCTATTTTTATTTTGAAGTTTACCAGTAGCTGCTGAATTTCCCACCCTTGGCTTATACTCAAGTCAATACATTTCCCCAGTTTTTTGTGGTAAAATTAGGTGCCTCGGCTTATATTCGGGTTGGCTTATACTCAAATATATAGGGTAGTTACATTTTAAGAAAGCTAAGGGTCAAAGTGCCATTGAATTGAAAATAACTGGGAGTCCATAGATTCCAGTATGAAGCAGCAGTGGGCTAGCTTAAGATCTAGGATACCAGAGCTCATAAACCCTTTTAATTTAGCATGGAGCACAACATGTACAAATCAAGTGTCACGATATGGCTGTTTTTTTTTTTTAAGTAGAGTCTTTTGCCAGCTATCATGTCATCAGCATGCACTTGTTCCTTCTAGTTTTTTGCCAGTCTGCATGTGCCATGAATAAGACTAGCAGGCATCAGGCTCAGTTCAATTTGACTCCTGATCTACAGTCCATAGGAATCAAGAAAATCAAGAAAACTGCTTCTCAGAAACTACAAATGTTAACTTTATGCATTCTTCCCCCAAATAGGTCAATATAATGTCCTGAAACAAAAACAAAGAAATGGCCTGGTATCTAGTTCAACCGGGTGACATGCATGGCCAGTACTAGTCTTAGACCCAAGAGGCACAAACTTGCACAGAGAACCAAAAGCTCTCTTGGCCTTTGTTCAGCTGTTCTCACTCCTTGACAATCTCATTCTCGTGGCTTAAGATAAGGAAAGGCATAGAGATTTCAATGATAGCAACTATCTAAGATCTTCAAGATAACAAGGCCAAGAAAGATCCAAAGTACTAATATGCTCTTTTATTGTAGGTCTCACCCAAGCCACAAGACTAGAATTATTTGAAACAGAGAATCTGGGTAGCACAATGATCAGATAGGACAACGTTCACAAATAAGCTGAACAAGAAGATTCAGAGATAACACATCCACCCACATATCTCTTTCTCCAGGAACAGAATGTCCCCGCATTCCTCTCCATAACAGAAGGTGCTCATGTATTAAGACAGGCCTGAACATCATAGAGTCCCAGAGTTATAAATGGTGCACCCAGGCAGATATTAGTGCTGAGTTACATGTATTATTTAGATTGCAAGTCAGCAAACATAGCTCTATTCTATTTCTGTTCTGTGTTTTATGGGGTATAATGCAGTACTTCTATTTTATTTTTGAAGCACTTCAGAAATAAATATGAACAGGTTTCTTGCATTTGCATCCTACAAAACCAGTCCTAACACAAAACAAACTCAAAGAATAACTTTAAGGCACACATTTTAACAGCCTCTTTTAAATCACCCCAAACACCCAATTCCAATATAGCAGTCAATTCTAAGACATAATAAGATAGTATTCACTTTTCCACTTTCCCTTTAAAATCTTTTGTTTAAAACTATTGTGATGTAATGCTGGAGTTCATCAGTGAAATGGCACTTTCGCACTACAACTCTAAAAGAAGTTTTGGTAAAGATTCAGAGGAGAAAAATTGTCTGTTGAATCTACAGATCACTTCAGTGCACTGCTTCCTGATTTTTAAAAACATTTAGTTGAGTCCTAGAAGAATGAAACAAATGGACACACATGTGACAACAATGGCAAAACCTAAGCACTTACATTGCAAGTATTCTTTAGACCGGTGGTTCTTAACATGTGGGTCCCCAGGTGTTTTGGACTACAACTCCCAGAAATCCCAGCCAGTTTAACAGCTGTTAGGATTTCTGGGACCCATAGCTTGAGAACCCAAAAAATCTGGGTACCACTGCTTTGGACCAATATGAAAAAGCCTTGTGGTGTCAGAAAACACAATGACTGTGTGATTCTGGAAGTTAGAGTCCAAAATGTAACTTTTCCCATTTTTGTTCAGATCTCCGATGTCTGGTCTCACTCTCCTCTCCACTACAGAAGTCCCAACACCATTAGGATAAATTAAACTGCTCAGTTTACTGCTCCATCTGCTACATTCTTCAGATAGAATGATATAGCTGTGGTTTACAAGCCGATACATGATAGCAACAGAGAAACTGCAAAGCAACATAGATGTCAAAGTAGTGGGGGAAATCTCCTAAAAAGAAGCTGCCACAAACTCCTAAGACAGAGCACTCTTTTTACCATGTTTATGATACTCTATCTCACCGTGTTTCATTGTTCTTCTTTCCTCCCCAAGCCTGCCCTCTCTCCCTGCTCTCAAGAGAGTGCATTGATCTGGCATTAATGCCCCGAGAACCGTGGCCTTAAGGATAATGCATGCGGTCTCTGTCTGTGTTCTATAATAAATTATGAATTAGAGACAACCGAACAACAAGGCTATAAATACGCTATGAGGTTTTAGTGACATAACAGGAGGCAAACTGAAGGGGGCTCTGATGTCACCGCAAGGCAGAAATGGAAGGAAAATGTTGCACCATGCTGAAAAGACTGGCTTTGAAAAGACGAACAAAGAAACAGACCAGAGAGGCATACAGCAGGAAAGGAGAAAACCTTATTTCATTTTTACGCCATCTTTGCTTGCCTTTTGCTTTTCATTTCTTCCATGAAAATGTTTTCGTCCCTTGAGTTTTACCTTTTTCATAAGTCCTGCTATTAGAAACAAGAACTTGGAAAAGTTACCTTTTTGGACTCTAGCTCCCAGAATCCCCCAGGTAGCACCGTAACTGGGCAAACTGACTTAAGAAATTTGGCAGCTGTATAATATAATTTTGCTCAGCATTTCTCAACCTGGGGGTCGGGACCCCTGAGCGGGTTGTAAGGAGGGTGTCAGAGGGGTTGCCAAAGACCATCAGAAAACACAGTATTTTCTGTTGGTCATGTGGGTTCTATGTGGGAAATTTGGCCAAATTCTATCATTGGTGGGGTTCAGAATGCTCTTTGGTTATAGGTGAACTGTAAATCCCAGCAACTACAACTCCCCAATGTCAAGGTCTATTTCCCCCAAACTCCATCAGTGTCCACATTTGGGCATACTGAGGATTCATGCCAAGTTTGGTTCAGAGTCCACAGTGCTCTCTGGATGTAGGTGAACTACAACTCCAAAACTCAAGGTCAATGTCCACCAAATCCTTCCAGTATTTTCTGTTGGTCATGGGAATTCTGTGTGACAAATTTGGTTCAATGCCATCATTGGTGGACTATAAATCCCAGCAACTACAAGTCCCAAATGACAAAATCAACCCCCCCCCCCCAACTCCACCAGTATTCAAATTTGGGCATATTGTGTATTTGTGCCAAATTTGGTCCAGTGAATGAAAATACATCCTGCATATCAGATATCTACATTATGATTCATAACAGTAGCAAAATTACATTTATGAAGTAGCAATGAAAATAATTTTATGGTTGGGGGTCGCCACAACACGAGAAACTGTATTAAGGGATCATGACATTACGAAGGTTGAGAACCACTGATTTGGATGAACTAAATTAAACTCTATAGATTAGACAGTATCATTTTTTTTGCTGTAATACTCTTTGCTCCATCCTGCCTCCTTCCAACAATCTTGACACATTTTATGATATTATTTTGTGATTATAGTGTAGGATATGTCTTTCTAATATCTTAGCAATCTTTTTAAAAGAGAGAGAGCTTCCCTTTCACTTCACTGAGGAAATGTTGACAAGCATGTCACAAATCCGCACAAAAAAAAAATCTCCAGAACTGAAAGACTGAACTTAATATAGCTCATAAAGTTTTCAGATACTGACTGTCAGGAGTCCATTCAAGATGTCTGTTCATACTTCTTTTCACATTCCTATTCCAAAGTTTAAAGTCAGTCCATTTGCAATGTTACAAATCAGCTTCAGAATGTGAATAAGAAAAGAAAATGTCTTTTGTAGGATGTGCCAAGCACCTATTCACAATTACTAAGCAAACAAGGTATGCAGGAAAGAACGAATCCTTTACGCTATTTTAATCAAGCTCCTCGTGAATGGAATAATATAGAACTGTAATATATAATGGGTTCAATGTTGGTGCTAAACTTTTGATATGTTTGATATGTTTTAATTGTTTGAAATGCTATGATATGTATAGGTTTTTACAGTTTTACTGTATAATATTGTGTTTTACTGATATTGTTATTGTCTGAATCTGGCATTGAAATATTGCCACAGCTTGTAAGCTGCCCTGAGCCCACCTTCTGAGGTGAGAAGGGTGGGATAGAAGTACAGTAATTAATAATAAATAAATATAAATATTTAGTACTTGCTTCGAATTATCTGCTACTAGATCTGGATTGTCTAAAAGTACTGCTTCAAGCTAGGTTTGAGTCCCGAAATACTTTGGAGTTGATTAAATGCATTTTCCTGAGCCAAACATCTCAGTGTTTATCCCCTAATCTTTGCTGATTTCAACATTTTGAACATTTGGCACATAGGCAAGAGAAAATGGGCATAAAATGGGATTGCATAAGTAAAGTCACACACATACATAGACCTCATGTTTCAGCTAATAAATCATGCAGCTTCCAGTATTTCATGATCTTGAGAATCCCTTCTTCCCAAGATGTGGAAATGTCTGCCTTCTAATGATAAGGCACTTTGATGGCCAACAAGATCTCCCAGTCAGTCAAAGCTGTTCAACACTCTCAATAGCAGCTTTCTTGTTGTCATGTGCCTTTAAATCAACTCCGTCTTCTGCCAGAATTGACTTGAAGAGACTTTATAACAAGAAAGTAAGATTTATACAAAAGAGGTTTACCACTGCCTTCCTCCAAGGCTGACAAAATCTAACTTGCCCAGGGGACCACCCAGTTATGCATACATATGTTATATATAATACAAGGAGAGTAACTAGTGGTGTAAAGTCAGTGTTTAGTAATTATGGATAAGCATAACTTTTCCCTCTGTGTCCCATGTGTGTTGTTGCCTGGGTTGGATCCAAAGGTAGACAGAGACTTTAGTATTTCTCAAGAATGTCTAGTCTTCTGACCGCATTGGGATGTGCTCACTGTATTCAAGAATGTTGCTCTAGTCCTTTTGCAGAGCCAGGCAAAAGAGTGGAAACACAATCCATTACCTATGTATGAATATAATTCTATCCTAGGAATGCCCCATGGGGGAAAATAATGTAGTAAAACCATATTAAAAATCATGTAGTAAAAACTATACAGTCATCAAAACCTTTACAAAAGCTCAAGCCTAGAGGGTACTTTGCAGGAAGGGGGAGAAAAAATTGTAAGTAAGGTGTCAGGACAATAATAATTTTTTGCCACCTACCTGTCAAGTCTAATTTTTTGCCTAGCGCTAGCTTCTTTAAACCGCCTTTCTCCATCCTGTTAAAGAGAAATAAGAAAAAATGCTCATAAGACATGCATAGGACATCCTTTTACAGTGTATAGAGAGTCCTAGGTGACATGCCAGAGTTCAGAAGTAACTTTAAAAAGGGAGCTAGGAAATGCCCGTGACTGCTGGTCATATTTAATTTGAACCTTAAAAGTTTTTCATCTGACAAGGATGACACTCATGTTTGTACACTGTACAATGCACTGTAGCAGGAAATAAACTTGCTGAGCTGTGATTATCTGTCAAGTATGAAGCCAGGCCTTTAAATCATGATTCTCATATGTCTATGAAACTTCTTAAAGCAATTTTTCTGTCTTTCAAGAGTACATGAATCAAATTCTCAAGATGGTCCCAAGAAGAAACCAGATTTTGCATACCTCTGTTCTTCAAGGGGAAGAAACACATTTGATTCAAGACCACTGATAATCGCATTTGGCTGAACCCAGTACCATTTCCTGCTTCTTACCCCTGGTTCTGGTTTCAGCAAAGGGAGAGTTCGTGGTTGGCCCTCTTCATTCAAAACTACAAAGGTCATGAAAGCACTGTTTATGTGTCTTCGACTGACTTCCATTTCATGTCCATAGGCCTCCACACACACTCCGACCTCCATGCTGGAATGAAGAACAACTTTTTGAAACTACTGTAACAGAATTTGAAATATGTACATCTATATAATTGCTTAAACTATTTGCCTTGCCTGTTATGCTGTACAGAGCCACATGCTTGATCACAGAGTTGCCAAAGTGGATGCTTTACTGAATGGTACTAAACCAGTGGACCAGGGACCACTCTCCAACATTTGTACCAAAAGGGTTACGAATCAGTTTTTGGTCAACTTTAAATTTTGTTTGGTTATTTAGTGTGCTGATTCAGAAAATTGCATTGGATAGACCACATCAGGTCTGATGCAGAACATATGCCATCCAGTAGTCACAATCTGCTTGCCCACAGAAAACCATATTTAATAAACCTCGGCACTATAAGAGGGTTTCACAAGACCAGTCGCTCTCATTGCAATGGTGTAGTAACAGTGAGGCCACAGACCATATTTTAGTTCTTGTGGACCACTGGTTGTCCATCGTCCACAGGTTGGGAACCACTGTACTAAACCAAAGACTACTTGGTAGAGTAGTAGATAGCTACTTTGAGTACCTCCTAGACAAACACTTTTTGTATTTTATACTCTAAAGTGTATTTAAAAATCTATGAATCGACTGTGATCAAATCTGATGTGTTTTGGGGGTCCATTTTGCATGCAACTTGGTGTGAAACACATTTTATGGATTATAGATGCTACTAGTTAAATATTACCTTTATGACTATCTTGTCTTAAGAGTAATTGCAATGGTATCACAATAACAGTGAAATCAACAACACCAACACAGATAATACCTGGTAAACATCTTAGTACATTACTCTGTGAACAGCAGTAACAATTGATAACTAACATACAAGGGCCATTTTGTTATCTCTGCTTCTTGTGGAACTATCTGAATTCATTGGTGTATAATTTTGAAAGGACATATGCTGACTTGCTTCTTCACAGACTTGAGTTCTATCTCTTGACTAATTCTGAAAACTCGCAACCGTGATAACTTTTAGAGGTCTCTCACTTATGAAATCATTTCCATGTCCCATTTTAATAATGTTATCCCAAGTTAACCCAAGTTTCTGCTTAAATGATTTTGCATCTGTTCTACTGAGAATCATAGAATAATTTCATGAAGTAAGATTACTTCTGAACTCTGAAGTGACCTTCCACAGCACGATGCCCACCAGTTGATTTAAACTACAATTCCCATCTTCCCTGACCATGTGTTACAATGGCTAAGGATGATAGGAGTTCATCCTTAGCATCATCTGAAGTCCACCATATTTGGGAAGACTGTTGTCGGGGAGGAAAAGACAGACCTGTACTTGAATGTATTGTTGACTATAGCCTTGAAGAGAAGGCGGTCCCCTACTTGAGATGGTCCCCGAAAATGGAACATTTCTATTGTCTTCAGGGTAGGATGTGAATGGCACAATCGGCTAGAGGAGAAAAGAGAAACAGATTTGAGAATATGCCAATATTTTTTTTAAAAAATCCAGACTGGTATACATTATCCATCTACTTTTATAGAATATGTATTGTCAAAGGCTTTCATGGCTGGAATCTAGAAGCATTCCCTCCTGACATTTTGCCTGCATCTGTGGCAAGCATCCTCAGAGGTTGTGAGGTTTATTGGAAACTGGAATATTGGGTTTATAGATCTGTGGAAGGTCCAGGGTGGGAGAAAGAAATCTTGTCTTTTGCAGCTAGGTGTGAATGTTTCAATTGGCCACCTTGATTAGCATTTGATGGCCTGACAGTTTTTAGTTGTAGCTTGTTACTACTTGGGAAATTTCCTTGTTGAGTGGTGACCAGGTGTTCCTGATTGTTTCCTGGCTGAAGTTTCCCTGCGTTTGAGTTTTGTTTTTTATTTACTGTTATAATTTTAGAGTTTTTAAAGTATTGGTAGCCAGATTGCTCAAATATTATCATGAATAACGGTGTTTCTACGTGAAGGACTTCTATCAGAGCTTGGAAACATTGCTTTTGGGGCTATGAAACCCAGAATGGCTGGGGGGTTCTAGAAATTTCAGTAATTTTATTAGTTCCTAGTGTTAGTAATACAAAGAGTTGAAGCAGCTATTTTGTCCTCCTTCTTTATCAGGTTGGATGTGGTTATGAAAAGTGACAGAACAACCAGCAGGAAGACACAGGGGAGATACAAATTGACCCCTGGTGAACTTCTTGAACCAGGCAGTGGAACTACAGAGTGAAAGCTTTGTCTAAAAACACCATTAGTAACAGGTCATACTCTTGTAGATGTAGTTCAGTTGTCATTTCCCCAAGCAACCCAAATTGTGTGTGTGTGAAACAGCAAGGCTCAAGTCTAGATTTCCTCAGGCCCCTTGTGACTGAGAATGTCTCTGCCTCCATCGGCAAATACCTTGGGAGTTCCCATCATTGAGGGGCAATCTTTCTCTCCTCCTTTCTTTCTTTTCATTCCCAGATTTCATGAAGACACAGCGCCACCTAAAGGAGCGCATCTAACTTGTCTCCAATTGAAGTGAATAATTTTGGATTAATACTTTCAAGATCCTGGAATCCTGCTAGTTAGAAGGCGAGGATTATGCACAATCAACTTTCCAGAAAGAGGAGGTAACATGTATAAGGGAGGCATGTTTCTGCCATATGTTGGCTAAGAAATTCGGGAAATTGTTGGCCCTGGAGTAACTTTTTCAAGCTTTGGGCAACCGAAAGGTCAGCAACTTTTCTACCCATCTCTTGCAACTGGAGCTTGTTTAAATTGAAGATATCTGCTCACGTAATGACCAGTGAAAAGGATCACTGCTTTGCTTTCAAAGGAATAATGATGGCCAAACCATTGATTTGCCACTGATTATATCAAGAACTGTGAGGGAAACAGGGCTGAGGCTAGACAGAAGCACCATGCCCAAAGGAGACCAGGTCTGCAAGCCAGATGAAGATAGGTAGAGCACGTGAATTAATTAGATGCTATACTAGAATCATAGCATATTTAAGTTTGAACCGCTTATGGAGGCAGATGTGTAACAACTTGTAGTCTCCAAGTTCTGCAGTAGGAGTTAAGTCTGATCAGTTCCAACCATAGGTAAAGGTAGTTTCCCCCTGACATTAAGTCCAGTCATGTCTGACTCTGGGGAGTGGTGATCATCTCCATTTTTAAGCTGAAGTGCCAGTGTTGTCTGTAGACACCTCCAAGGTCATGTGGCTGGCATGACTGCTTGGAACGCCGTTAAATGCTAAGTTGGTAGAAGTTGGGGCTAACAGCAGGAGCTCACCCTGCTCCATGGATTCGAACCTGTGACCTTTCGGTTAGCAAGTTCAGGAGCTCAACGGTTTAATCCAGTGCGCTGCCGGAGGCTCCCTTTGTTCCAACCATACCTGAATCTAAACCCATGTGACATTTCACAGCAAGACGGGCCTAAAATGTAAATTTAGTTAAACAGTAGAAAAAACTAGCTGCAAAACCTGGAGAAAGATTAATATAAAAGTTGTAGAAGCACTCAAACCTAATTCTACTTCTATTAGGTATCACACAGCTAGAACTGTTGCTAAAATGTTCTCCCCCATTACATCTCTCTCCCCCCCCCCTTTAATACTCGTACTTATATACTTGTGGATCATCTATATGTCTGGATAGATAGATAGATAGTCTCACAATTATGTATGTATGTATGTATGTATGTATGTATGTATGTATGTATATGTGTTTGTGTTAATGCTACTGTATCCAGTTAATCTTTTTGCCTAGGTTTTGTGCTTCCGAGACTTGAGTGGCATGTTCAAAAGCCGCATTATGTGAGAGGTGCTGCCAATCAAGAGAGCCTATGCAACAAAGCAGTGAGATATCTGGGCCAATTTTTCTGTCCCCCAAAGTGATGTTCAATAAAATACACGAGTAACAGAAAGGAAAAGAAAGAAAGAAAGAAAGAAAGAAAGAAAGAAAGAAAGAAAGAAAGAAAGAGTAAAGCCAATTTAAAAACAAAACAAAATATGGGATGTGTTGCTGAAGGCTTTCATGGCCAGAATCACTGGGTTGCTGTGAGTTTTCCAGGCTGTATGGCCATGTTACAGAAACATTCTCTCCTGATGTTTCACCCACAGGCATCCTTAGAGGTTGTAAGGTTTGTTGGAAACAAGGCATGTGGGGTTTATAGATCTGTGAATTGATATATCTGTCTGAAATCAGGATGGTAAAGAAAGAACAACACAGGGGAATTGCAGACAAGAAACAATCAGGATCAGCTAATCACCTCCCAACAAAGGATTCCCCAAGGCAGGAAGCAGCCAAACCTCGAAGCTGCAAGGCTATTCAATGCTAATCAAGGTGATCAATTGCAGCATTCTGGCCATGAAAGCCTTCGACAACACATCCTATATTTTGTTTTGCTTTAAAATTGAATACACCTGCCTCAAACAGACAAGAGTTCTTTCTCCCACCCTGGACATTCCACAGATATATAAATCCCACTTGCCTAGTTTCCAATAGACCCCACAACCTCTGAGGATGCCTGCCAAAGATGTGGGCAAAACATCAGGAGAGAATGGTTCTGGAACATGGCCATAGAACCCAGAAAACCCAAAGGAACCCAAAATATGGAATAATAAGAATTATGAACACGTGTCAGAATTTCAAGGACAATGGACCCTCAGGAAAGAAGTTTACTATTGTTGGGGTACAGAGGGTAGGTTACTTTCAAGGTAAGTGTTAAAAAGCACAGCCAATGGCCTGCTATGAGCCAATTTTTCTTTTTCTACTCCTGTGCTTCTTGATAAAATGTAGCTGTGATGTGGGAAAAAAAATCCAAGCATTTCCATGTGCATTTATGTCTCAATTCAGTAAAATACTAAAGGTGTAACTCAAAGGGATAAGAGTTATAATGGCAGCTGACTTTATGGTATATACCTCCAGCAACACCCACTGTTAAATATGCTGAGGACATAGAATACACACAAAATATAGCCACATGAAACAGCCCTGAATGACTACAATTCAGACTGAGTTCAGTCCAACTTGCCTGGCTCAACGCAGCCTTTCCTGCAGCCACCTACAGCTTCATCAGCATGGCTGTTTTAAACAACTTGTAGCCCAAAGGGAAATGAGCTATATTGGTCATGCATATATGGGCTTCACAATGCCACTTACTGCTCACCTTATCAAAGTTTAATGGAGTTTAAAAGGTTCTCCTCGATTTAACTCCTATACCTGGGATGAAATGAAAACTACCCAAGGACAGACATGGAAACACTTCAGATCGTTCCATCATTTTCTCTCCCAATCCACATAGAGATGGAACACAACTAGTTGGAAGGGTAGCCTTTTCTTTATTCTCAGCCAGAAGAAGCCAACGTGCTTTCAGCTTTTTGCTACTTGTTTTATAGTAAGAAATAGCAATAGTTCAACATTTAGAACAATAGTAATAGTTTGATATTGCCTTAAGTAATACAGCTAAGCAATATTAAACAATAGCAATAGCTCAATATTCAATGTAAAAGCCTTGAAGTTTGATGGTCCTTTGCTAGCTGCTCTCTCTCTTTCCCTATGGATTTACATCCCTAAATTCTGCTGTTAAGTAAATATTGAATAAGTGCAGACAAATAGTGTTTTCAACATGTCTTGAAGTAGGATCACACATTGTGCCATATGATAGATGTCGCAGATACGATATCATTCAAAGAACAGCTGGGAGTTTTGCAGTAAGACAATGAGAATCACAGCAGAAAATCCAGCAGCAAACCACCACCATCATGAATAATTTTATTCCAAAAGATAAAGAAGATAAATAAGCATACAACCTCGCTGCTATTGTGGCCACATTCTCCATCCAAGCCATGATCTGCCCTCCAAAGGTGTTTCCTTGATGGTTGCCATGTGGGGGCAGAATGAGTTCCACACTCTCCACTCGTGTCTTTTCTGCAGGTACGGCCATGTTGCAGTCTCTGATCTCAAGCTCTGTTAGGAAATAAGGATGGATTTTATAAGGGAGTCACCTATGGAGAAATAGATTCTTCAAACCAGACTATTTGACATCTGACCCAAACCATTTGTCTCTAGAAGTCATGGCATGGCAGAGGTGGGAACAGGAACTGATATAGGCTTATAAGAAACACACTGAGGTTAGAATCCTGTTGACGAAATACATTCACATAATGAGTTGTGTAGATCTATATGTTTCTAAGTTAACTATGGAAATATGCATTCAGTACTCCCCAATGCAATGCTTCTCCTTCCCATACCATGCAGCTTCATGGCACATACTCATTTGCGAGGGTTGAATAAAAAGTAATGCCTCCACCTTCGTAACTCCTCAACAGATGGCAGTACTGGTATGCGGCAGGTACTAGCTTGTTCAGTAGACTCTCCTCTACAGTTCCATTTTGGCAGGAAGCCTTAGCATTGAATGGTTGTGTTATTAAAGTGTGAAGTATGGAACCCTGCACAGATGGTCAGTCAATGAGACTTAAGCAACATGCAGTCATTGAATTATTGACAGCAGAAGGTGCCACTCCAAAGGAGATTCATCAGAGAATGCAAGCTGTTTATGATAGTTGTGTTGATGTGAGTACTGTGCGTTGTTGGGCAAGTAAGTTTAAAGATGTTGAGATGGGAACACCTGACTTGAATAACAAACAGAGAGTTGGACATCCTGTGACAGCAACCAACAGACTCCTTGGCATGGAAAATGGAACAAGAGCACCTCCCCATGGCCAGTTGAGCATCGCCTCCAGACGCTGAAGATGGAAAGGGAAACCTTCGCCTTTGTTTGTGTATTGCACGTATTTGTTGTTCACTGCATAAAAGGCATTGAATGTTTGTCTATAGGTGTGTATACAGGAATCCACTCTGAGTTACCTTGGGGAGAGTGGAATATAAATAAAGTGTATTATTATTATTATTATTATTATTATTATTAAGCTGAAAGTGACTATTTCCAGTGCTCTTAGCTACAGATTGCTATACTGTTCATGAACACTGCCAAGAGTGATATAGGAGACAACCGCTGTCATTCAACAAAAGCACCATAGAGGACTCTGTGGGTTATTCTACCTGACTGCACAGGATTGTTAGAGACAAGGCCTTTGATTGTATCTGCATGTGCCAGTCGCATACGACGGCGTTCAGCAGCAATGCTGTATTCCATCTTCTCTTCTTCTGTTTGAGGAACAAATGGTTTCAACTTTATCTAAGTAGAAGAAGAAGAAAAGAATAAATAGTACATTCAAGATACATTTCAATTCGTAGGGCAAATTTTAATGCACTACATTAAAACTTTGTATATGGGCAAAACATCAAACTATAACAGCAGACCTGTATGAAAATGAAAGATTCTGTGCTTTGGGTGTCAGTGTGTTTGTGTGAAGCCCACTTTACATGCCCAAACATAGGGCAGCATTTGGGAGGCAATTTACACACAATGGGGGAACTTCACTTAAACACTTGGCCAAAAACTAAGAGTTATGCCATCAGACTCTTAAGTTTTTGGCCAAGTGTTTAAGTGAAACTAAGAGTTATGCCATAAGAAGGGGTTGTGATGGTGCAGCAAGTTAAAACGCTAAGCTGCAGAACTTGCTGACCGGAAGGTTGGTGGTTAGAATCCCCAGGATAGGGTAAGCTCCTGTTGTTAGTCCCAGGTTCTGCCAACTTAGCAGTTTTAAAACATGCAAATGTGAGTAGATCAATTGGTACCACTTTAGACGGGAAGGTAACAGCGCTCCATGCAGTTATGCTGGCTACATGACCTTGAAGGTGTCTATGGACAGCGCTAGCTCAGGCATGTAGCCAGGGGGGGGGGCTCGGGGGGCTTCAGCCCCCCCCCGAAATTCTCATGGTGGTTCGCGAAAAGGCCTTACTGGTGCATTATTTAAACTGTTATGTTTATTAATATCATGATTTGATCACCATTCTCAATATATCCCATATGTATGGGGGTATTGGGGTAATGATACAAAAGGTTTGCTAGGCTAGACCCTCTTTCACTCAGACTCAGCCCCCCCCCGAAACTCAGCCCCCCCCCCGAAACCCCCCCTGAAAATTTTTTAGCCCCCCCCCCCGAAACGAAATCCTGGCTACGGGCCTGCGCTAGCTCTTCGGTTTAGAAATGGAGATGAGCACCAGCCCCCAGAGTCAGACTCGACTAGACTTAATGTTGAGGGGAAACCTTTACTTCACAGCCATCAGAGGATGTGATTCTCTATTTGAGTGTTATGCCATGTCTGGAAAGCAAAGTAACTTTATGTTCACTTACTATTTCAGAAAAAAACAGTAACTGGGGTCCCTGAAAGCAAGAAAATAAGCCTAGTGTGGCCAGCTAAAAGGTAAAGGTTTTCCCTTGACATTAAGTCTAGTCATGTCCAACTCTGGGAGGTGGTGCTCACCTCCATTTCTAAGCCGAAGAGCTGGCGTTATCTGTAGATGTCTCCTAGGTCATGTGGCCAGCATGACTGCATGGAGCGCTGTTACCTTCCTACCGAAGTAGTACCTATTGATCTACTCACATTTGCATGTTTTCAAACTGCTAGGTTGGCAGAAGCTGGGGCTAATGATGGGAGCTCACCCTGTCCCGCAGATTCGAACCGCTGACCTTCTGGTCAACAAGTTCTGCAGCTTAGCAGTTTAACCTGTTGCACCAGATATAGAATGCGCCTTCTATATCTGATGATATAACTCTTACTTTCACTTAAACACTAGGCCAAAGACTAAGGGTCTGATGTCATAACTCTTAGTTTTTGGCCAAGTGTTTAAGTCAATGGTTCTCAACCTGTAGGTCCCCAGATGTTTTGGCTTTCAACTCCCAGAAATCCTAAGAGCTGGTAAACCGGCTAGGATTTCTGGGAGTTGTCAGCCAAAACAATTGGGGGCCTACAGGTTGGGAACCACTGGTTTAATTGAAGCTCACCCATTGTGAAGAATAAAGCTGTATGGTCAACTACCTCTAATTTAGACTCTAACCTTATACATCTTATTTAAAACCAGTCCCAGCATGTTAAACCTGAGCATGTCCCTCTTCAAAGTGAAAAATAGTAATCTTTCTATGACTCCCAGTTGCTGTACAAAAAGCCCAAATTCTGCAAAGCCAATAAGCTCAAACAATACTTCTCTTAGCCTGTGGCACTATCATTTCAAAAAATTGAAAATGATGTCCCATTCATCAGTGCAGAACTTTAGCCTACCCTAGCCACAGAGGAGTTAAGATATTTTACTTTAAAACTAGATTTAATTTTTCTGATTAAATACTGGCAGTACTACGCCAAGAGTATGCCATGTAAAAAACCTGAAAGAATGAACAGTGGAGGTTATTTTTATGCACCGAAGTTAAGAGCCATGATAGAATAGTCAGAGTAATCAACGAGAGTCCTTTGTACATTCTCCAGAAAAAATTGCTTAGGAGGAAGGGAGGGATGGACAACAATACGGTTTTTGTTCTCAGTCCCCAAATAGAAACTGTGTGTATTTAAATGTCAGGGGTCTAAACCTACCTTAGCAGCTGGTTTGCCTTGTGCCACAAACGTTGCGTATGCCTTGCACACATTCCATTGCTCCCCATTACACAGATCTTCATAGCTGACCTGTACACCAACCTAGACATAATAACCAGAGGCAAAGGGGGGGGGGGGGGGGAGAGAGAGAGAGAGATATTGAATGAAAAAAAGTGTTCTTATTTTTTTTTAAAATCATTAGCAACTTCCATTCAGGAAAAAAAATTTAAAAAGAAAGAAAACCACATATGTTCCCTTCCTCAAAAGAATACTTTGCGGCACCTGATGAAGTTGTATTGTACAAGAAGTCTGTATTCTAGTTCTTAGCTGAGGTCTGGCAATTCAATACTTTTGAATATTTAAAGATGAACAGGCGGTGCAATTATTGCATTCTATGTACCGCTGCTTTCCTAAGCAAATGAATCACGGAACTTTGTTTCCCGGGGCAGCAAAATAAGAACCAGGCATCCCTTGAATCAAACTGTTCCCTCCTCTAACAAAGGAAGCCACGTTACAAACAAAAGGAGTGGGAATCAGGGTGCCTTTAGGCCTGGAGAGACTCTTGCTCTGTGGGTTATTACAAAAAAGCAATCACAATTAAAGTGGCAGGGGGTGCTTGAATACTGCCTGAACCAGGCCTATGTATATTCTGCACCCTGCATAATGGGGCCCCGGCTTTCCAAACAGCTGCTTTTAATGCTTTTGCTTTTCAAAAACAACAGCAGCAAAGTTTCTAGCCCTTAGGACTGTGGAGGATAGTTTGACAACTTGGAAGCCACGTTACCTGCAGGACACAGGATGATGCAGATGGAACGATTATAGGCAGTCCCCAGGTTATGAACAAGATAGATTCTGTAGATTTGTTCTTAAGTGGAATTAGAAAGTAGGGAACAGGTACACACACACACACACACACACACACAAGCTTTGGATAGCATAGGGAAGGGTCAACATCCCTGTGGTGTTTGTCATGCACACACACACACACTTATACACACACACACATTTATATATAAACACACACACAAAAGCTTCGGATAGCATAGGAAAGGGTCAACATCCCTGTGGTGTTTGTCATGCTGTCTGTGCCCCTGTTCAGAAGATTTCACCACACTTTCTGTCCCTTTGATAATTGGATTTTGAAAAAATTGGCTTATGGAATAATAATAATAATAATAATAATAATAATAATAATAATAATAATCTTTATTTATAGACCGCCCTCTCTCTCCAAGCAAATAGAAACATCTCAAAATAATGCAAAATAATAACTGCAACTTATAACAAAAACAAGGATTGGTGATAAAGGTTCAGTGGAATTTGTAAGTAAGTAGGGAACAGATACATTTTTAAGTTTAAGACCATATACGTATGTGTATGTGTGTGTGTGTATACCCTTCCCTATGCTATCCAAAGCTTTTGAGTGTGTGTTTATATATAAATGTATGTGTGTGTATAAGTGTGTGTATGTATACACACACACACACACTTATACACACACATACATTTATATATAAACACACACACACAAAAGCTTCAGATAGCATAGAGAAGGGTCAACATCCCTGTGGTGTTTGTCATGCTGTCTGTGCCCCTGTTCAGAAGATTTCACCACACTTTCTGTCCCTGTGAGAATTGGATTTTGAAAATTTTGGTTTGTTGTGGATAATAATAATAATACTTTATTTATAGACTGCCCTCTCTCTCCAAGGGGTCTCAGGGTGGTTTACACACAAAAGGCAAACATTCAAAGCCCATAAACAAATAGAAACATCTCAAAATAATGCAAAATAATAACCGTAAACTTATAACAAAAACAAGGATTGGTGATAAAGCTTCAGCAGAGACACCTTTTTTTCCATGATAACTCTTTCAGGAGTAAATTTCCCCTTTTATAGGGGTAGATTTCCCTCTCTTCCTGTTTTCCCACCCCGTTCTTAACTATGAGTTGGATGTAAGTTGGATGTTTGTAACACAGAGATTGCCTGGATTCAAAAAAAGTCTTGGAAAAGCTTTTATAGGCTTCTACGTGTTTATTTCTCCCCACTATCAGACACTCTCTAAACTACAATTCAATACAATATTTAGCATAGTATTAACATACAACGGGATTATTTCTAATGCTGCATCCAAGGATCTGCAGGTATAGAACCAGTTGGGCAAAGAATCCCCCAAAAGTGATACACTTGAATTATACATTGTTAAGAGCATATACATTTTGTATAGAGAAATCCAGCTGTATTTTATTCCAGCCACTGAAAAAGACATTAAATGTTTTATTACTACTCTTACAACTACCATCACCACCACGTCTATCAAGGGAACGAGATAAAGCATACAAACCTCCATGCTAGAGTTAAATGCCCGGTTCACTTTGGCTTTGATGTTGACAACCTGCCCAACACTAAGGAAGGGAGAGAGAAAAACAGAGATGGTAAAAAGGTTAAAATGCAATTGGCAAAAAAATCCTGTGGTTCCAATATGTATGAGAACTACTTTTCTGGTAGGTCCTGCTCTACAAGAGTGCTGTCATGGTCCATTTGACAGAACAGCTTGCTGCTCAGACCACTCCCACTGACTCCCTGAAAAGCTACACAGTCACACTCGGATTAATTCCTGTGCCCTGTTTGCTAGGTCACCTGGACAGTTCATGGAAAGGTTAGGTTGTAGGGAAGGTGGAGGCTTCTCTGGATTGACCCAGAGATTTATGGGATGCACATCATTATTATGTCCCCCAGGTCCTGAGTGGAAGATTTAGAGGGCCCAGAACTCATGTAGTTTTCTGGTTCGTCAGATAGGGCACACAGATAAGATTTCACCCTTGACTAAATACACATTTAGTTATATCTCCTCCTCAGTAAAGAAAGGAATTTTCAATTATATCTTTGGGTTCAAGATGATCCAGACAGTACTATTTTATTTTTGGTACCACCTTAAGAATCCTTGGAAATGTGAAAGCTGTGTGTATTCCTTACTGGAATGATCCTTTAAAAAGATAAGCTCCAACTGTGAGTTTTGTTTTACTCCTCATGAACCACTACAGTGTCCTTTGTTTTCTGAACAATGGTGAAGCCCTCCTGCAGTTCAATTTCCTAGCACAGAAATCCAATGTAGGGGCACATATCATGAATGCGATTGTGGAAGATATTCAAAACCTGCATCGAAACTGTTAGACTGCCAAAATAGATTTCCCATGAAACCACTGACCCTTCCACACACACACATTTGTTCTTGCATCCCTCCAGAATCTCACCACCACAAACAAACAAAATGAAATATTGTAAAAACTGTTCTTGAAAACCTGTAAAAGCTGTGAGTTCTCTTTGCAGATGATATTACTGTACTAACTACTCTCCCCAAAGTTTTTGTGAATCCCGAAGTGAACTTCTGGCCATGGTTTTCATGGGAAGTCGCCCACAGTGGAGTCTCAGGACCTGTCTCTGCGTTAGATCTACAGGAGCCTCCAGTGGTGCAATGAGTTAAACCTTTGTGCCGGCAGGACTACTGACTGAAAGGCCGGTGGTTCAAATCTGGGAAGCAGGTTGAGTTCCCGTCTGTCAGTTCCAGCTTCTCATGCAGGGACATGAGAGAAGCTTCCCACAGGATGGTAACACATCTGGGCGTCCCATGGGCAGTGTCTCTGCAGATGGCCAATTCTCTCACACCAGAAGCAACTTGCAGTTTCTCAAGTTGCTCCTGACATGAACAAAAATTAGATCTTCCATGAGCTGATACTGGCAGATTAACACAGATTCAAGCTGTGGATGTCCATACACATGATAGATATGAGACACTATTAGTGCAGCTCCAACCTTGCATGGTCCAAAGGATTACAACTGAAGGATCTTTGTGTGGCATTTATTTAGGACTTTGCCTGTGCTACATAACCTTTTATTACCAACTGTCCCAAAACCCTAACTAGGATTAAGAGCAAGATAAAATATATGTAAAAAAAACAAAAACAAAACCCCAGTACAATTGGTAATTAAACCCGAAGGGATGATTTTAAATTGTAGTTTAACATTCGGAGTAAAAGGTCAGATATGCATCAAAATACCGTAATTCTATTTAGAATCACACACTTTGAGCTGGAAATGACCTGTTACTATATAAATGTTTTATAGTCCAAATACTTACAAAGCGACTTTCAATTCTGAAGACTAAACAACTTTCGAGATTTGTGAGAGGCACACAAGCATCCTTCTTGACCTTGGAGGGCCACATACTCTCCCCACTAAAGATCTCTTAGACTTTCTAAGGATAATGAAGGGGAAAACTGTGCCACATTTTTCTCTTTCACCGAAACCTGATGTGCCCAAAAGTTACTTCTAGTTTTGATTCAATGCCCATCAGTAAGAGGAGGGAGCCTGGGAACAAAGATGGAGAGTTTGCCTGATGTTCCCTGAAGGATTTGAGAGCCCCCCCCCCCCAAATTAAAAAAAGGATCTGGGTCTTGAGGCCCAGACTGCGAAGCCATGGCCCTTCTTGTTCTTCCTGCATTGGCACCAGGGTGACTCTATATAACAGTATACAGTAATCAAAACTTCACCAATTCTCATTCACTTTAAAAACAATCATCCTCCTTTCATTGACTGAAATTCATGAAATAGATGCCCAGAAACTCCATATTTGCATGTGGACATGCAAAAATAAGATGATATTTTATCACTGGTTTGTCAGTTTCTATCCATGTCAGACACATGCATTATTTTAATGATGTAGCAAGCAATTTATTAGTCTTAATCCAAATCAACTTGTTTCAAAGTGAGATGTTACTACATTACAAAAAACATTGGAAGAATTTCTTGGATCAGCTACCTTCTGGTTTGAGAAATCTCAAAACGGTTAATAGCTAGGAATTAGACTCAAACAGTGGCACAATAAACTACCTAGGCCAGTGGTTCTCAACTTGTGGATTCTCAGATGTTTTGGCCTTCAACTCCCAGAAATCCTAATAACTGGTAAACTGGCTGGGATTTCTGGGAGTTGTGAGGACCCACAGGTCGAGAACCACTGACCAAGGTAATCAATATATCCTTAAAGAGTATGACTGATAGATGTATTATGACACACTATGGGTGTGTATCAGTCCTTTTCCCAACTATGGAGGAGAGCTATCTTCCAGTCTCAAGAATTTCACTTTGACTAACACAAAATTATTTTTCCTGTAAGGTCTGTATGTGACACATAAGTGCATGCTAACTCAGATGAAAGTCCCATCATGATTAGCAGGACTCACTCCCAAGAAATTGCAAAAAAAGATTTCAGGATGATACTTCCCTCTCTAATATTGATGGAATTTATTTAACAAATAATATAATCTAGTGATTGGGCTCTCTAGATGTTCTGAACTTCAGCTATCATTGTCCATGCTTGCTGTTGAATGAGGCAGATGACATCCAGAGCATTTGAAGGGCCAAAGGGGATTCGTGTTCTTACCTTGGGCCTTGTTTCCACTAAACTTGCTTCTACTAAACTTTGCAGTAAGTATACACTCCTTTTTAATTCACAGTTTGACACGCTTCTATTACTTGCACATTTGACAATGGTTGTCTGTGTCAATTTAACATGTTGTTTTATTTTTATATTAGCTTGTGTTCTATTTTGTCAATTTAAATTAATTTTGTTGTATATCTTAATAATTATTGTTTATGATTTGCACTGTTATTTTGTTGTAAGCCGCTCCGAGTTCCCTCAAGGAGATGGGGCGGGATACAAATAGAGTTTTATTATTTATCATTTGGAGGATGCTATTTTTAGATTCCTTGTACATTATTAGAGCACTACTAATATCTTTGAATGACGCAACAGGACAAGGTTACATTACTATCAGCTGACACTTGGGGAAGGCATTCATATGACAGCAGATAGTAAACAGAAAACTTAACTTTCCAGCAAGGGAGCTCCAGTTGTGTCAAGCTGAGTCACATTTTCCAGATGATCTGACCACATATAACTTCTTAAATGCCCACCTTGGTAATTGGAAATCTAAATGTAGCCATTAATTTGAATTCCTATGGTGTGGAAAGCCACTCTGTATTCCAGTGCTACACAAATGCAGAGACTGTGTCCTCCAACCTTTTCACACTTAGAACACAAAATTAAATCACTATTGCAGAAACAGGGCATACAGTCCAACTAATGTATCCTCCCGATATTTTCGCCCCAAGCTTACAAAATGTAATCTGCTCTCTTTCCATTCAATTTCCTATAAAATGATCCCTTCATCTTGCAATTGCATATTCAGCCCAGGACAGCAGGTGGACTAAGCTCCTCATTTTTCACTCAGCAATTTCACAGTCACATCTTCATTCCCCAGGACTTTCCTTTAATTTCAGAGCCCAGAATCTAGAACCAAGAGAGCATTCCTGTATGTGAGACTACTAATGCTTTAAGACTAGACTATGTGAATAGGGGAAAAAAGCAGAGACAGTAGGTATATTATGAGCAATGTGTCAGCTAGGTTAATTAACACTTGGATCTTAGGATATCAATGGGTTAGGAGATCAGCAATCTACTCTACTGCAGTACATATTTCTACTACAAAGGCTCATACCAGGCATTGTTCTTCCTGCATTGGTACCAGGGTGACTCTATATGCATCTCTCTAACACACAGGGATAGCAAGGAAAGAAAGCAAAAAAACAAAAAAAAAGGATGTGAAAACAGAAAGAATCACCCATCACATACAAAACATACATTTGAATCCTACAGAAATCCTGTTATACTAACAATTGTTATATGTTGAGATCTTCAGGGCTCAGTGTCTAAGCTACCAAGAAGTAAATATGGTATATTATTATCCCAAGCCCTGAAATCATTATCAGAGGCCCTTCTACAATGGAAACCCTCTCCCAATCCATCCAGTGTCTATTAAGCACTGAGATTCTTCAGGAGGAATCTGAAAACCTGGTTATTCCAATGTGCCTTCAATGATTGGATGTAAGATACTCCCTGACCAAACTTTGCACAAATTGACCTCAGAAGCACTTTATTTTATAGTCCGTGCAATTAAATCCTTCCTTATCCTCAGATCCCCTCCCCAATTATTTACATTGACCTATTTCCCAGGGCGACACAATAGAGTAATATCCTAACAGTTACAGAAATAGTCAAAATTTAACATCTGTGGGGAATGGGTTAAGAACCAAAGTTAAGACAAAACAGAAAAAATACTTGCAAGTGTTGTTGACCGGTAGACAGACAAAATTATCCAAAGGCTAGTTTAGTACTTTAGCTATCACACTAGCTTTCAGAAACCTACCGATATTGACCCCCTGTAAATACTTATTTACCAATCTCTTGGTCAGCATAATAATACTGACAAATTTAAAAGAAATAGAGTGGCTTTTGTATAACCCACCATTAGACAATGGAAAATACACATCCACATTACATCTAATTGCAGTTTGAGCAGCTCCTCCTCTGTATGAGAGAATAAGGTGGCCATAGGTTGGAAATGATGGCAAGGTTTCCAGCAGCAGCAGCAATAGCAACAACGACAATGTCCACATAAGCATCAGCGCTGAACTGTCTTTCACTATTCTAACTATTATTCAAAGTGTCTCCGGAACAATGTGCAGCAAATGGTGGAATTCCTCAAATTCCACCATTCTACACTATAAAGTCTCTCAAAGGAACTTACAGGGGAGAGTGGTTAAATTATTTTAAAATGTAGCAAATGGGTAAATAAATGGTTCCAAAATTACCTCAAATCACCTTTCAGGGACTTAAGGTAGCTGCCTCCTATATTCTAGATCAGTGGTTCCCAACTTATTTTTGACCAGGGGCCACTTGAACAGGGACAACTTTGACCAGGGATCACTCTCCAACATTAGTACCAAAAGGGTTACAAATCAGTTTTTGGTCAACTTCAGACCATAGGAATTTCAGCCTCTCTTCAAGAGGGATATTGTTCCAAGCTTATGGATCCATTTGGTTTTTTAAAATCTTTTCACAGAATCATACAATGATCATACAATGATAGAGTTGGAAAAGACCACATGGGCCATCTAGTTCTTCTAGTAACATTTTGGAAACCTTATGAGTGGAGTGTTGAGAGAACTGAATTCTGTTTTTGGACAAACTAGATTACATAGATCTAGCTCAGTCTGAGTGTACGTGTGTTTAATAGTGAAACAATCTTTCCCTCCCTGATGAATTACTTTTTCTAGGACAAAAACTAAGCAGCGGTTGAAAACTGCCTTCAGACTCCAGACTGATGTTCAGGGACACAGGCATACAGTTATTCTAGAAGTATTACTGGAAGATTTCAGCATGACTTCATACTCTCTGAACAGAGGAGGGCTTCAGAAATCTACCTTCTCTCCCTGGAAAATATCCGAGGGCTAAACCTAGTGATAGAAACACATTAAAATCTTCTATGCCCTATTCATAAATAATTAAGAGCAAGAAAGAGCTAGCTTTATAGAGTTGTTCAAGTAAAATATGCATGAAACCAACTCAGAGAATATATTTAGTATCTTCTGTTATGAATCAAAATGGGCAACAGTGATAAACAATCCTAGCTGAAGAACCTAACTGAAGAGCCTTCATTTGTGCTAATCTGATTAAGTATCAACTTGCAGGAGCTCTTTTTTCCCTGAAGTTGTTTCCCATTCAAACCATGCCAACGAAGAAGTTAGTTGTCATTTTTTTCCTTTGAGAGTTTGGGGACAAGAAGATCAAGTGCCTCATTTCTGAAGACACTGAAAACATGTTTCTAGCTCATACAACTGCATCTTGGAAGCTGTTAGAAGTAGTTTGCTACTGTGTGATAAAAGCTGAAGGGCAAGTTTCAGTGATATCAAATATCAAGCATCATGGAAGCAAACATTTCTGGAGAGAGATCCTGGCATATCTGAATCTTAGCACCTTCATATTTCATGACATGACATTGCTGAGAGGTCACATTGTCTGGAATTTTCTTGGATAATGATCAAACCTCGGTACAAAATCTCCAGACTGATCTGAATATTATTGTTGTGAATCTATTCCATATCATGATTTCAGGTTTGGATAGGATTTTCTTAGTCATGTCTCCTGGATGAATTCTGTCATCTAATTCTGCTCTTAAGTCTATGACAAATTTTCTCAAGGTTCTTGATCATGATTTTGCTAACTATTGTCAGGTCACCGACAATAGCAGGTGTGGACTGGACCCTAATTTTGTATTTCAATGTCTGTATTGTAGAAACTTCTTCTTTGGAGGCTTTTAAACAGAGACTGGATGGCCATCTGTTTGGTGTGATTTAATTGTGCTTTTTCTGCATGGCAGGGGGTTGGACTAGATGGCCCATATGATCTCTTCTAAAACTATGACTCTGTGATTCTAAGGCAGCTTTTTATATGGTAAATAGAAAAATTTCATCTCAACACATTGCTTTATTGCTTTATTTATTTATTTGTATCCTGCTTCATCTCTCCATATGGAGACTCAAAGCAGCTCACAATCAAAAAGCTTACAACCTAAAATACACAAATACACAACAATAAAACAGTATATCATTATGTATTATTATATATTATCAGAAGTATTATATTTAATGTATTAATATTATTATATTACACTATTATTATTATATTATTATATTGTATTATTTTATTATTATTTGATACACAATAAGATTAGTACACAGCAAACAAGATCCCTATGCTGGCTTTTGTATTCGAACACACATTGGACACTCCCAGGTGTCTAGGAATGCATGATGTATCGGCAAATAATGCATGCAGATCCCAGTAGGGTGGCCTTTTGCAACTAACAGATGGTAATTTAGTCAGCGCCAATTGTTTTTAAGTGCAGACCCAGGTCTTTTGGTATTGCACCCTGTGTGCCGATCATCATCATCATCATCACCATCATTATATTGTATTTATGATGGACTACATTTCAGAAGACCAGCAAGTCATAGTGATTTGAGTGTAGCAAACTCTGGACACCAAGATTCAAATTCCTACAGCCATGGAAACCTACAGCAAGTAGGTTGAGAGAGTGTGACCTTGAGCAAGTCACACTCTCTCAACCTTAGAGAAAGGCAATGGCCACTGTGGCCGCCATCACCTATAAATATTGCCAAGAAAAGCCCGAAATAGCTTCACCTTAGAGTACCTGTAAGTCAGAAATGCCAAGAAAAGACACAATAGCACCATCTTCCATCAGCCTTACCCAGCATAGTCAGTGATGACAGATCATGGGAACTGGTGTCCAGGGAAATCTGGAGGGGGTCAAGTTGAGGTGGGTCTTTTCAGTGACCACACTAAAACCTGCCCTAAGAGGCTAGACTGGAGACTTCTAGGCTGATGTTTTATATCAAATTTATGTTGACATAATCTATCTGTTTATATTCTGGTTTGCTGTTTTAGAGCATTTCATTTAATTTCTCAGAGCATCCCTGAGCAGAAGAGCAAGACAACCATTTTTTGTATTTTTTAAAAAGCAGTTCTGCGTAGAAAACAATTGAAATCAGTAGCTTTCATAAACCAGCTTCCTACATGCAGAGTAAGAGCAGTTAATAGAAAGAGATATTTAGTCTTGCAGTGACACACACATTACTCTGTCGCTTGATGAGATATTAAAGCCACATATTCAGGGGCAGGCTCATTTCAAATTAGAGATGTACCAGCAGGGCTGAATACCATTTAGAAGCCATAATCCTATGAACTGAAACCACCCTCCCTTAATACCAGATGTGCTGAGCAGCGAAGGCAGCATTCTGCAAATGCTCCCAGGTACTTTCGTTCTAGAAGTGCATGCAACCTGCTTCAAAGCTGGTTCCTGGGACTCAAAGGTCCTCCAGAGATGGGTCATTAACTCTTATTAAGTCTTGTATCCACATGCAACACGATGGCAAGGAAAGTGGAAAAACACTCCTGTCCCCCAGCCACTCGCTCTGCTTTCCTTGTTAAGTGTCTACACAAAACACCAACCCAAATTGTCACCGTTTGTGAACTTGCGTTGACATTGCATAGTTGAAACAGAGGTCAGACCCATCGACTCTCCCCAATATTTTTCACTAACAATCCTGGCTGAGAACTGGGGATCTTTATTCCAAATCTAATTAATATGGCACAGATTTTTTCCTTGCATGCATTTACTAAAGGCTCCCTTTAAAAATCCAGTTAGAAATCCAGTTAAACTGCAAAAGGCAAGGATGGGAAGCAGTTACCTAATTGTGTGCTCAAAATAGATATCATCCACTGAAGCTGTGACGCAGGGGCAGCCAGCATGCCTCTCGGCTGAAAAGGCAAACAAACCACATTAGTTGTGTACTTCAATGCACTAAACAGGGTTCTTTCTATTTGCAGTAATTACTATCACAGGCTTAGAATGGAACAAAATATGTACCACAGAAAAATGTATATACAATACTATGTCTAACAGATGAGCCTGCTAGCAGGAGCAGTACTATCAAAATTATCCCAGTATGGACGGTTGGGAAAAATTCCCAGACATGTGATTATGCAAGAAGGTAGGAATTAATAGAAATATTTTCCCACTCTTTGCAAAGCTGTCGCCTAATGATTGATGCTATCTCCTTAGCCTACGAATAAATATTATCCTTAGTCTAATGGCTAGGCATCTCCTCCAACATGATGATTACTTGTCTGCTTCTATTAATTTTTTCCTAACTTGCTAATCCTCATTTTATCTATGATTTGATCTTTCATTATAGAAACTGTACAAACAGGGTCATAACAGAACAGAAAAACCTCACACGGGGATAAGTGCATGTAATGTCAGGTTGGGTTTTGCTAAGCAATGAAGACTCAGAAGGAGTTTTGGAGTTCTCTGCTCTGAAATACAGTTTACAGCAGCCATGGGCAAACTTTGGCCCTCCAGGTGTTTTGAACTTCAACTCCCACAATTCCTAACAGCTGGTAGGCTATTGTCAAAGGCTTTCATGGCCAGAATCACTGGGTTGTTGTGGGTTTTTCAGGTTATATTGCCATTTTCTAGAAGCATTCTCTCCTGACGTTTCAACCTCACAACCTCTGAGGATGCCTGCCATAGATGCAAGTGAAATGTCAGGAGAATTCTCTCCTGACATTTCTAGAACATGGCCATATAGCCCGAAAAACCTACAACAACCCAGCCAGTAGGCTATTAGGAATTGTGGGAGTTGAAGTCCAAAACATCCTCAGGGCCGAAGCTTGCCCATGCCTGGTCTAGAGCACCTATCATTTGTTGGTGGCCTCCCATACAAGAATTAACCAAAACCAACCTTGCTTAGCTTCAACCATCACATGGAATCTGGTAGCTTTAGATTATTGAGACACGGTAAGGATATGCCCTTATTACAAGAGATGCTTTGCTGACCACAAAGCATCTCTGGACTCTGGGCCACTTCATCAGATTGTTGGCCACTGATGAATCACAAGATCCTTTGTTTCTGTAACAAATTACATGTCTACTCCTCTCCCTGTGCTGCCGCCACCCTTATCAATAGTTTTTCTTTCCGTCAATACTTTACATCAAATCAGTTATTGATTACAGCATGGTGGTAAAATATAATCCGCTTAAGTGACAGATTCAATCAACTAAAATGTTCTTGATCAAATAGTGGAAGCCCATGTTAGCTGTACTCCTAACATAAACCAGTGGGACTATGAGGATCTTCTATAGATAGAAGAGTATCTCTGATGCAAACGCTATGTGGAATGCAACAATGGCAAGGCAAATTAAAAGGGTGGAATTAAATGTGTGACCAAACTGACCTTTTGACATTTATTCTATTCAGGAGAGTAATCTGTAAGTAAAATTTAGACAACATAGGAAAAGAGCTATTTCTTAACCTCTGCTACAACTCAAATATTCCCTTTCACACCCAAGTTGCTTTGAGTACCTCAATTTTTATATACTTTTTGTTTAATTTACCAAATCCAACCAATTCAGGAATTAAAATGTGTTAAAGTAATGGGCTCTCTTGTAGCACAGCGGGTTAAATCACTGAGCTGCTGAACTTGCTGACCGAAAGGTTGGTGGTTCGAATCCAGAGAGGAGGGTGATCTCCTGCTGTTAGGCCCAACTTCTGCCAACCTAGCAATTCAAAAACATGCAAATGTGAGTAGCTCACTAGGTTCCACTTCTGTGGGAAGGTAATGCTGCTCCATGCTGCCATGCTGGCCACATGAGCTTGGAGGTGTCTACGGACAACGCCAGCTCTTCGGCTTAGAAATGGAGATGAGCACCACCATGACTAGACTTAATGTCAGGGGAAACCTTTACCATTTTACTAAAGTAATGCAACATTTTAAATTTACCAGGACTTTGGTTATTGTTGCAAATGCATGAGAACTTTTAATAGTTGGGGACATCCTGCTAATCTCAATATCACAGAACCATGGTATTATAGAATCGGAAGATACCACAAGGTCTATCCAGTCTAACTCACTTCCATGCAGAAATACACAATCAAAACAAATTCTGATTGAATTTGAGGAGAAGAAATTAGAAAGATTAGAGAAAAATGAAGGAAACAGGGGATGTCAGGGGGAAATATCTTCCAGAAGTGTGACGGTTAATTAATAAACCAGAGAGACAGAATTTCAGAGTATAGCTCAAAGCAGAAAGAATATTAACAAGTCCAAAAAAAGGTGCTGGTGTGGTTGAACAGCGGTGTCAAGGGCAAACACTGCCCTTGACAGAAGAGTTGAGGAAACAACAGGAAAGGCATCTTTTTTAAGAGGCTCAAACTAAGCTCAAATCTGAGGAATAAAAATAAACACACATTCCAGAAAAACAAATGAGCATTAGAATGGGGAACAAAGTAAAGATATAAGAAACATGTTGCTAAATGTATAAACACAAAACTACAATGACATCTTTATAGGAAAGCACAGCCAAGAAGATGACAGGATCCTGGAAAGACAAATGGTATGACAAGAATACAGGGAGAAAGAAGAGAATCAGGTTGAATTTGTTGTGCCTGTCTTTGGTATGAATGATGTTTAAGAGAAACCCACAGGCACCCATAACTGAAGCACTGTTGTGAGAGCATCTGAAGAGATAGGTGAAATCGAGACAGATGGCACCCATATGAGATAGCCTTTCTTTAAAAAACAAAACCTTCAAGTGTGAAAAGGAATACATTTCCAACTAAATATGTTGAGATCTTGAGCATCTCTTGATTTCAGCAAAGGATTTGACAAGGTCCCACATGGTATTCTTGCAAACAATGTGACTATCGGGCAGATTTGTAGTTGGTTGATCAATTGAATTCAAAGGGAGCTCTCCAATAAGTCATCTTCATCCTGGAGAGAAGTGAATTCCTCGATATTGGAACAGAGGGCACAGTTATGAGATTCATAGATGACACTAAATTAGAAAGATTAGTTAATGCCCCCAGATGACCTTAACAAAGGGTGGCACAATGGGTTAAACCCTTATGCCAGCTGAACTGATCAACCAAAAAGTTGACGGTTCAAATCCGGGGAGCGGGGTAAGCTCCCGTCTGTCGAGCCCTAGATCCCCATCCAGGGACACGAGAGAAGCCTCCCACAGGATGGTAAAACATCAAACATCCGGGCGCCCCCTGTGCAATGTCCTTGCAGACAGCCAATTCTCTCACAACAGAAGTGACTTGCAGTTTCTCAAATCGCTCCTGACACAAAAAAAAAAACCTTAACAAATTAGAAATATGAATTTCAAAAGGGAGAAATATACAGTACTACACTTAAGCAGAAAGTGAGTGACAACTGGCTTGAAAACAGTACAAGTGAAATGGATCTAGAAGTCTTAGGACATCACAAGCTGAACATGAGTCAACAGTGTGATGTGACAGTTGGAAAACAAATGTGATTTTAGACTGCATTAAAAGACATAATGTCTAGATCAAGGAAAGTCATAGTAGTTAGACCTCACACCCCTATCCAATTCTGGCCACCTCAGTTCAAGAACGATGTTGACAAAATGAGGAAAGTGATCTCAGTGGTAAAAGGTCTGGAAACCAATCCGATGATGAGAAGCTAAGGGAGCTGGTAGTGTTTAGCCTAGAGAAGAGAAGGTCAAGAGATAACAGAACAGCTATGTTTAAATTACTAAAAGGATGTCCTATTGAAAATGAAGCAGGCTTGTTTTCTTCTTCTCCAGAGGCTAGGACAAAGAGCAAGGGATTGAAACTATAGAAGAAATTCCACTTGAATATTAGAAGAAGTTCCTGACCGTAATATTTGAACTGTGTGACAGTGGACTAAACTATCTCAGTGCATGGTGGTCTTCTTTTTCGGGAAGTTTTTAAATAGAGCCCCAGTGGCGCAGTGAGTTAAACCACTGAGCTGCAGAACTTGCTGACCAAAAGGTCGGTGGTTTGAATCCTGGGAGTGGGGTGAGCTCCCACTATTAGCCCCAGCTTCTGCCAACCTAGCTGTTCGAAAACATGTAAATGTGAGTAGATCAATAGGTACTACCTCGGCAGGAAGGTACCAACGCTCCATGCAGTCATGCAGGCCACATGACCTTGGAGGTGTCTATCAATAATGCCAGCTCTTCGGTCTAGAAATGGAGACGAACACCAACCCAGAGTTGGACACAACTTGACTTAACGTTAGAGGAAAACCTTTACCTTTATCTTTAAAGAGAGGCTCAATGGCCAGCTGTTTGGAGTGCTTGGATTGTGTATTCTTCTATGGCAAGACGACGATCTGCATGGCTGTTGTGGTCTCTTCAATGCTATATCTATGATTCTATTATTATTTTGAAATACAGTCTCCTTACCAGAGGACCACAGGCAGGCCAGTGTGACACAGTTCCCAGCATTTTTACCATATATTATGGTAGCTAGAGGTGTTGAGGGAACTGCAGTTCAACAGTGTCTGGAGGGCCTCATTTTTCCTACCTCTAGGAGAAAAACAAAAGCTTTGCTGAAGATGAATCACTATGGCTCTCTACAAAGGGTGCTTCTAAAAATAATTTCAGAGTGAAATAAGATATTTCACAAAACATCTAACGACAGCCTCATAAATGTTGATTCATTTTGTGACTAATACTATGCAACTTGTTCATAAAACAATCTGGAGTCGTCAGAAAGGAGTGGGGCAGTTCTACGTTTGCCAATGGCTATGAGGATGGCTCATCAATCTAAAGCCATTGTGGAGCTATTGTGTTTTTTGGTGTAAGAAAAATATAGGAGGGAAATCAAGTTAAAAAAACCTACTACAAGCATGATGATCTATACACTAAATACTTCAAAATGGTGAAAACTCAAAGGGTTCAAACTTTGAAGGGTTACACATTACTCTCACCAAACTTGGTTGAACATGCAAGGAAATGGCAAATGTGGTGGAATGAAAGCACAAAGAACACTTTGGGACAACAGCTCCCAATTCTGTATAGAAGCCATTGGGATTTGAGCCAACTGACTCCCGGAAAAACTGAAATCTTGTCGTGGTAGGTAACTCAAGGAAAATATATTGTCATTGTGCAGTAGCAATGAACATGCCAAGTGCAATTTGACAATATTAACAACAGGATGGAAGAAGAAGCCACATGTATCTTAATATTCTATATAGTCTATGGTGCAGCTGTATTTACAATATAGTATACTGTGTTCAGCCAGATCATATAAGAAAGAAGTTCAGATCCCATGATTGCTCTTCTACATAGAAATCGGCCAGGAACTGAGGACAGGGAAAACTTAGGGTGCTCCTATACCGTGGCTTAATGTCATGGTATGCTGGGATTTGTGTAGCTTTACCTAGTCTTTAGCCTTCTCTGCCAAAGAGCACTGGCGCCTCACCAAACTACAACCCCAATGATTCCATAGCATTGAGCCAGGGCAATTCAAGTGGGGTCAAACTGCATTCATTCTATAGCAGGGGTCCTCAAACATTTTAAGCCACGGGCCAGTTTGCAGTCCCACAAACTGTTGGGGACAACAGTTTGAACTAAAAAACATGAATGCCTATGCACACCACTTGTATCCTCAGTTATGTTCCCTTCTCAGCCATGTTGTTTTGTTGCTGTTTATGATTGTGATTGTTTTTATTTATCTGATGTTTTTAATTGCTTGTGTTTCTAGCTGTAATTTTTTGGGCTTGTCCTTTGTAAGCCGCTCCAAGTCCCCTTGGGGAGATGGTTGGCGGAGTATAAAAATAAAGTTGTTATTATTATTATTATTATTATTATTATTATTATTATTATTATTATTATTATTGTGTGTGTGTGTGTGAGAGAGAGAGAGAGAGAGATGACAATACAATACAATGTTTACAACGAACAACAACTTTAACTCACATAAATTTACAAGAATTTCAATGGGAAGTGTTTGCCTGCTTTAGGCTGATGAGAGAGTCAAGTTAATTAGGATTGTGGCTGTTTTTGTGTGCCTTCAAGTCATTTCAGATTTAGGGTGACCCTAGATCTAAAGTTCAGGGGGAGCGTAAATGATTATGGAGGGCCTCATCTGGCCCGTGGGCCTTACTTTGGGGACCCCTGGTCTAGATGCATCATTAATAACAAAAAAGTATTAAGAATAATAATAGAATAAAAGTTGGCATAGACCACATGGGACATTTGGTCCAACCCCCAACATGCAGAAAAAATACAAAGTTCCTTTATACAATATATATTATTGTATATACAATAATAATATTTATGTTATTTGTAATATAAATATTTATATTATAATATTTATATTATAAATAACATCTAGTCCAATGTCCTGCCATGAAGGAAAAATTATAATATATAGTTTATAATATAAATGTAATAATATAAACAAATATTTATATAATAAAATTTGTATTATCTCAGTGATTGAGATGCAAAAGGGCTCTCTTCTCTTTCTCTCTCTGTGCTTTTCTGCCTGGGAAGGAACTGCCTGGATCCACCTTAAGAGCAAGGCTTGCACTGGCTGAGGCCACATGCTGGAGCCTGCCACTGGATTTATCCCCCAAGGGAAGGTTGCCAAGAAACCAGCCTCCCTCCCTGTCTGCCTCCCTGCCCTCTCTCTGCTTTCCCAGAGCAGACAGCAGCAGCAGCAGCAGCAGAAGTGAGGGGCTCACCGGAGAGGCAGGCAGCAGTGTCGATCCACTTGAGGAGCTGTCCAATGCTGAGCTCTCCACGGTGGTTGGCATGGCTGGGCTGGACCATCTGGCTCATCTGGACCTCGGTGGCATTGCGGGGGCTCTGCATGGTGCCCCAGTGCAGGAGCCGCAGCAAGGAGCTCCCCTCGCTAAGCTCCCCCTTGGAGGATGCAGCAGCCCTGGGATCCTGAGGAAGAGAATGGAACAAAGCAGTCAGTCAAGCCTTCCCATGGGAGCCCCGGGCGCAACAGGAGCCCCTGTCTGCAAATCTGGCCTTCTCTGCCTGCTGCTCAAATGTTGGTTTTCAGGATCCCCACTTCCCCAAATGCTATCTAAGGATGCATAAACTACACTGTAGCATTAATACAGTTTCTCAATGGCCATGGCCAATGCTATGGGATCCTGGGAGTTGTGTAGTTTTACAAGATCTTAACCAGGTATGGGAAAACTTTGGCTCTCCAGGTGTTTTGACCTTCAACTCCCATAATTCCCAACAGCCGGTAGGCTGTTAGGAATTGTGGGAGTTGAAGTCCAAAACACCTGGAGGGAGGACTGAAATTTGCCCATGCCTGGTCTTGAGCCTTCTCTGCTAAAGGGGACTGGTATACAATAGAATAGAATAACTTTATGGTCGTTTTGTACATCGTACAATGAAATTAAATGCCACCCCAATCAATCAATATATATATATATATGTGTGTGTGTGTGTGTGTGTGTGTATGATATTTATATCCAGTTTCTTCTCTACCCTGAAAGGGGGACTCAGGACGGCTAACATAGGCAGCAATTCGATGCCGTTACAAGAACAATTAATGCAATAACCATTAAACAAACCATCCAACCATTAAAATACATAAAATGCATAAATACATGAAATACATAAGCCATTAATTAAACAATATAAAAACATTTGTTACCAAATAGAATCGCATCCTCATGTAAATTGTCTTTCCAATTCATTTCCACTAAAGTGCTAATTTATATCTGCTAAAGAGGACTGGTATACAATAGAATAGAATAACTTTATGATCATTGTGTACATCATACAATGAAATTAAATGGCACCATATGTACAAATGACAAAACAAAACACCCATCCTTCCACATTGCACTCATGCCACATCAGTGTGAAACCAAGTTCTATATAGCCACAGCTCTAGGAGAAAAGCCCTCTCTCAACCTATTTGTCCTTGTTTTTATCATCTTTTACTGTCTGCCAGATGGTAACAATTAAAATAATAATATCCAGGGTGAGATGAATCCTTAAGAGTATTTTGAGCTTTCTTAAGGCAGCGAGAATTCTATAGTTCTTTCAGAAAGGGGAAGAAGGCAACCATCCATTCTCTGGACAGTAGTAATGTCTCACCAAACGGCATCCTAGGATTCCCTAGCACAGACCCCATGGCAGTTAAGAGTGGTGTCAAACTGCATTGGTTCTAACAGTGGGAGCTCACCCCGCTCCCCAGATTCAAACCGCTAACCTTTCGGTCAGCAAGTTCAGCAGCTCAGCGATTTAACCCGCTGCACCACCAGGGGGGTGGCATTTTAAAATCAACTCTAAATCCAAGCAGTTCTTAATCATAGCATCATAGAATAACAGAGTTGGAAGAGACCACATTGGCCATCTAGTCCAACCCCCTGCCATGCAGGAAAAGCACAACCAAAGCAGTGACAATTTCAACTGATCTCTACATTTTCTCTCTGAGGCATTCTGTCCAACCTTCCCCAATTTGGGACCATTAAGATGTTTGGGACTACAGGTGCCAGTATCCTTGCCTATTAGCCATCCTAGCTGCATTTCATGGGACCTGGGTGCACCTTCATGGTAGAATTAATGCAGCTTGGCATAACTTTAACTGCCATGGCTCAAAGCAGTGTAATCCTGAAAGTTGTAGTTTTACACATCAAACTACAATTCCCGGGATTCCACAACATTGAGCCATGACAGTTAAAGTGGTGTCAAACCACATTGATTCTACAGTGTAGAGAGGTACCACCTGCCGTCAAAATTGTATTTTGGATTCCCCCACTTCCAAGGTAAAAAACGCATCTACAACATGCATATGCATACAAACACCCTCTCTATATTTTTCTTATCAAAAATAATTTGGAAACACTTACTTAATGATTCCCTTCTGAAAAGTTTCATTAGCAGCAATCAAAAGCATTAATATCCCATGCACAGCTTCTCTTCCTTCCCACCTCCCCTCAAATTCAATTTTTGGGATGACAGTGAACCACTTTAAGTGTCTTTATGCTTAGTCCTTGTCTTTGGGATTCTCTTGCCGCGATTTATTCAGAGGAGATTTGCCAATGCTACATTTGAGCCCAAAAGTGTTTGCTTTGCTCAAGGTCACCCAGTAGGATGAGCTAAGATTCAGGCCCTGAAGTCCCAACATTCAAGCTATGGCGCTACATGGCTCTCAGAAAGTGATCTAAACCCTGATAAATCCAAGGGTTGAATGAACTGCTAACTAAACCACACACACCCCACAGATTAATCTGCAAGCCTCAGCTGGGTCTATTCACATTACATAATTCAGAACACTGTGATTTTATTTTAACTGTTGTGAAAACCTGTTGGTGCTCTATGAGTAAATCTCACCAGATGACAAAAGGGAGTGAAGCTTCAAAAGCTCACATGAAGAATATTGTGCATTTCTGGTTGGCCCAATAAAAGTATCGCTATTTTGTGGATTTGGGTGCGTTACTTTCTTTTGCTGTATAGACCAACAAACTTTGGATATATTTTTTATGAATCTGAAGATACTGCATTTTAGGCGCAACAGGGGAATCCTAAAGAACGAGGCCTTAGTTCATTGAGATTTCTACATCAAACAGAGGTAAAAGGGTTTTTTGTATTGGGACTACAATTGGCAGGCTTTACCTATGCAGCACCTAAAGGTTTTTCCAGATGCTGTTATTGCACAGGCTTCTTGAGAAATTCAAGGCTCTGCCTAAGAAAAGCTACCCAGAACAAAAACATCCTGGTTCTAAAGGGAAGATAATTTTTCTGGTCGCTAATAGAAACAAATTTATTACCTGGATCTTATGAATCTTTGTCTTCCAGAGCCCACCCGACCCAAAAGAGGAAAGCTCCTGACCTACATGGATAGATTCTTCCAGACCATCTTAACTGACTATAAAAACATCTCCACCAAATTTATTTATTTATTTATTTGCGGCATTTGTAGCAAGTCTTCCTCAGTCTTACAGTGACTCAAGGTGGCTTACAGAAATTGGCAAAATTCGATGCCATACATTCATAAAGTACAGTTAACAACATTCAACCCAATATTATAAAAACCATATAAACCATTAAAACATATCGTTAAAACATATCACTGCCAGTGTCGTCTTGTTAAAAACATTGTCCAACAGCATCGTCTAGTCATTCCATGTTCATTCTTCGTATTTAATAATTATTTATTCCACTGCATTTTCAAATGCTTGTTCAAAGAGCCAAGATTTTTCTCGCTTTCTGGAGGTCAGGAGGGAGGGGCCAATCTAATATCCCTAGGGAGGGAATTCCACAGCCGAGGGGCCACCACTGATAAAGTCCTGTCTCTCGTCCTTGCCAGACGCACTTGCAAGGAAAGTGGGATCGAGAGCAGGGCCTCCCAGACGATCTTAGATTCCTAGATGGTTCATAAGGAGAGATACGTTCAGACAGGTAAGTTGGGCCAAAACCATTTAGGGTTTTATAGCCTAAAGCCAGCACTTTGAATGCAGATCTGTTACCCTAACACAGTGGTTCTCAACCTGTAGGTCCCCAGATTTTTTGGCCTACAACTCCCAGAAATCCCAGCCAGTTTACCAGCTGTTAGGATTGAGGACCACTGCTCTAACATCATTGTTTTCTTCTTCTTCTTCTGTATGACTCTTAACACTTTTGACTGATGGAGTGGCCAGTGGAGCTTCAAAAGCTTGGGAGGAGTAGTCTGTGAATTTTTGGTTTGCCCAGTAAAGGTATTGCTATTTAATAATTTTGGATGTATGTATGTCAGGGAAAAAGAAGGTAAAGTATGAATGATTGGCACTATCCCTTCTAATCAATACTTTCTGTTTCTTTTAAGAATCTTCTCTTCCAGTGAAGTGAAATAAACATCACCAAGTCTAATCTTAATTCAAACAGATGTTATATGTCTGGGTTTAACTAGGATTTTTCGTATGCCTCTCTTTCTCCCTTACTGTACATCCTGGCATAAATCTTACTGATAATTCCAATTAAAACAGATGAATCAATTAATAAATGGTGATTCCACTATATGTAAATCTCAGTGATATAGTGGATCTACTCAACTGGGAGAACTGATAGGATTCAGGCATATCTCCCTTTATGTGCCAGCTAGGAGGTCCAAAAGGACAAAAAAAATACCAATATAGTTTTGCTGCTGCAAGATTAATCATAGGCAAAGACTGGAAAGGGGAAAAAAGTTTAACTAAAAAGGATTGGAGGGAAAGAATGCAGAAATATATGCTAATGACCAGATTAACTAATATCAGGAGGAACAAAAGTAATGACTTTATGGAAAAGTGGAAGTTGTCCATGGTATATCTAAGTGGAGAGTCAGTGACATAGCTCTCCCCAAGACTCCACAGTATCTCCCGATTGCCAATCCCCACCACCAGAAAACTCCACAAACGTGTCACTAGACGTTGGTTGAGTACAAGCATCTCGAACCTTTTGCACCTTGGTCCAATCCTGTGTGTCATCCCCTTCCCCATCATTCCGAGACCCATCACTCCCAGAGAAACCTATGAAAGACTCTTCGTCTGTGGGAGCAGTAAGTATATCCGTGATCTTCTTCCTCTGTCGCTCCTTGTCCGATTCCTGCTCCCGAGTAACCCTCTTAGTTCCCCTATTCACATCCATTACATCTCCTTCCTCCTCCTCACTCATTGACCCTTCGCTGTCAGAAAACCCTACTGAATCTTCGTCAGTAGGTGACATAAATATATCCCGGATCCTTTTCCTTTGTTGTTCCTCATCTAACTCTTGAGCACTCCTTTTCCTTCTTCTGCCACCCATACTACCACTTGCAGTGTTGCTAACAGGCTCTACTACAACATGCACAATGAAGGACCTTTTCATAGCAACACCAGGGGCACTCCAAGTGGCCAGCTACTGGTCAAAGGACATTTAATATAATGCCAAGTTTTTAAACTTTGCTTGTGTTCTTAAAT